TGCCTGTTACTCCGAAGCTTACCATCACTCACGAGGTATGGGATGTCGTCCTTGACTTGTAAGTGCACGAATCCCTGCTTTGGTGTAACCATGAAAGGTAGTTTACCAGGCATCCAGTGAAATGCATAACCCATCTTCATGCATCTCCTCCCTATTGACAACACCGTGGGCGTCTCGTCCAACACGTGCGGCTCGACAGTCTCGTCCAACTCGTCCACGACTATCTTGGCCACGTCGGATGTGGAAGTGGAACCATTTGCGGTCTGGAACACAATCTCATCATCATCCTTCACAATATCGACACCCAGGCTCTTTGCCTTGGCTCGTCCAATGAGATCATGACCACATCCGGTGTCCATCAACCATTTCACCCGTTTGCTGATGCACGTTGACATTGCGAACACATTCTTCGGCAAACCATGCTGTTTCTTCCAGTCGACGGCCGATTCCTTGATCTCGTCCTTGCTCCGATCATATTCGAACATTATGGTGCTCTCCTTGGTTACTGGGAAGTAGTGTTTCCTGTATATGTCGTCTACCACCTCTCTCAGTATTTTCGCTCTTATCAATGATCGTTGGACTTGATAGGCTGATAATTCTCGATGATCACTGCTCTTAAACTTCTTCTCGTCGACGTGCACGTACTGATAAGGCTCATTCTCATTGTCCTCATAGCCGTACCACTCCCCTTTTCGTTCCCATTGCCTTCTCTCGTCTTCGAGATAGGTGATCTCCCCATTCTCGTCGACATCGAGTACTTCCTTGAACCATACCATTTTCTCGGGGATCTCGGACTCGCCAGACCATCTTGATGATTCGCTCATTGCGTCGTCATCATGCTCGTGGTAGACAGTCTCGGCTTCATCCGGTTCGACCTGGTCAACGTCCTTCTTGAAGCTGACCTTTCCCGCAGGAGCCGATTGCTTCAAGACTATCGCAGGCATCGCGATGGCCCTTCTTGCAATAGCTGGCGCTGCGGCTTTGGCGGCAGCCTTCGACTTGGCTTGCGCCTTGTCGCTTGACGTTGCCGGAGCTGAATTGTTCTTGATGAGCTCGTGCCTATACTTGCAAGCACTCCCCTTGTCGCATTTTCCCTTCTGAAACGCGAAGCATGCTCCATCATCCCTCTTTGGTGATGATGATCTGGATTTGGACTTACCTTTTCCTTTCCCTTTGGGCATGTTCTCCAGCTTGTGCTCCGTCTTCTTGCTGTGGGAAAATGTGCATTCATTCCCTTTTACGCATCCCTTCGCTGCCTTGAAGTGATACCAACATGGGTTATCTTTACCTCCGCTCGGACTCTTGCCTCTATCGCTGGCACCGTCGGACTTGCCGTTCTTGCCAGCGTGACCCTTTGCTTTGGCCTTTGGGAGTACAGGAGCAGCATCAGGTCCACTGGGTTTCCCCTTCCTGCCTTTGCCACCCTGGTTCTCCTGTTTGCCAGTAGCCGGGGCTGCATCTCTGCCGCCCGACTTCATCATTGACTTGACCGATTTCTCCTTCATGTCAAGCATCAGGTCCTCCCGATCCGCCTTAATTTGGTGGTCGATCAATGCCAACAAGAATTCGTACGTCTTTTGAGGATGCTTGTCCGGCAACCTATGATAGGCGTTGAGGCCGAACTCCATCTTCTTGCTCCCTTTGATCTTCCTGTAGAGAATATCTCTGAGAGCCAACTTGCTGGGTCTATCTTCGCTCCTCATCTTTAGCAACAAATCATACCACTTGTTCCTGAATATAACCAAATTCTTGTCTCCAGGAAAGTCAAGGTTGAATAGGTGCTCGATGTGGTAGACAAGATCCGTTCGATCAGACGTCCTGAATGATTGCATAACCAATGCCACCAACTCTCGTCCCTTCACGATCACCCCTTGTTGATGTCGTAGTTCCGAATGTCGCGTAGCGTCGAGGTACACGTCTTTGGCTTCGTCAGGTGCTTGTTTTAACATGTTCTGCATGCCCATGGCCATTTTGATATCTATCGTAGCGAATCTGTCGCCGCCGGAGTCGCTCAGCAGATTTAGGTCTGGGTTTAACCCAAGAGCCTGTTCCAACCATTTCGTCCATGTGTCAGTATCTGGATCTGCGCATGCGCTCAGAACATTCATCAGCAATTGCATCTTCCAGTTATCGAGTTGATGGATCTTTGGCCAAGCAGGAATAGACACCCTCTCGGCTTCTTTCCTCGAAATCCTCGGTCTTTCGCTCTTGATTTCTCGATCATCCCTCGATCTTCTGCGCCTCCTCCGTGTCCGATTGTCATCTTCTTCCTCTTCTTCTTCCTCGTCCTCTTCATCCTCTTCGTCGTCGTCATCCTCGTCCTCATCATCGGGTGGATCATCCGGAGGTCCTCCTCCGCCACCTGTGAGGCTCAACTGACGTCGACCTGCCCCTTGTCTATTTCCATTGGGCGAGAATCCACCGTAATCCAATGGGGGTGTAGTACCGTTGTTTCCCCCTCCATCACCACTACCACCAGTTGTAGTAGCGGATTGTGGGACATGCCCAACAACCCCTTGCATCTGGGATAGGTGTACATCGATCATTGGATCACCAAAAGACGGAAAGAGAATCGAACCTGGCATTAGTGACGAATTAGGGATCAGATTCGATGATGATGACGGGAATAACCCAGTCACCCTCTTGTCTACCCTAGTCGAATTAGCTTGGGGTCCTCCCTCAGCGCGTTTCACTACTGCTCGTTCACGATGTCCATCTTTACTGCTAGAGGCTTCCTGTGTCTCCAGCTTCTTGAGTGCTCGTAGTTCCTCATTGTCAGCATCGAGTTGACGAACAAAACTCTCTTCTTGCTTGAGCGTCGCCTCCCGATCCTTCAGTTGTCCCTGAAGTTCACGCATCTCCTCGAGGTACTCATCATACACTCCTTTAGCTGTCAATCTCCAGTACTCGGCCTCCTTCGATTTCTCGTCCATCGTGCACCGCTCTTCTTGTTTTGCTTCTCTGACCTGGGCTAACTCCAAGATCGCATCTTGACGATGACTACCCTCGATAGCAATCATCTGGTCCTTCTTCAACACGTCGGATTCGTACTGCTTGACGATCTCTTCCTTCTCGCGAAGTAAGCACTCTGCTCTCTTCGATTCTTGCTCCGCGAATGTTGTAACGTCGTTCAGTCTCGCCATCAGCTGCTCCCTGGAGTCCTCCATAGAGTACGTCTCGGGGCGTTTGACGAGTGCATGCTCCAACTGTGATTTTAGACTTTGGACCATCTCCTCCTCGTTAAACTTCTCGATAGATGTAGACGATTCAATACCTCTGATCTGTTGCTGATAAACTGATATTTGTTGTGAAGCCTCACGGTGTATCTGATTTGCACGTATAGCTGATTCCTGCGCGGCGACTTCTCGCTTGCCATGTAGGATTTCATCACTGCAATCTCCCGCTTCTGCTCCATAATAGTTCCTTCAGCTTGTCTCATCTGTTGTATTATAACATTCGACTCCATGTCTTTCTTTTCCCCGTACTGATATGCGTTCATTTCCACCTTGCGCATCTGTTGGGCTTCCTCCTCAAACTTGCGCCATGCCTCAGCCATGTGGTGTTGGTGGTGACTCACAAGATGTCCCGACTGCTTGCTGGCAATCTCGCATCGTCTCTCCAGCTCCTGGATCCGGATGGTGCTCCCATAGTCTTCTTGATGAAGATTCGCCATTGCTGCCGACATTTCATCAAGTGTCTTTTGGTATTCCCCGATCTCCATCTCCATCTTGTTCTTTTCTTTAATCGCGGCGCGAAACTCCGCACTGGTGGGTGATTTAGACCTCCCACCTTTTGATGTTGACCTCACGCCCTTCTGCGACGTCCGTGGTGTCGCAGGCGAAGATGATGATCTTCTCGGCGGGGATTCTCTTTGCTTCGACTCCTGACGAACATCGATCTGCTTCCATGATCTTGTAGGAGTGGATATGTCGCTGAATAGCGCGGATCCTCCGCTCCCAGGTTCATCCTGTGAATCTGCGACCAAATCCATCACCGCAGGAAGAGCCATCAATCCATTGGATCCCTCTGAGCTGCTGTTCCCAAAAGTTGCAGTACTTGGGCTCGCTGAAGATGCCATTGTACCGTGTAGGTTATTGTCCCTTTATTGTCCCTGTACCCGCAATAAACCAGCTGTCTCTCTGTCCAGTGTAGAGCTTGTCGTTACGGCTGATAACCTGTCAAGAGACGGCAAGGTGACGTCCCGTGGGACGCTGTCCACCGAACCCTCCAGCTGTAAATACCAACCACGTAGAAAGGTGTATACGGTCAAACCGTTATAGCCGAACCCGTGCAACTGTTGTAAGGGAGAAGGAATAATAGTTACAACAGTGGTCCTGACAAATGCAGCGCAAGAAGTGTTTTCCGCTCTCAACTGCCGATCACGTATGAACGCAGCTTCACATAAGATCTTGAACCTCACTTGTGACTTGAGCCAGATGGCAATCAATGGAACCTTGTAAGCAACACAAACACGGACCTCAGAACTGCTTCCCAATTTAGGCACGGGGCCAGGAGGGTTTTAACAGAGGAAAACCACCGAAGGGTGTCAAGTCCCCAAAAGCAATGCCCGTGTTGGCCGCTTTCAGGCTTGTTCAAGGGAATGCCAACAGGACAGGAAACTGCGCGCATTTCGCGGACCATGTGGAGCCCTTTTCTTGAGACCAACACATTGGACGCGAGTAATCATTTGGGGGATAGATAGGGGGCCTAGAAAAACTAAGTAAACAACCTCTTCATCCGCTTTTGGTTTCCTAGGGACTGTTTTCCGAGTTAGGTGCCTTGTTCACCTTAACACCCAAGCATGTGAGACCCTGTCAAAAAAACTGGGTCCGGTAAATGAAACATAAAAACGGGCCAAATCTTCGCAACACCCTGAAGCCAAGGTTGAGCCCAATTACTTGTTCACGCAATTTACGTCGGGGAATCGCATCAGAAGCCAAAGCGGGTTCATGTCCACATAGGCCCAGTGCTTCTTCGACGTCGAGATCTGAGCGCGCGGCCCCACGGGGATCTCGCCGCCATTGCCCAGGTGCTCCTTGAGCCACACCTCCCAGGTGTTCTTCAAGGTCTCCTTCGAGGCGATAGGCTGGCAATAGGTCGGTTCCAAGTGTCTTGGGAAAACGGCTGGGCGGTCGGGTGAAATGGAATTCGAACAAAAGCTTGAAAACCCGGGGGGGATGAGAAAAGAGATTGAAATCTGCCTCTAAGACACGTGCACAAATCTCCTTGGACTCCCCGGGCATCTCAGCGCACTTCACCTCAGACCCGAAACCCGACTTCCTGCTCAGCTCACCTACTTGCTGGTGCGATAGGCACGGAATGAGACATGGAATGACCCGGTGGTTTCCTTTAAGGGGAGCCCTGGGTTCATTCCCTCACTCCCTGCTGAGCACCAGCAAGCTTAAGATGACCTTCATCAACGATCCTGAATGACAGTTCAAGTTGATGAGCTACCATGGCACGGTTTCTCATGTATGTCCGCTTCAATCATCACCTACCAAAGCATACTCGTTTCAACATGCTGGTTTAACCAAGTTGTGAGTTGTTCTGTTCCTTCCAAATCACTCTCGTTCTTTGAGGGCACCCCTTTTTGCTCTGACTCGAAGGAAAACCCAGAAGGACGACCAATGCCCATGATTGAAAATCCACATGGTTTTGTCTCCAAATTTAAAAAGCGCCAAATAGCCTGCAACCACGGACATGCCCAAATCCCTGTGACACATACGCACGCGCCCCAAGCTCAGGTTTCAATTGTGGAAGCTGCGGCGCTGCGCTGGGGCGAGCGCCGAGCCGATGAACTCGCCCACCTCGGCTCACAAAGGAGGAGTTGGCCAGCCGACAGCTCAGCGGTTCCCAGGGTTTGGTAATGAAGCGACAGATCTCCTTATCCACCACTTGGATGGTTCGCTTGGTTCGAACTAACTGCTTTCATTCCCGGCAAAAAAAGACATAAACACAACAATAATAAAATACTAATAATAGCAATACTATTAATAATAAAATAATACTTATAATAGTAGTATTAAGAATAATAATAATAATAAGACTAACAATAATAACAATGATAATACAACTAATGCTAATAGTAATACGAGTAGCTAATCATAATAATTAATGATAATAACAATCATAATAATACTAACAATAAACTTGAAACTTGGTGGTTTAGTCATTCCAACTCATCTTCCCGAACGACAACCATCCAATTAATTGATGGTTTAGCGATTCCAAACCCATAAGTCAATTTTGTCACTCCAACGCAGATTCAGGGACGTAAACAAAATCTGTGGTTTAATGGATCGCAAATGGTTCATTCCCAAAACACCAAAAATGTGTCGATCCGACTCGATTCAAGCCGCCTCCTGGATGCCAATGGCTTTCGCGTGGTTTGCCACACTCTTCTGGATGTCCCTCAGCCGAGTCGTGATGAGGTTTTCTCAAGATGGACCCTTTTGTTTGTGTTGGACGGGACAATCATAGAAAACCGGGACCACCAGTGCGACAAACAACCAGTTGAAATGACCCCGTACTGGACCCACTTCACTGGCTCATCCGTCCCACAATTGACCCACCCAACTTGTGTCCGTTTACAGGGATAGGTTTAACTTGGGATTTGCCTACAATCCGCTCATTACAGGCAACCGAGCAAAATGGACTCCCCAAGAAGGGCATCATCACTCAAGCATGCACACACACACAAACACACACCTTGGCGGTTTGGATGTAGAGGGCAGGGCAGGTCGTGACTGAGCGCCCAACTTGGAGAGGCCGATGTATTGCAGCCTCTCAGTGGCATCGTACACGGCGTAAACTCCCATCTCCTCGCAGGACATCTCCGAGAAAAACAGGGGGAATCCACAGGTATATCCCAAGCGGCTTCGTAACGATGCTGCCAGTTGCCACTTTAATAGGTACGGGAAACTGCCATTTAAAACCTGAAGTGCCATTTTGTTTGCCTATGGCGGTCACGGCAAAACCAGCTTAGTTCATTGGCTGCTCGAAAACCACAAATCCCTCTGATGGTAACTGTGCCTTGGACAGTTGGAGAGGCTCCTCTGGCAGCGCTGACACGTCCAGATCCCCTGTGACCACATCCACCTCCATCACGTACACCGGAGCCTGCCATGAGTCCCATTGAGTCTTTCCAACCCACCGGTTGATTTCATCACTACTCACCTTCTGGTTCAAAAATGCTTTCTTTGGTTGACTCCACCTCAGACCTCAGCAAAACTGGAAAAACAACTGCAGATCCATCCGTGGAACACTTTTCGATGCACCGCAAGATTAAGCCATGCTTGAACATCACCCTTCCGAAAACATGGCTGTTGATATATATATATATATATATATGCTACCCCCCCTTGAAATACTCAGGTTTTTGACCAGAACTGAGGTTTTTTGGCCAGACAGGTGACAAATTCCTTGCGACTCTGAAATGAACTGACTGGACGCTCAACGCCATGCAAATTCCAACCAAGCAGAACTTAAGCTCAACGTTGAAGGAGTTGTTGTGATCGTCACACTGGCGTGCGCGAGTGCACTTAAAGTCACATTGGAGTATGCAAAGCTCACTTTGGCAGCTCCAGCTCAAAAAACACAACTGTCCAGTACAAGAGTAGTGCGCAAAGTATGTTTTGGCAGCCTCAACGCGCCAGTAGCAGCTCTACTATTGTGTGTTTCTTATTTTTGTTTGGCAGCGAAATTATGCAAATCATCAACTTGGGGAAACGGAACTCATTCCTACTTCATGTCCTGGCGCAATTGCATTTTCATGCAGAATTCCATGTGCATGCTAGTTCAGTCTGATTGAAACATATGTTGCAAAGCAACTATCCCACGTGTGTGTGAGTTGCTTGTCTAACTTGGTTCAATCATCGCCAATAACAAGTATTGAAATTCAAGCAAGGGAAGGATATCCAGATTAAAACGCTTTCGAGTTCAAACCAAACTCAAGTTTACTCGTTTGGAGTTTCTTGTGCATTTCAAAAATCAACTGGAGAAGCTGGCTATTGTCCTTATCGAACTCCATGTGGTTGAGCCAGCAAGAACTGAGCCAAGCCAATGCCTGGAACGTGCTTTCAATCATAGATCTTATTCTTGGCGTAAATGCTGTAAAACGCAGTGTTTTTCAGCATTTGCTCAGATCGCGTTGCCCTGGATCGAAGATCGAGTATACAATATTCCACAAACATATGTTTAGAACATCCTCAATCCTGGTCCCCTAACAACTTGACAGTTTGTGCTAGACTCAATAAGGTTTTCCCCCCTGCATTGAAGATTGAAGCTCTACTATATTTTCTATTGAGAATCTTCCATCCTGGCCAGCCCTCAAGTCCACAAAAAACCTGCAAAGATGTCAACAACATTTTTCTTCCTGGCCAAATGCAGGCAGTGCAAGTGCACATCCACAATTTGACTCTGACCAGGTGCGCTCCCGGTTTGGCAGCGAAATTCAGCAAATCATCAACTTGGGGAAACGGAACTCATTCCTACTTCATGTCCTTGCGCAATTGCATTTTCATGTTAACTCGAGTGTTGTGCAGAATTCCATGTACATGCTAGTTCAGTCTGTTTGAAACATATGTTGCAAAGCAACTATCCCATGTGTGCGTGTGTGTTGCTAGTCTAACTTGGTTCAATCATCGCCAATAACAAGTGTTGAAATCCAAGCAAGGGAAGGATATCCAGTTTAAAACGCTTTCGAGTTCAAGCCAAATTCAAGTTTACTCGTTTGGAGTTTCTTGTGCATTTCAAAAATCAACTGGAGAAGCTGGCTATTGTCCTTATCGAACTCCATGTGGTTGAGCCAGCAAGAACTGAGCCAAGCCAAAGCCTGGAACGTGCTTTCAATCATAGATCTTATTATTGGCGTAAATGCTGTAAAACGCAGTGTTTCTCAGCATTTGCTCAGATCGCGTTGCCCTGGATCGAAGATCGAGTATACAATATTCCACAAACATATGTTTAGAACATCCTCAATCCTGGTCCCCTAAAAACTTGACAGTTTGTGCTAGACTCAATAAGGTTTTGCCCCCTGCATTGAAGATTGAAGCTCTACTATATTTTCTATTGAGAATCTTCCATCCTGGCCAGCCCTCAAGTCCACAAAAAACATGCAAAGATGTCAACAACATTTTTTCTTCCTGGCCAAATGCAGGCAGTGCAAGTGCACATCCACAATTTGACTCTGACAAGGTGCGCTCCCGGTTTGGCAGCGAAATTCAGCAAATCATCAACTTGGGGAAACGGAACTCATTCCTACTTCATGTCCTTGCGCAATTGCATTTGCATGTTAACTCGAGTGTTGTGCAGAATTCCATGTACATGCTAGTTCAGTCTGATTGAAACATATGTTGCAAAGCAACTATCCCACGTGTGTGTGTGAGTTGCTTGTCTAACTTGGTTCAATCATCGCCAATAACAAGTATTGAAATTCAAGCAAGGGAAGGATATCCAGTTTAAAACGCTTTCGAGTTCAAACCAAACTCAAGTTTACTCGTTTGGAGTTTCTTGTGCATTTCAAAAATCAACTGGAAAAGATGGCTATTGTCCTTATCGAACTCCATGTGGTTTGAACCAAGCAAGAACTGAGCCAAGCCAATGCCTGGAACGTGCTTTCAATCATAGATCTTATTCTTGGCATAAATGCTGTAAAACGCAGTGTTTTTCAGCATTTGCTCAGATCGCGTTGCCCTGGATCGAAGATCGAGTATACAATATTCCACAAACATATGTTTAGAACATCCTCAATCCTGGTCCCCTAACAACTTGACAGTTTGTGCTAGACTCATTAAGGTTTTGCCCCCTGCATTGAAGATTGAAGATCTGCTAATTTTTCTATTGAGAATCTTCCATCCTTGCCAGCCCTCAAGTCCACAAAAAACGTGCAAAGATGTCAACAACATTTTTTCTTCCTGGCCAAATGCAGGCAGTGCAAGTGCACATCCACAATTTGATTGTGACAAGGTGCACTCCCGGTCTGCCTTTTAGATTCTTCAAATCCGCACTTAGGGCAATCCAGGATCTGAAGATTGAAGATTCTCTGACAACTCTTTCTGAAATTATCCAAATATGTACTTAGGGCAATCCAGGATGTGCTAGCACGTGCTAGCACATCCTGGATTGAAGATTGAAGATTGAAGATTCTCAGGCCACTTGTTCTGGAAATCTTCAATCTATCCTTAGGACAAACTGATATGTGCTAGCACGTGCTAGCACATCCTGGATTGAAGATTGAAGATTGAAGAATCCCAGAGAGAGTTGTCAGAGAATCTTCAATCTTCAATCTTCAATCCAGGATGTGCTAGCACATGCTGGCACGTATCAGTTTGTCCTAAGGATAGATTGAAGATTTCCAGAACAAGTGGTCTCAGAATCTTCAATCTTCAATCTTCAATCCAGGATGTGCTAGCACGTGCTAGCACATCCTGGATTGACCTAAGTACCGATGCTAGAATTTAAGTCTAAAACGGAGTGCATTTTTGGAGCCTCATTTTTAGAACCTGGAACGTGTGTTTTGCATGCATTTTTACAGCCAAAATGTCAATTTCTGGCCAAAAACCTGAGTATTCCAGGGGGGGGGGTACCATATATATATATATATATGTATATATATATATATATGTTGATTCCCATGACTTGATTACTTTCGTATCACAGGAACTGGCCGAACAAGAACAACAGTTTTCCACAACCATGGCTTGACATCCCAAGCCCATCGGTGCCTCCGTCATGGGAGGCACTTCCTCGGAAGTGAGCAAGCCCATAGCCCAGGGGATCCCAGTTGGCCCCATGGTCCGTCGCCATGTTCCTTCCAGCTTTCAAGGGGTTCCTTTGCTCGTCTCTACAGATATGAAAGTTCAAATTTTGGTGGGAGATAAATCACTCCAAACGCTAAGAGGGGCAAGGGTGTGGCTGGAAACGCCCAAGATAGATGGATCCGCCAGGTAGCGGACAACCACTCTTTGCGGTTTGGTGGCTTGCCGACTGCTTGATAGCATGATTGATATCCAAGCAGCAAATTCTTGAGGCTTCCCTTTGAACCATTCTGAAAGGCCCCTCAACAAACATCAAGATCCAAGCAGCCCGCCAAAATGGCACTCCGTGATTGAATCTCAAACGAACCCTGGGGGACCCCAACAGATTCCTCCAGAAATGCTGTTTGCTTGGGTTCCATGTTATTGAAAGGGCTTACCGCAAACCCGGTCCAGAATCAAAAGAGCGACTTTTCGCCGCCTTGATGGACGGGACTGTCCGCTACCAACCTCAATTCTGAGTGCCTCAACTCAGCTTTCCCTGTGTCGCTTTACACATCACCCCAAAAGGAGCTCACTGGAAATGGCTCCCAAGCTCTGGCAACGGCCAGACAAACCAATGGTCAACCCTTGGATGTTTGGACTGGCCAAAGCAACCCCCTAAAGCTGGCAATAAAGTGGATGAACACAAGATCAGTATTCAAATCGGACGAAGACCAGTATTCACATCGGGCTTCATGCATCCCAACTGGTGCCGATCGGCGTGGGATGTTGCCCATGCAGCGTAGGCATGCCCCAACAAATGCCTGTTGTTTCGGTTTTTCTTTGAACTCTGAAAATGGCACTCTCAAATGGGCTTCCCTTTTTGAGGGAACCCGTCTTGGGTTTCGTTTCAAAAGGGAAACCAAAAGGAAAACCCAACACTTGTTTTGGGAGCACCCAAATAACACCCAGACCCAAACCTCTCCGACCGCTGCGCATTGAATTTCCTGCGTCTGGGCGTTCCGGCCATGATATCGGCCTCGGCCCATCTCTGTACATGTGGTGCCCTGGATGGCCTGGATGCAGTCCAGGGCGACAGAAACCTCGGACTGCTCGAGTCGGAGAAGGCCATGGCGCTTCTCCGGACAAAAAATCTACCTGAAGATTTACGCCGAAATGGTCCCATAAGGGTAGTTTGAAGCGCATGTGGTCAAAGCTCCGTTCATTGTGGGTCATGGTGTCATGATTCACCATGGTTCCCTCAGGAATCCTTACCATGGTTGGTCCAAATTCTCGTAAGGGTCCATGGCCACCTACTAACCCCAAGCAAGCTTTTTGGCTGCGGGTTCAAACAATATGGGGCCGCAGGGGAAAAACTAGTTCAAGCCGCTTCTTGATCTCATTCAGGGACATTAAAAGCTTGTTAATTACAAAAGTCAACATGGCTGGAAATCTCAGGCTCGGGATATTGATAGTCATAATCAACCTTGGTAGGGTACCCCTGGACCCCGCGTGGCTTGATTCTAAGGGCTTCTCAAAAGAAGAATGGTTTTCTGGGTTCCCTTAAAGCCGTACCATTTCGAGGGCATTTGAGGATGTCACATTAATGGACTCAGCACGAGGTATCAAGACCACCCCCATCAGCTTGAAGGCATTCCTAAAATTCTGACCCAAGCGCGTTTCGATTCGATCAGAAACATGTCGGTTCCTTCAGAATCTTGTCCCGAAAGGAGCTTCTTCCAATGCGCCGATTCCAGAAATGGAAGTGTGCCTCCCGCTTCCGCTCGATTTGCCTTTTGGAGGTGGGGGTTGATCAAAAAAGGTCCTTTACAAGAAGGACGAGATGACGACATGACCCTTACGTTGGAAAGCAAAAAGATGATACTGTGGATGGACGAAATCCTGCACCACCTAAGAGACCCTGGAATAATAATTCCCCTGTAAATACCTATCAAAGTGGTGCGAAATGGATTTTGTCCATCCACAGTATGTCCCACATGCCTGGGGGGCATATCAAAGGCAACTTCCATGCCCCAGGTATCCAGGTCCGATGAAACTCCGGGCAGCGGGCGCGCTGGAGAGTCCCCAGGCAGCTGCCTCGGAAAGCGCAACCAAGCAAGCCCAGCAACAGCAAACGCAGAAGCAACCAACAGCAAGCAAAGCACACCAGACGAAACCAAAACCAAACCACTCAAACTGGAAGCAACAGCAAGCAAAGCAACCAAGCAAACTACAACAAACCAAACACTTTCCCGAGCTTTGCGTCCCCAGCCCCAGCCAGGAGCAGCCGTGCCCGGCGCGCCATCGGCCTTCCTGACCGGTGAACAATGGGAGGAGGTCCAGCACATGGGTGTCTCTTGCCGAGGGTGCCCGTTTCTCGTTTGCAAGGAAACTAAAAGGAACACCACCATTTTCTGGGGTCCCCAAAAAAAGGGCGCGTCTACATGGGTGTTTGTTATTTTTTGGGGACACCCCTTTTGGTTGGCGTTAAAGGAACAGGAAACCACTATTCTTTGGACTTCCCATTATAGAAAAGCTGCGCCATCTCCTTTCAACTGTAAGGGTCACTCAGGACCCCATGCGGGCATAAGGGGCCCTCCAATGGAGAACCCAGAGTTTAGAGACCCCTCACAGGGTATTAATTTGAGGATTCAACACCTTTTGGGACCCTTGCATGCTTTTGTTTGACTAAACTAACACCTGAACTACTATGTTTAATACAGATTAATGACCCTCCGACTTGTAGTGGTATTTCTTGCTGTGAGAACCCGCTGATTGACAAGGGGAGCTTTTAATCTATGGGGGCCCCTGAACCCGCAGCGCCTGGAAAGTCGGAGAGGGAAAAGTGGCACCGGAAAAAAGGAACGCTGCGGTGAGATGGGAGCGCAAGCTTGGCCGGCCAGATGTCATGCCCGTTCTAGTAAGGAAAAAACGCTGATGCTCGTACATGCAAGGCGATTGGTGACAGTTGCAGGAGACGCCCCAGCTCAGCTTATTTTCCCGCGCGAAGCTTGGATGCGGCTCAGCGAGTTCCGCCAAGCCATCCGTCATGGGCAAGCCCCTGAAGCTCGGGCTTGGCAGTGCCACTCACCCGTTGAAATTGGTGGGATGACCTTTGCAGGGATAGGGAAGCTCGAGTTCAAAAGTAACACCTTGTGGTTTCTTTAGCGCAACATGTGTGTATTTAGACCTAAGTCAGGCAAAACACCAACAGGTTTTAGATGCTTTAGCTCTAACCAAGGGGTGCCGCCGTGCGCCGCCTTTCAATGGAAAGCTCACTTCCGCGCCCTGCTTCAAGCGGTCAGAAGAGAACCCCTGGCGCCGGCGACGCGAGCGCACGCGCCATCTCAAAGCTTGCCGCCTTGTCAAGTGCCAGCAACAGTGATTCCATTTCCCTGCAACCAAGGGGCTTCCCACCCAACAGCAAAGCGGACACTGGCCGTGGCTTGGGATCCACTGGCACCTTCCGGCCTTGTGACTTGGGCATCGTGGCTCCTGCCAGTTTGTGAGCGTGGTAAACACGCTGGATCCCCAGATCCAACACCCACACGTCAATGCACAATGTTCCGCTCTACCACAAAGAAGCATTATACATGTGTATCTATATATGTACAAATATGTGCATAATACATGCATGCGCAACATATAATCAATTATAGTATAGTGTCATATCCTTATGAAAGTGTAAGAAACAACGGCGAAGGCAGTCCTTCCGCGGAACCCTGGACCGAGGCCTGAGTTTGGAAGTTCCCCCGACGAACACCGCCTTCCAACTTTCTGCTCCAGTTCGTGCAAAAACGAAACCGGCTTTGGAGGTTCAAGCCAATTTTCCTATCTTGCGATTCTCTTTACATCAGCCAAAAAGGGGTGACCTCAAAAGAAACACACCCCGGTTGGGTCATATGTTCAAAGCCAAAGCGATGGCCCGAGGCAGCTGCTCCGTAGTGCGACTCCAGCTGGCTGGTGATCTTCGCCAGCCGAAGGATGCTCCTCCCCCCCAGAATCTACGACCTCCTCTCAGTTTGCTTTGGATGGTTTGGAGGTTCGGTTTGTCCCTGGTCAAGTTTGGTGGAGGTTTGGTTTGCCTGTCCTTGTTAGTGAAGTTCAAAAGGTCCAAGCCCCCCATCTGTACATGCCCATAAAGGAAACCTATATGCGGAAGGGGCCCCTTGCTGGGTGGTTCAGGGCCTGGGATGGCCACGGGTTGAGTCATATCCGGGGGTGCTCGTACATAGTGGTATTTGCCAAAATACGGTAACCCAGAAAATGGGCGGGCTTTCATTTAGGTTCCCTTTACGAGAAGTAGGTGAAACGCGTACCCTCAGAAGCACGCATGATATTCCATTGCGTGCTTCGGGCAAAGGACCCCAGAAGGTCTGGGCCCCAAACCTGAAAACAACGGTTATGCGCAGGAGGTACTTCTACGTTTCGATGGGAATTTGCAAAAACTAAGGCGCGCCAGGTCAAGTCGGGGTCAGCATCTGAACAACTCTGGGCTCCACCCTGTCAATCGCAAAACAGATGGAGCGGGTTGCGGAAACGAAAAGGTCCCTTAAATCCTAAAAGGGGACAAGGGGCCCTATCAGTCGACCTTCAGCACCATTTTGAGCAGCCCGCACGCGCACTGGTCGGCGCCCTCCTGGCTTCTGTCTGCACAGTGGGCGTCGTCAAGACCTGGACGCGGCCGAAACGATTGCGAGTCGAGGGCGATGTTCGGGACTGAAATGTCGAGCTTCAGTCCCACACAATGCATGTAGGTAATAGCACTTGACCCATGTGGCGGTACATGGATTCGTCCTTGCAAATGGAAGATGAATCCCGCAGGACAAGGCCTCCTGGCCGGAACAAGCAGATGGTATTAGGTTAAATTGCTTGGGAACGGAAGGCTTCAATGATGTTTCCATGCGGTTCATTTTACCCTTCAGCCGCATGGTACCGCGGCACCCAAACAGTACGCAGCTCGTGTGTGTGTGTGTGCCTGTGCCAGTGTCTGTGTCTGTGTCTGCGTCTGTGTCTGCGTCTGTTGCTGCGTCTGTGTCTGTGTCTGTGTCTGCGTCTGCGTCTGCGTCTGCGTCTGTGTCTGTGTCTGTGTGTCTGTGTGTCTGTGTCTCTGTGTCTCTGTGTGTCTGTGTGTGTGTGTGTCTGTGTCTCTGCGTCTGCGTCTGCGTCTGCGTCTGTGTCTGCGTCTGCGTCTGTGTCTGTGTCTGTGTCTGCGTCTGTGTCTGTGTGTCTGTGTCTCTGTGCGTCTGTGCGTCTGTGTGTCTGTGTGTCTGTGTGTCTGTGTGTCTGTGTGTCTGTGTGTCTGTGTGTCTGTGTGTCTGTGTGTCTGTGTGTCTGTGTGTCTGTGTGTCTGTGTGTCTGTGTGTCTGTGTGTCTGTGTGTCTGTGTGTCTGTGTGTGTGTCTGTGTGTCTGTGTGTCTGTGTGTCTGTGTGTCTGTGTGTCTGTGTGTCTGTGTGTCTGTGTGTCTGTGTGTCTGTGTGTCTGTGTGTCTGTGTGTCTGTGTGTCTGTGTGTCTGTGTGTCTGTGTGTCTGTGTGTCTGTGTGTCTGTGTGTCTGTGTGTCTGTGTCTCTGTGTCTCTGTGTCTCTGTGTCTCTGTGTCTCTGTGTCTCTGTGTCTCTGTGTGTGTGTCTGTGTGTCTGTGTGTCTGTGTGTCTGTGTGTGTCTGTGTGCGTTTGTTTGAGCGTACCCTTTTCACGTTCGGTGTAAAGGGACAAGGCAACTCAACAGGAAAACACTCCCCGTTTGCGGGTGCAACATCCCCATTGTGACACGTACCCAGTTATATCATTCCAAGGACCAACACAGTTAAATAACCCTTAATTTGTTGTTTCAAATGGTGGTTTGGGGATTGGAACCCCTGGTTCTTGTAGAGGGCGACTGTGACGCCTCCTAACCCTAACCCCCAAACCACCAGGCTTCACCAATTACCCTCCCACCTCTGTTCTACATGGAAGGTGACAGGGACCCGGTCCATGCAAGAGAAAAATATCCGAAGGACCTCCTTGTCAACTGGTGGGAGAGGGAAGCTGACCACAGACCTTTCAGCCGCTGGCAACCGGGGCGCGCGCCGTGGCTGTTTTGGCTGAGGAGGGCCGCCAGTGGGGCGGAGGCTCCACTGCCGGCCTGGAAGCGACGATTCACCGAAGCTTGGTGTGTGATGCTTGCAACTCAATCTGTCAATCATGCTACCCCCCCCCCCCGCCCACCCAAAAAGTGATGTGTACAAAGTCAGACAAAATCGAGTGGACCTGGCGGGTCGCAACTCAACACAACAACTTCTGGAGACCCTTGTCGGAGGTCCCCAAGGCGAGCCCAACATCACCGATTTGGCCCATGCCTCGGGGCAGATGCTGCCGCCGCCGTCTTGGCTGCGTTTTTCTGGCAGCAAAAACTGTGGGGAGAGGTTCCTTGAAATGGGGGTCTCAAAGTAGGGCAACACCAAAAAGTGATGTTTGTTCTTTCGGTTTCCCTTTGATCCAAGGTGCAAAGGGTAGCCCCCAACAAAAATACACCCACTCGGAACCCGCCTTAGGGGAGGTAGGTCCGGGATGTTAAACTCAGCCTCAAGGGGGCTCCCTCTTGTGCGGGGCTCTGACTCGTTGAACCCATCCCTCGCAAAGTATCCGGAACATCACATCTTACCATTCCAACACCCGATGCAACTTTGACAAAGCCCAAGGCCTCTCAACAGCCATCTCAGGATCATATCGATTCAGCCATCTGAATAAGCCAAATCCTAAGTAAAAAGAATCCAAGAAAACAACCTCGTCTTTCTCCTGCTCGGAGGAAGCGAGCGGCGTACTTTTGTGCACGAGAACACTGCCTGCAGCTTCATGCACTCCCGCAACTCCTGCGATCCAGCGGAGTAAAAGCCATTCGTGGTGCGGAGGGCACCCTTAATGGGCCCTACTGGGTGTTCGGCCAAGCTAGTACCCTCCCTCCCACAACCATGGCACCTATGGGGAGGTACCTGGAAGATGAATTTCCTCTTGAAGGGACCCCTGTCAACTGCCATGTTAGTGGGTAAGTTGTTGGGAACCTAGGTTACAACCCGCTTATAGGGTTTCCCCCCCCTAAGTGCAGCGGACCTTGTCATTAGTGGGTTATAACCCAGGCGGCTAACCACTTACTTGCTTGGCCGAAAATCCAAGTGAACAACTGGGTTCTAGGACGCTTTACATCATTGTCCTTTGGTGGAGGGTGGAACCTGTTCATTCGAACCCGTTTAGCCCCTGAATATGTAACAGTGGGGATAAGTGTATATTATACCTGTCAAAAGCCAATCGCCTGACTTCATCCGAAGTATTGTATGAACAGCCAACAACCCCCAAAGCCAGGGCAAAACGACGCGACAAATCTCTTGGGCAAAAGGCTTAAGAAACTTGGACGAAACCATGGCAAAGAGCTCATAGGGCCCTTTTGCCGACATCATCTCTGGCAGGGGGAATCTTCCTGACGTTCCACTTGCCCGCAAACAAGAAGCCCAGATAGTACCCCCAACAGCCCCGGAACCCCCGGAGCTTCCTGAGGCGGCAACCCCAAGCTTTCAGATCCCTCGGAACATGTTTTGGGCGTGGACGCCAATTCATCCAGCACCGGGTTCGCGGGTCAGTCATTGCCACTGAGCCACACAGTTGGGAAACGGGCCAAAAAACAAGTTCAAATCATCCATAAAACAAGAGACCCAAGACTCAGACCAAAAAGCAATCGGGTGTTTCACACTTTTCCCAGTGATTGTGTCTGTGTTAGAGTAAAGTGTGTGGGAGAAAAGCGATCGCAACTTGGCGATCAAGGTAGTTCCTTGAGGATATCCCAACTGCTTTCCCCGACCAGAACAAAGTACAATAATTGTCTCAGGGACACATAAAGCCTGCCTGGAACAGTGAAAAAACCATTGTTGGCTGGCATTCACAGGTCTTAGGTGGTGCGAAGTGGATTCCGCCCATCCACAGGCCGTCGTTTAAATCATCCCAAGAGCGACTCTCTCCTGCTCCACGCCAGCGGGAAGCTTCACGCCCTCCTGGTGATTTCTTTGCCGACGGACGGGGGAACCGTGGTGTTTTTCGGGCTTCAACATTGTCCCGCCCGAAAATGGGCGTGTTTCTCTTTCAGGGGACACCACAATGGTGGGTTTCCTTTTGGCTTCCCTCCAAGGGGTACCAGCTCCAAACGAAGACACACCCAAATGGGTGATGGTGTGACACCTCAGAAAAAAAAAGTCCCAGAAAGGGAACCACGAAACACGTCACACCTTCACTCCCGGTGAAGCCAGCGCGAAGCTTCGCCTTCTGTGGTCAAACCCTCCGGCTTCCATCGCATCGATTTCTCCCAAAACAAATTCGAACAGGTCCTGGCCTGAAGCCAAGATGAAGTATTCAACAAGTGCAATGCCCTGATCAAAACTGCTTGCGATTGCCACAGCTCCCACGGACCATGGCTCCTATGGACCCTTGGACATCAAGATTAGGTCCACCAACCGTTGACCCAGCCTGTCCCTCCCCAAATGGACAAACAAATCCGGACATTTTAAGACCTCACCCGGGTTCAGCCACCTCCTTGTGAGCTCCCAGATCTGACCCTGTTGAGCCGGTTCCGACTGTTGAAAGTCATGGAAAGGGGAATTTTTGTTCGCACCACGAAATGAAACCATCGTTGAAACCATAACGTTTGTTGTTTACAGGGGAAACATCAGACACCAAGTTTTCTTAGGTGGTGCGAAATGGGATTTCGTCCATCCACAGTATGATGTGTGAACCGGTTTCACTGGCAATGGTACGTGGGGAACGCGGCCTTGACCGCGTCTGTTTTTTTTTTTGTTTTTTTCTCCGGATCTTTCGTCAGGATTGTCCTTTTGTGCACTTGCACCATGTGGGATTGTCTTTTCTTTGGAGCTTTGACAAACAAGTTTTGGGGGTTTCCTTTAGTTTCCCTTTGAAAACAACGCCAAAAGGAGCACCCCGACCCTAAAACAGCCTTAGCAAACGGGTTTGATACTGCCCCATCCCAACATGCATGGGTCTTTCCCCATGTTTAATTACGGGTGTTTGTGGCTCCAGCTCCAAACAACGGCATGCCCTGCCGCAAACCCGTCCCGCAGCTGCGCCGCCGGCCGCCCCCGACGTTTCAGAGACATGGCGCAAACCGCGAAACGCGAAACGCGAGTTACGCGCTTCGGCGACAGAGCGACCCTCACAGACCTGGGTACATCGACATGGGTTCGTCTTTTTGTAGTCCCTCCAACATGGCTTGGAGCTTTCTCCTTGTTGCCCGTTAGGACCAAAAGTGAAAAAAACAACATAGCCACACGCGTGTTGAAGTTGATTCCCTGTTTAGGGGTTGAGCGAAAACTCTTTTTTGTTTGAGTTGGTATCCCGTTTGAGTTGAGGGACATGGGCCAAACATGTAGAAACAGGTCTTCTGTTTGCCAACGCGCACCTGCTACTGATTCTAAGTCGCTACTTGCCTGAGGGAGCTGAGTGAAGCAGGTTGAACCTTTTGCAATGCAGAGGTACCAAATGAAAGGATGTTGGGAATGACGCTCAGTGGAGTGGGTTGCCGGTCTTGCCTCCTTTCTCCGGGTCTGCTTGATGTTGACTGCTGCGCATATCTGCATGCAAGAGCAGAACTGCGAGTCAAAGGCAAAGGAGCCAGCAGCTTGCGGTCCCTCTGCAAAATTACAACTCCAAAACCTGAAATGAGGGATCTTCAAGCAAAGGACCTTCATCACCAATGGAGCTCGTTTTAACCCCAGGTGAGCTCGCAATAAACGTTGCAGAGTTGGATGATATTGGATGATTGATCATAGGCGTCCCTTACTCGCAATGTCAAGGTTTTGGTGCGTCCCCAGCGGACGGCGAAGTCTACCCTCAACCCGCCTAAATAAACTGGCGCAGCAAAACCCTCCAGGTCCCAACAATAGCTGATGCCAGTAGATCCCGGTTCTCACCAAAGTCCATTGCTTTCTCCCTCATTATCTATCCATACAGTGAAATGGTATCACCGGGTATTGCCCTGGCGACCCTCCAAAGAAAACATACTGCTCTCGGGTCTCAGACTTTTGGCTCGGGCATTCACGCTGAGGCATGGAGATGTCTGTGGCTAAATTCCGGCCTGGCATCGCAATGGGAACTGGTCCGATAATCGCATCCTTCGAGGTTCCGTAGGTCAACAATAATTCAGACACCCATCCACGGCACCATGTGAGGGTCTAACTCTTCACATGCCAATGCTTGATCCTTGACAGGGGGAAATATATAGGCACGCTTGGGAGGATCCCCTAGGTCGACAATCCGGGCAGGTTGGCCTGAGGATGCGCTTACCTCAGAGGCCGCGGAAGTTTTTGCGGGGGACATGTCTGAAGAGACCTCCAAGGCGCGGGCTCGATGACCGCCGTGGCGCCAGCTTCCTCCAGTTGCTTCAACGCGTCCTGAGGAAATTCGGTCACTGTCAAGAGCTGAGTGCCCAAAGTCTACTGACTGTTAGGTTCACCAACATTTGTTTAACGGGTTTCTATAGGCCTTACTCTAAGCATTTTGGGTGATCCATTCAACGAATGGGTTCTGACAAAAGGATTCTGAGTGGATGCCCCATGCTTCTCTCGTAGAACCGGGGTCTAAACGCAGTCATGGAGAAAGCCGACAGTTTCCCAGCTTCCACTGGACTTGGAACATCCCTTACATCCCAACACCTCACATCTGGATACACGCCTCCCCACAAAGAAATCGGCACGCCCCGAACCCAGCCCTCCTGCCTCGCATGCCTCCTTTGGCTTGCCCTGGCCAGTCGGGTCGAAGGTCAAATCGACTTGCCCTCTCCAGTCCTGTGAGCCTCTTGGGGAGAGACCAATGAGACGGGATCACCGTGAACCTTTTCGCGACTCTGACTCGAGGATGAAAACATGGGATGGCTACATGGCAGCCTCATGCGTTTGTGTTCCGTGTGGCAGTGCGGCAGGGCTCTCAAGAATGTCGAGCAGGCGAAACATGGCACCCATACTCCATTGAACTATAACTTTCGAAAAAGGGCACCAGGTGGGACCAACGTCATCTTAAAATGGCCGTCAAGCAAATATATGAATAAGATGTCTTCATCGGTGTTTTCAACCAGAACCCAGATTCGGGTTGGGCGGTCCTTCCACAGAGGGGCGAAAAGGCCAATCATATTTTTGGGCAAACCCATTAACTGATTCTCGCGGCCGCACTCAAGTCCGCACCATAGTATCCTTTTGGCCAAATAGATGGGTTCCGCTGGTAAATTCTGGCAGAAAGCCATACCCAAGGGGCCAGAACCGCAAGTGGTTTGGCGCAAGCGGGGTTCTCGAAAATCGGGGAACCTCCGAAAGCTCCACTTTGAATACCAACCCAAAAGGGTACCGAGCCGTTTCTCAAAAAGGATCAGTTGGTACCTTTGGATTCTATTGAACACACCCCAAAGAGGGGTCAAGCACCCGTATAGGTGTTTGTCTTCAAAGGGAACCCTGAAGAGCAAACCCACAAAAAGTAATTGCCGCCAACAACAACGAAGGCGCGCCCAAGTTGATGTGTCTTTCTTGACTTACTGATTCTTCGGGTGTTCCCCTTCCTTCTTAAGATCTTCCCCCCCCCCCTCCTCCCCCCCAAAAAAAAAGAAAGAACAAGAAACGTAGAACGGAGACCAACCAATTTTGGGCCTTTTTGGGGTCACCGAGCCATCCGGAAGGCGGATGCCTCCAAGATCTTCCCCGGGTTGTCCGCCAGGCCCTTGGCGTCCTTCAGCCCCAGCCCGGTGATGGCCCTCACCGCCTGCGGGACGCGGCTTCGTCTTTTTGAGGGCAGCCTTTTTTGGTGGTTTCAAGGGGAAGTAACAGGAAACGCAAATCCACGTTGGGGGTCCACCCCATTTTGAGACTGTGAATCCCCGACTTTCATGGCTCAAGAAAAAGGAACCGTGCGGTTTAGCACTTGTAGGTTATGAGCCCAACGCTGCTCGGGTAGGCTCCCGCAATGGACGCTGGCATGAGAAGAAGGAGGGCCAGGTCGATGGACGCGGGGGACGAGGGCATCATGGTCGCCGAGCCCAACGGAGAGGTCATCCCCGAGGAGGAGGTGATGGAGGGCGAGGCGGAGAGGGGTGGTCATGGGGGTTCGGTGCCGGTGAACCCGTTTTGGAGCCAGAAGGCAAGGGCGGAGGCGGAGCTGCAGGCACTTCGGCCCAAGGACCTGCCGAGGGTTCCGGAGGGGGAGATGGCAGGAACACACCCGGGAGAACCACATGGATATGATCGCGATCAAGAAGGGTGGCACAAAGCGGAAACAATGAGCAGCAGCAGGTCGGAGTTCTGGAGCGAAGTGAAACGGAGCTTGCAGGAGGACCTGGAAAGGGAGAACTGGCCAAAAGGTGAAGCAGAACAGGGAGGAGGAAGCGGTAGCGATGGCCATCGTGGACCTCTTGGAGGGTGGCCTCCTGAAGCTCGACATGGGGATCATCCAGGAGGGCATCGTGGGTGGGGTCGAGAACATGGCGAAGGGCATCCTCGGGAGCATCTGGAACGAGGGCATGCTGAACGTGAACGAGGTGAGGGCCGTCATTGGGGAGAATATGAAGGCAATCCTCGGGGAGATTATGAAAGGAGGCCTGCAGAACATGCTGAAGGGGGTCTTGCGGGTGTCCGTGGAGGTAGACCGGCGAGCGTGGGACCACATCCGGGAGAACGAGAAAGTGGACCCTACGGTCGAGAAGGCAAGGGCGGACATGCAACTTAGAGGGAGCACGGGGCACTCTTGAGAAAGGAAAGAAGAAGGTCAAACTGATGCGGGTCGTGATCATCCTGGCGATTCAGTTCCTGCTGGAGGCAAAGGTCCGGAACCCCGAGAAGGTAAAGGACATGGGGCAAAGGACGGCAGAGGATCGCAGCCGAGGGAATTGGAGGTGACGCGGGATGAGGCAAGGGCGGCAACGAGAGCTGGCTTCAGGCCGATGGAGCTCCACATGGTCTGGAACCCGGCAACGAAGTCGTGGATTCCAGAAGGAAACCTACCGGCGGGCCTGAGATATGATGATGAGGAGCTAGTGCCAGATTATGACGACGGCATGATCGATATTCAAGCGGCCCATGGAGAAGCAACTCATGCTGGCGTGCCGGATGATTCGGGGCATGGAGCAAGAAAGGGATCATCTTAAGGGGAAGATGGCGGAGCAGGGCCGGTTGCTGGAAAGGAGGAACAGTACGATCAATCAGCTGTTGGAGCAGGTCCGGGAAACTCAGGGTCAACTGAGGGAAGCCCAGGATCAGTTGGCGGGCTGGAGATCATGGTGGGATCGCTGGGAGTGGGATGGAACCCGGTGGAGGAGGTTTGAGGAGGAAGAGGAGGAGATCTTCCAGACACCTGCAGAACCGGGTGGAGGACATGGAAAAGGGGAACGGCGAGATCGGACCAGGTCCCCACATCCACCTCCACATCCTCCGAGGCCAAGGATGCCAGAGCGGCGAAGAACCCCAGGGGGGACAGAAGTCCCGAGGGGAACACCGCCCCGCTCTGAAAGGGGAAAGGGCGGTTTTCGTCTTGAAGGAGGAGGAGGTAACTCTAGAACGGAGGAGCCGAGAGAAGGAGAGCTATACACCTGGACCAAGGACTATGAGTCGGGTGGCCTGAAGATGGTGCCGGCGCCGATGCCCAGAAATGAGTGGCCGCTGACGTGAGAACGGGCTGATGCAATGGTTTGTGAAGCTCCGGCACCGCCGCCGGGACTGGATGCCAAGGCCGACTTGGACCCGGAGGTGGTAGTGAGCGAGAAGACTGGGGACGTCAAGGGAATCATGGACGTCTGGCCGGAAGATGTGAAGGCAATGTTAGCAGCGGGACAGTTTCGGGAAGAGGCGATCAGAGCTGCGGAGTTGCCAAAGCTGCCGGAATTGGGAGCAAAGGAAGCCGGGCCTCTGGCAGCGGGAGACTGGCTGGCGGAGATCAAGCCGATGATGATGGACCTCAGTACCAGCGCGGCGGTCTGGTGGGAACACATCATGAACCATGCGGAGAGGGCCTATCAGAAATGGCTGGACATGCGGCCGGTGGAGCGGCTGAACGTGGCGCCGGAGGAACCCGGGTGGCTGGGGAAGTACCCGTTTTCTCGGGTGGAGCAACGTGGAGCTGGGCTTCTGCTCCGGGCCTTGCTCCAGGGGCTGAGACAGGAGGTGGTGTCAAGAAGGACGTTGTCAGCGGCAGGAATGGTCTTCAAGGTGCTAACGATGTATCAGCCAGGGGGGCCAGCAGAAAGGCAGAGCCTCCTCAACTTCTTGGTGGAGCCAAAGGTGAACGGAAACACGGTGCCGGCGGAGGTCTTGGCGGCAGTGAGGCAATGGCGGAGGTGGTACATTCGTACCATGGAACTGAAGCTGGCGATGCCGGATCCCTCGCTGCTGCTGAGGGCGTTGGATAGCATGACCAACGGGATCGCCAAGGAAGGAAGCCAGGTCCACTTCAGGCTAAGCCTCTTGAGAAACAGCCTGGGGGTGGATGTCACACAACGCAAGACGGCATCATCCAGCTGGCGGAGTTCATCCAAGCGGAGGTGGAAGTGATGGTGGCCTCAAAGGCGGGCGAGAAGGTGGTGAAGGTCAAAAGCATGAAGCCGACAGAACAGTCTGGGCAGCGCAGGGAGGGAGAAAAGAAGCTCTGCCTGTACTTTGCAGGAGAACGTGGATGCCGAATGGGCCGGAACTGCAACTACAGCCATGACTGGTCGGTGGTGGAGAAGAAAGCAGATCGGTGCTGGATCTGTGGGTCGCTACAGCACCGAAAGGGGGAATGCCCGGTGAAGCATGAGGCAGCCGGCAGGACTGGGTTCAGACAGCAGCAGGCGCAGGGCGAGCCGCAGCAGCAGAACAAGTCGCAGCAGCCAGTCAAACCGAAGGTTGCAGCGGAGAAGGGGGTGGCAGAAGACCCTAAGGAGGCGTCTGGGTCTGGGGGAGCTGGACGGCAAGGTCAAAACGTCCAGGAGCTGCTGACGGAAGCAACGGGGCTGTTGAAGTCGCTGAGCATAGTCAAGGTCATCAGGGTTCGGTCGGTGAAAGTGGAAGAGGAGTTTTATGGTCTGCTGGATGGAGGAGCCACCCATGCTCTTCGCCAAGCCAGAGAAGGGGAACTCAAAGGAAAAGATGTGAAGGAGGTGACAGTGGAGCTGGCGGCGGGCACAGCACGGCTTTGGCAACACAAGAACACAAGGACGCTGCTGTCAGCGGAGAAGGTGGAGCCGATCGTGCCGCTGGCGGGACTGGTGGAGATGGGCTATGGCATATCCTGGAACAATAAGGGATGTGTAGTGAAGCACCCGGCAAAGGGGGACATCAAGGTGGAGATGAAGAATGGGTGTCCAATGGTGCCGGGAAAGGAGGCGCTCCGACTCATCGGAGACTTGGAGCAGTTCCACTTGAATAGGGCGAAGATTTGTAGGTTGTCCTCGGCAGAATCCACAATGATGGAAAGGTGGAGGGCGCGATGGCCGGAAGTTCCTGTGGCGGTGTGGGAAATCATGGGAAGTGGTTTGGAGATGGTGGACATGAAGGGCACCTTCAAGCAGGACTTCCACAAGGTTCTCCCGTGGAATCACAGGGCGAGGAGAAGGGTGGAACAGGCTCGGAGCGTGGTCCTGCACTTGTTCTCAGGAAAGGACCAGAGTTTTTGGCAGGATGCTGGTGAGGTGGTGCTCTGTCTAGATCTGCAGAAGGGCCAGGATGCTCTCAATCCGGCGGTGAAGGCCTATTTGTTCCAGCTCTGCATGGAGGGCAAGGTGACGGGAGTGGTCGGAGGACCACCGTGCCGGTCGGTGTCGGTGTGCCGATATCAGCGTCCGGGGCCCGAACCGCTTCGGAGCCGTGGCGGAGGAGAGCGCTTCGGGTTGAAGGGGCTAGCTGCGGAAGCGCAGATGAAGACCCACCAGGATTCGGCGCTGTGGTTGTTGCCCATGGTGCTGTATGAGGTGGCAAAGAGTGTAAGGGAAGAGAAGGGCTGGACTGGCCCGGTCTTCGCGCAGGAGAACCCCCGAGATCCCGAGGAGTGGCTAGGTGCGGGGGAGGCCGACGGGAAGCTGGACACGCCGCCTGGGGGCTATGCTTCGTTTTGGGCGTGGCCGGAGACGCAGGAGTTCGTGAAGAAGAACGGCATGGGCATGGCAAAGTTTGATCAAGGTCCTCTGGGGCATGAAAGGCGAAAACCCACTACGGTCATGACCAATGTGACGGAGGTTCTGGCACTTCATGGAAGATGTGGTCCAGGTGACGTGGTGGGAAGGAGCGGGAGCACTGAGGGACGGATCAAGGAGTCGGCATCATGGGCGGCGTGGGCACCGGAGCTCAAGCAGGCAGTGAAGATGGGGCTTCAGCGGGTGAACCACGAGGTGATGGTGGAAATGAGGATCAAAGCGGCGGAGCTCCCGGCAAAGGAGGAACAATGGAGAAGGCATGTGGAGAATGAGCACATACCACATCGGCGAGACTGTCGGGTATGTATGGAGGCTGCTGGACGAGCAGGGGGTCATAGAAGGATCCGGGCTCCCAATTCCTTTGTGATGTCGGTTGACATTCTGGGGCCAACCAAGGAGGGCGTGGACCAGGATGGTGCCAAGGCGAGGTATGCAGTGGTGACGGTCCTGACGGTTCCGGTGAGGAAGTCCACGGGGGAGCCATTGGTTGCTTTGGGAGAAGACGACATGGAGGCGGAGGATCAGGGAGAAGCTCTATGCGGCAAAGAGGATGAGGGTCGTGCTGATCCAGGACTTGCTGAAGGGGGTGAACTACCGGAGGCGGAAGCAGACCTGGATTGGGAAGAGGAGAACCGGGATCCAGCCCCGGGGGAGGAGGGCCGGGTGGAAGTAGAGAAAGCAGAAGAAGAAACAAGGAGATGGCATGAACTGGTGAAGGACTTGGAGGATGTGGCGGTGAGCAACCTGACGTTTGCGGTGCCCATCAAGTCGAGAAACCGGGATGTGGTCATTCAAGCTGTGGCAGAATGCTATAGCAGGTATCGAGCCGCAGGACTGCAAGTGCTGCGGGTACACACCGACCGGGCCAGCTCGGCGTTCCGGACTTGGGCAGCAGAGTGTGGCCTGTGGAGGACGGTGACGGCGGGAGATGAACCCCAGGCCAATGGCAGGTGTGAAAGTGAAGTGGGGGTCATCAAGAACCGGACGAGGGTGCTGCTGGAGGCGACGAAGACGCCCAAGGAGCAGTGGCCGTTGGCGCTACGCCATGCAGCGGAAGCCCGGTGGCGGAGTCAGTTAAGGGCGCTGGGGGTGCCGATGATTTCGCTGGTGCCGTTCGGTTCGAAGGCGATGGTCAACGTGAAGAGATGGAGAAAGCAGCACAAGGACTGGCCGCATAAGTTTGAGCCCGTCCGAGTCTGGGGCCCTTCCAAGGACATGGCGCAGGGGTTACTATGTGGAGTGCGAGGATGGATGTTTTGTTCGAGCCTCTGCTGTTGTGGTCACTGTGTCCGAGCAGGTGGTCAAGGAAGAGCAGCAGGTCCGACGTCGCCTTCGAGGAAAGCAGCCGGATCCGGCCAGGGTGGCCGGGGGGGAGCTGGGAGATGGTGCAGTTGACGAGGCAGTGATCCCAGGCAGGGTAGCGAAGATTGCGGAGATGATCGTTGGAGTAGCGAAATCCCCGATCTCCCGAGCGCCTAATGCAGGGGTCGGGTGGCTCACACCCCTGAGCCGGGAAGATGAGGGGTATGAGAACTTGAAAGAATGGGAAGAGGAGCTTGTCAACTGGCATGGACATTTGAAGAGAGTGTGGTATGAGGAGAAGGAGCTCCTTGGAGGTGAGGCGATGGAATCCTGGCAGTTGGAGTGGGTGAAGAACATTGCAAAGGATGTGAACCTGCTGGAGGAAATGCTTAAGGAGTTTGAAGGTGAAGAAAGAAGGCAGCTGAAGGCGGTGCAGAAGCTAGAAGAAGAGGAGTTCCTACAGACAAAGACGATCCCGTTGGAGGTGGTCAAGGAGGAACTCGAGCTCTGGAAGGAAGCAATGGCAGAAGAGTACGCATCGCTGACGGTAGAGACCCAGGCGATCAAGCCGTTGTCGTCAGCCGAAGCGGAGGAGCTTGTGAAGTGGAAAGGGGGTGTTCACCCGCAAGGCTGGGTCGGGGAGGAGGAAGGTTCGAGCAGTGGTGTGCGGGAACCAGCTGATTGTAAAGGAAACCAAGGAGGAGGTGTTTGCGGGGGGCGTGGATAGTATAGCCTTGAGAGCGACCCTCCGTAAAGCAGCTTTTGAAGAGTGGAAGGTGGGGACCGTGGATGTGAAAACCGCGTTCCTCCAAGCACCGAATCGAAGGCAGAGACTAGTGGTGGTGACTCCGCCGAAGGTGTTTGGACAGGCTGGAATCACCAGGCCAGATGAGCGATGGTTTGTCCTCAAGGCGCTCTACGGCTTGAACACTAGTCCAAAGGAGGATGCCATCGTGACGAGACCATGAAGAAGTTCAGATGGTGGGTGAGCGGGAAGGAGTACAAGATGGACTTGCTGGAGGGGAACCTGTGGGCCATCAAGGAGGTAGAAGGGAGAAAGATCGTGGGAAACATCGTGGTGTATGTGGACGACATGCTGGTCGCAGCGGAAGACATGGTCATGAAGGGCTTCATGGATCGGCTTCAGCAGGAATGGAAGACGTCGCCTCCGGAAATGGTCAGTGGAAAGGAGCCGGTCGTCTTCTGCGGAGTGGAGATCTGTGAAAGAGAAGGTGGGGTTCTGGTTGGGCCAATCGGCGTACATTCGGGACTTGGTGGAGAGACATCCAGATGTGAAGAATGTGGACGTTCCGGCGGGGAAGATGGAGCTGTCGGAGGAGCCAGAAGAGGATAGAACTCCGGAGGAGGTCAAGGAAGCACAAGTGGCGTTGGGGGAACTTCTGTGGGTGTCGACGAGAACGCGACCGGATGTAGCGTTCGCGGTTGGCCAGGCATCGAGGATGGTGGCGAAGTACCCGAAGAAGGCACTCAGCGTGGCGAAGCAGATCCTGGGCTACCTGAAGAACACGGATGACGTGGGCATCATCTACCAGAAGAGGATGGAGCCACGGGATGAAGAGAGGCAGAGTTTCCGGGTCCTCGGAGTATGGGAACGTTGGAGATACAGGCGGATGTGAGCTTTGCGCCAGGAGGTGGAAGATCAATCCAGGGAGTGATGGTCATGTATGGAGGCGGAATCATTGCGTGGGAATCAACCAGGCAAGCCTTCACCACGTTGTCAACAGCAGAGGCGAAATTGACGGGCTATGTGCAGGCAACGGCAGTTGGAGAGGCGGTGGCAACGCTGGTGGAGTTGCTGGAAGGATCAAAGGTCAAGAAGATGATCCTGGGGGACAATGCGGCAGCAATCAGCATTATCACAACGCCGGCGTGTGCATGGCGGTCAAGGCACTTGAGATGTCGAGCTGGAAGGTTGGCAGAGCTGATAGAGGAGGAGGAGTGGAGATTGAGGCATCTGCCAGGGACTTTGTTGGCGGCGGATGGATTGACCAAACCGTTGGCGAAGATCCAGTTTGAGAAGTGCAGAGGAGGAATGGGCTTGGAGGTGATAGAGAGGAAGAAGGTCAAGAAGGCGTTTGGGGAAAAGGTCATCGAGAAGGTTGGTGCAGCAGGATGGCTCGCGGTGGATAAGTTGAAGGCTGTCGTTGGCATGCTGAGTCTGGTGGCAGTTGCGAAGGCCGAAGATGGGGAGGAGCCGGAACTGGAGGGGGTGTCGCTGGAGGTCATTTTGACGGTGATCGCCATCCTGGTGGTAGTGATCTGGGAACTCACCAAGAAGGCGTGTGGTCTGGGAATGAAGAAATTGAAAAGACCGGTTGAAGACCCCGATAAAGAACTGGCAAGACCGCATGAAGAGGCCAAGAGCCCACCGAAAGAGACAGCGGAAGGCGGCTCCGTGAACATCAATGTTGCTAATAGAAAGAAGGGGCAAGTGGTTGGTGTTGACAGAGCTACCGGCAGCTCAAGAGACAAGGATTTGGGGACGGACAGGACAGGGACTGGAACTAGGCCCTGGACGGGTGTACCTTTGCCTAAGCAGGCACCCAAATCCTTGAAGGCGATCCGACCTCAGGTAAAGGCCTCGAGGGACGATCTGGTAGTGGTATGCCATGTGCGAGATGGGACGGGAGGTCGAGTCCCGGTGCGGGCAACAAGGGCTGTGCTGGGGACGGAGAGGATGGAGTACTACCGCGAGATGGAGAGAAAGTCAGAGGAGCGGTGGGAGTTCCTTCAAGCTCGTGCTCGAGGTGAACCTCTTGGGGGTCTTCAAGGGAGCCTGTGGAGGGCTGATGAGCATTTGCGAGGAGGTCCCATCGAGGTGGTGGAGACGAGGAGCCAGCCGGCTGGGCAGAGCTCGGGTGAAGGAGGGTCTGCAGGGCCAAGCAAGGATGTCAAGGAGGAGGAGACTCAGCCGCGGGGGAGCTCATGCACGGCAAGAGCAGCAGCGGCGGGGAAGGTGGTGCTGCGCGAAGACAAGGAGTGAGGACCGCACGGTCTGGGGGCCGGTAGGCCGTTATGGGTGCAATAGACACCCAGGGGGAGTGTGAATCCCCGACTTTCATGGCTCAAGAAAAAAGAATCGTGCGGTTTAGCACTTGTAGAGACAAAGCAATTTTGGGTTTGTGTGTGGTGTTTTTTAAGTACCTGGATGGTTAGGTGGGTACAGTAGCAGGTGGTTGGGTGGCTGGGCGGTTGGGCGTATGGGTGGGCTGTTCCTAAACCCTCAAACGACCCCCAAAAAGATCGGATCTCCCCCCATGTTAAGTTGCAATATCCCGCTTCCAAGCCCAGCCGGAGGTTTTCGACGGAGGCAATGGGAACTTGGAAAGCCCGACTTGCAGCCCACCTTAACGTTCCAAATACAACTTTGAAAAAGGAAACCAAAAGGGATGTGTAAAAGGATGCGATTTGGGCCAATAGTTTAAGATGCTCCCTCTTCCAACATGCCTGACAGCGGCCCATTGCTCCAGCCACCCTGTAAACTTTGCAAACAAAACGGAGAGCTCGGAAACTCAAAGTGGAAATGGACTTGTCGCATCCATATTTGTTGGACAGGTGAGAAGGCGAACCACGGCAACAATTGGAGCGTTGGCCTTGATCACGGCGATCTTCTTCTCCTGCTTGATCGATTGGGATCCAGCCGAAACTTTGGATCTTCTGATAAGGGAACCACAGGTTGAAACCCTATGGCTCCCTTTACCCTCTGCAGTGAGGGTACCCTATGCATCCCTTCCCAGGTTCCTTCGATAATTTGGGCCCTGTACCCTAAGGAGGACTTTCGCCAGGGGCAACGGCATGACATTGAAAAAAAAAACGCCCGGGAGCTCGCCCGAACATAGGTCCGTACCTTCTGAACTTGGCCAAAAGGTGAGGTCCGTTCGAGACACACCATCCCGGTGCCTTTTTTTTGAAGGCGGAAAGCAAAGCGTGCTGCTACTTCTGTGGCAAAAAACAAACAAAACGGTGCAACAAGACCAGATATGTCCCAGCGCGTCTAGTTACCACCGTACTAAGTAGCTGGAGTTTCTCACTTGCCCAAATGACCTTGACGTCAAAGTTAACCTTTTGGAACCTTCACCAAAATATGGGCCAAATCAGGGAAATCAAAAGGTCATAAGGTTCATTCGACTTGGGCAAGCGAGGTTTTCTTATCTCTAGGTTTCAGCTGACAGGGTTCCCCTTCAAAGGTTGCAGTCTACTGGTGGGCTCCGACCAAATTACCACTCTTGGAGGTCCATAAAGGTGGTAGACTCTGATTGTTTGACTTGACCGAAACGGATCGATTGGCCCGTGTCCTTTGGCACCTCCTTCAGCACAAGGTCGAACTCTGTCTTCTCGGGGGCCTAGGCGTCTGGCTTAGGCTTCGCTTAGTCTGCACAAGAGTCATGATCACCTCATGCTTTCGGGAAGATATCTATGACTTCTATTGAAGGTTCATGGAGACCCCTTGCTTGCACTTGTGGTGCACCCAAATATTTGGGTGTGTCTTTGTCTAGTCTAGAGAACCCCTAAAAAAAGGATTTGGGTGTTCCTGTTGGTTTCCCTTTAAAGCCACCTCAAAACTGCTGGTTAGCCTTCAAAACGACAAACACTCGCTCAAATGCTTGGGAGTGCTCAAGATGGCGGACCCCCTATTTTGGTGGGAACCAAAGGAAGCCACCCTCAGTTTCCAGGGGCCCCCCCGACCCCCGCCCCCCCCCCATACGCCCATTACGTGGGCGGCGAGATGGACATATGTCTCATGCTGAGGCCTCCTGCTGCCTCCTCTGCCTCGCCGCCGCCCCCAGGTGCCGCCATCCTGCGAAGCGGTTGACCCAAACCCAAATCCCAACCGCCAGACGCTCTTTGGGAATCACCGGGTTTTCTGGAGAATCACCCGGTTTGAGGGGAATGCCAGGGGTTCCTCGAATGATTCTTTTATAGGCGGAAACAAGTTGATGTTTTCAGAGTGGTTGCATTTGTTAAAGCCGGGTGGCCCAAACCTACTTAGGAATGAACGGCGGCGGCTTGAACTCCTCAGATGTTTTCCGGATGGAGCCATGGAGAGAGTCTTACTCCTGCAAATCCTTTTAGGGAAGTCTACCTCAAAGGGGGTCCAAACTGTTCACGCCTCTATTTGGGCGTGTCCTTTTGGAGGGTACCGGCGGTTCTCAAGGGACACCAAAAGGAAAACCACCCATTTGGGGGTTCCCCTATTTTGAGACAACCTTGGAGTTGACAGTGACTCAAAGAGGCACGCAAATCTCCCAAATAGAAGGGGTCTTGTTTTCGAGAGGCCTAGCTCCCCACAAGTTTGAGACAGATCCATTTGTCAGAAACAAGCAACGGGGGGCCCCTCATGAGGAGCCATTCTGTTGAGTCTTGGTCTGCTGAATTGCCCAGCAGTTCAGTGGGTAAGAATTTTGTTTTCCGTTAATAGAAGCTTCTCAACTTTGGTCGCATTGTTCCAAAGCGCTCGGCCCCTTTTGGTTTTGTCTCTTCAGGGTCCAAGGAGTGAGGTCCGATCAAAATGTTCAGTCGTCGATCGTCAACAACCAGGGGGGCTTGCAACTTTTCCCGCGTCCCCTGAGAAAACCTTGAACCTGGCTGCGAATTCTGATTCCCCCTCCTCTTGGCCTCCCATGTGCTTTTCTGTTTTCCGCGTGCTGACGTGGAGAGGTGGGATGTGTGGACCCTTTTGCGCTTTTGAACTCCAATTTTTGCCAGTGGTTCCAGTCACCACTGTAGAGGGCCTAAACAAACAGAATGGGTTCTGGACTCAAAGCCCAGCAAGGCAGGATCGTAGGGAAATGTGTACTGATTTGGTGTCACATTGGGGCCACTGGTTGTTAAACGACTTAATTTGCTTTGTTCTTAGTTCGGAAAGACTCCCTACATCCAGAAGCCAAGTCGTTGCAAGGTTTCCTAGACTTCCACAACAGCTGAACCCTGCATCACCCCGATCTCAAGGTACACTCACAGGAAATGGCCCCAAACAGGTGCTTCTTTCAACCCAAAAAGAAACCAGACTCTGTAGGGACCCACAAGAAAAACAAACAACAACAAGTGGATTGATTGCCCCGAATCAACTCCTTGAAGGGCTTTTGGACAAACAAACAATCAATCTGGATTGGGTCGACTGATAGACCCGCTGGGTTGCTGTCCGAAAACGCCCCCCGCAAGCGCCGGAAGGGGCCGGGGCCGGCCGGGCCCCCCCACACGACCGCCCCGGCGGAGGCAGAGGCATCCACTCCAAAGGTCTCCTCAATGGCCTGGCGTCGTGGGTCGATTCGTCGAGGGGCTCGGCCCGAAGCTTCTCCCAACTTCTCCGATTTTTGAACGTCCAACACCTGACTTGGGTTCCCAAAGCCCCCAAAGCCCCCAAAGCCCTCAAAGCGCCAAAAGCCCTCAGTGCACTTGGCGAGCCGCGAAGAGAAAACGCCTGGAGGTGATCGATTCCCGTGATTCCCTACAAGATCAAGGGGAACATACGGACTATTCTCGCAAGCAAATGGAAGCTTCCTAATTGGCAACCAAATGTTCCACTGGAGCTTCCTATCTAGCCCTTGAACTCATGCAAACGGCGCAAGCTCGATCACGTCGATATTCCATGTTTCCCTAAGCCAAGCAAAAGGGGGTACTCTTGAAAAACACAACCGTTTGATAAACCAACCTTTAAAACCGAACCGAAAGGGAACCCAGTAAACCAACACGGCACGCGTTGCTCCTCTTGTGAATCCATCCCGACCGCCCCCCCTCCCCCCCACCCCCCCAACCAAAAAAAAACAGGCGGTATCCCCAACAGCCCCGGAACCCCACTGTAACCCTCCTTGTCGCCGATCTCTGGCAAAGACCCTAGCTTTTGGGGAAAAAAGGGAAAGGAACCCGAAAAAATAAGATGAGAGCGGCTTCCTCTTGTCTTCTCTTCAAACCATCCCAACTGTCGCTTACCGATTCGCTTCTCCGCTTCCAGCCGTTGAATCTCCTGAATCTCCTGAATCCCTTCCCTGCCTTCACCAACTCCGCTGCCTCGGTGAGGGTCAGAGTCTTCAGCTCATCGACGATGTCATCCACCTGCACATGGCGCCGCCGTCATTTGCCAACAGAACGCCCTTTTGCTTGGTTTTGGGTGTCTGTCTAATTTTGGCAGGGTCCCCCTTTTGTTTGCATTGTTTAAGGGAAACCCAAAGCAAACCGACCACCAAAGCAACCGATCTTGCTTCAAACTGGGTCGGCTGGGTGGTGGTGGCTACGCGAAGAAACAAACTCGCTTTGGAGATGGCTTCAAAAGGGAACAGGAAACCACCAAAGTACATTTTGTCAGGCTAATTACCCCAGCGCTGCGACCAAGCCATGCTGCGCGATGTGACGTTGTAGAACGGCGAGCGGTGCAGCGCATTCGTTGGAAAAACCCGGCAAACCTGCCAGTAAAAAAAGGGTCGCCTGCGCGGAGCCTCAATACAGCGGGGAAACACGCTGCGATCCGTCGAGCCGCCGAAAAGGGGCATATTTATGAAAATATAGTTAATTTTGTTAAACATCGTGCATTTTTGCTATGGGGCTGATAAGCGTCATAAGCGGATAGTGGGAGGTCTTCCACTATCCGGTCCCAGTATCCGCCGATCCCTGTGAAATACCAACACCGCCGAATTGCGAAGTGAAACATGGGTGTGTGCCTTTTTCCATGGTATCTTTGTCAGGGTGGTGTCAAAAGGAAACCCAAAGGACAACTATCTTGCCACCTTTCAATTGCTCACAACCAGCACCTTCCAAGACACCACTGCATGTGGTCAAATGGTGGTGTGTGTTGTCTACATGGAGCGTAGGGGTTGGTAAACTCACGCTTTTTCCTACTCCAGAAACTCCGGTCACCACTCATCTATCGTGATTGCTTCTCTAAGCCAATGTTCACAAAACAACAAACCATGGTGCCTCGCCTACATTCGTCGTCAGCACCTTGCTGAACCCGGATTCACTTCTCGCAACCTCCTCGAAGCTCAGCATCGTTGGTTTTTGCTTTGACTTGCGGGGAACCACTTGAGGCGTTTTCAGAAAGTCTTGACAGGGGAATTTAAAAAACTCATCTTGACATGCAAGTGGAGCAAATGGGAACAACGGCTCATAACTTTGCAAAGGCTGCGCCTTTTCAGCACTCCCCCTCATCTTGAAAAAAAACGCACCGTTCCTTTGCTTGAGTCGCCTGAAGGTCACGGGCTACTGATTCGGCCGCTCGGCTCCAACGGTCCAACCAACCAACCAACCAACCAACAAGACAAGACAAGACAAGATAAAACAAGACAAAACAAGACACCACACCCCAACCAACCAAGCCACCGACCGACCGACCGACCGACCGACCGACCAAGCAAGCAAGCAAGCAAGCAAGCAAGCAAGCAAGCAAGCAAGCAAGCAAGCAAGCCCCTCAGCGCATGCTTCCATTGCTTGGTTTTTGGAGCATGGCCTTCGCCTCTGCAGCAACTGCTGGCGCTCGCGCCACTCGCCTCAGGCACGCGACCCTGCAACACGATGGGGTTATTGATGCGGGGTTTACCTAAATTGACCGGTTCCTTCAAAATCATCCCCCCAGTAGCGGTGTTTTTCTTCCTAGGGATGGTTTGCCGCAGGGCTGGCAACCATCCCCCCCCACAAAAGAAAAAAAGAGATAAGGCGGAAAGAAGCCCTCAGAATGTCCGTGGCCCAAAAGCCGCTGGAGCGGTGCGCTATTGCCAAAGCGGCGGAGCCAGGCCAGCGACGAAGTTTCGGGGAGCTGCCTGACGAGACGAGTTTTACCAAGACTCGAGCGGTACCTCAAAAAGGCAACGCCTACTTGAGGTCCCAGACCTTCCAATGGAGGTGGTGTCTTCTGCTGGAAGCCTGAGAAGGCTCTGGCTTGTTGAAAACCTTTTCTCCGTGCGAAGTGTCAATATTCTGAACCCTCAACTCAACGGCTGCTTCTTCCCACGTCCCATACCAGGTGTCTTTTTCGGGGTCGGTCCCGTTTTGGGGAAACACCAAACAATTTGGGGGGAAATCCAAATGCGTTTCCTTGAAGCACTGGTTTGGGACTCGATTCCAGCCATCCAATGGAGACCCTCACTTGGCCTGGGCCCTGAAAAGGTCGGTGTTCTTGTGGTTTCCCCCCAATCCACCATTTCGAGAAGCCCTCACATCTGGAGTTGAAAGAAAAACACCATGATGTGTCAGATTTAGTTTACCTCACAAAGTAAATAGCTTTGGAGGAGACGCCGGAAAAGGTTGCATCAACGGCTTCGAAAAGAATGGTTGACGCTGTGAATAGAAACCCCGCACCAGTTGGAATGGATAAGAGACTGAACCATCTTAACACGCTGAGCCACCTATCTGGTGAGTGGATTCTGTCCGTCCTAGGAATAAGCCCGCCTGCAGGAGCGCTCCGAACACTGCCGCCGTCAGCCTCCAGCCGGGCCATCGGTGGGCTGAATGGGGACAGCAAACAGCAAATGGGGAAATTCCGAAGGCCAACAGCAAATGGGGACATACTGTGGATGGACGAAATCCTGCACCACTTGGAACAAATGAAACAGGACCTATCAATGATCAAGGCGATACACCAGCTACCAGCTGATGCGAATCGGATTTTGTCCAAGGCAAGAGTCCACAGTAAACCAAGGCCTGTCGATGGCATATGAGCCCCGTGAGCTCGGCTCGCATCGTGAGTCCAACAGAAGGAGGCTTCATTGAGGAAGGTTCTCAGAGCCCATCCTGACTATCCTGGCGGCCTGGAGGGGGGGTGCCCTCTAAAGAATGCCGGATTCAGCCAATTTGAAGCATGGCTAACTGCTGGTTGCTAGGCAGCTGGTGGCTGGCTGGCCAGGTTGGCTGGTTCGCATGATAAGTGCGGAATTGGGGCTGAGTCGGTGTTACCACCCTCGATTGAATCAGCTTGGCGCTAATCCGTAGCAGGTGCTTGATCGACATGTCGCATGTTTGCCCTGATGCGGGCAGTTGAGAGTGGTTTGGATTCTTCTGCCAACCAGCCAACCAACGAACAGCCAAAAGATCTTAACCAACCAACACAGCACAACACAAGAAACCGAACCCCAACCAATCAACCAACCAACCAACCACCCAACCACCCAACCAACCAACCAACCAACCAACCAACCAACCAACCAACCAACCAACCAACAACCGCCAGCCAGCCAGCCAACCAGCCACCCAGCCAGCCAGCCAGCCAAACAAACAAACAAACAAACAAACCAGACCAGCCAACTGGCTGTAAACACAAATACATTCCGCGACGCTCCATGCCCGCGTGTGCGGTACCAATCCACCCGAGGTCTGGGCAGAACGGGGAGGGCACGGCCACGTCTCTGAGGCATGAATGCCATGGCCTGGACCGACTGAGCAAAACAACACACACACACAACAGAAACCACCACACACCACCTCACCACACCACACCACACCACACCACACCACAGCACAGCACAGCACAGCACAGCACAGCACAGCACAGCACAGCACAGCACAGCACAGCACAGCACACAACACATTATACACACACTCAAAACTCCTTGGATCGTACGATAACAAACATCAAGGCATCTCATCAACTGTTTGTTTTTCCCCTACAAACATGCCCATCCTGCATGCATCGAAAGTGGTACAAGAACTGCTGCATTCCCAAGCCTTCCCAGGAAACACCTCTTGCATTGAAAGTAGACTCTGCACTCCGGCCCAAGGGTTCTCTCTCTCTCTCTCTCTCGCTCTCTATATGTCAGAAATCCCGGGGGCCTAGTCGCAATCCGTAATCCGCTAACTTCTTGCTTTGGTTGGGAATCTGCTATGGACGATCCGTGCAACATTGTGCAACCCATACTCTGCCACATAATCTAACCAGCAAACCGCACAATGCGTAATCCGCTTGTCATTCGGGATAAGGTGTAAGCTAGATATGTCCTTTTATATCAGCCCAAAAGGACACTCACTGACAGGTGATTCTTGCCACAAGGAAAAATATCGGCGTGGCGTAAAAAAGGGCACTCTTCAATCCTTTCATAGTTTCCCTCCACCCCAAAGAGGGCACCCAGAACATGGGAAGCACCCGCTCCTTCCAAGCTGCCTCCCTGGAGCCTGGAGCTGTCTTGAGCCACAGTGCTGAAGATCGGAACGGCCGGTTGGCAGACACTCAAAGGCGCTGGGCTCAAGTGGACCTGGGTGGACCTTGATGAGTGGCGCTACCGAATTTGACACCGCCCCAAAAAAAGAGAAAACAACACCTCAGACACCTCGCTGGCGCGGCCACCTTTTAAGCCCATCCTCGCTTTCGGACGGATCTTTCGGTGTCCGCACTCGGCGCCGGAGCTGAACGGCAGGCCTCTTGGAGGCAACCGAAATTTCGGCCCCAACTGCCTCCAAACCCATGGCACTGGCCGAACGGGTGGTTTCCCTGCACAAACAGGTCATCAATCCTTGGCAGGATCCCCTGCTAAAAAGCAAGCACCCGAAAAAACAATAATGGGAGATGCCCTATAAATCCCTGAAGCACCAAAAAACTGAAGTCGAAGGAACTGTGTGGCCGGGAACCGCCAAACGAGAGGCCTCGGGGGGGAGGTGTTGGGAAGCGCCCACTATGTACAACTCGCCATCTCACCTTAAGCTGAGACCTCCGCCTTCTTCAACTTGCGGGAGATACCCTCGATGGACACATCCTGACAGGGTACTCCTCTTGGAGAGATACAACTTGCTGGCCTTGTTTCATTGAGAGGGATCCCTAGGTGTTCATTCACACTTTGAAACTATCCACTGACCACCAAGATAACCTGTCTTGCGAGAAAATCGAGATCCTGATTAATTCTTGGGTTGTAATCAGCAGTAGACATTCAGGGTGTTCGCTTTTTTGAAGCTACCCTGTTTGTGAGGCTCGCCCTTGGTGTTGTTTTTTTTTTTTTTAAAGAAGGAAAGCAAAGGACGCAACATGGCAATCCAGCCCTTCTGCATTCACCAAAAAAACACTCACACATTTAAACAACACAACACAAATAAACTTGGTCTTGCACAACAAAAGACATCGCTTGGACCATTGGGATCGTCCTACCGGGATCGCGTTTGGCTGCCCAACCCCGCGCCAAACCCAGATGCCCAGAGCTCCGTCCTTCTGAAAGGCATCCTGAGCGCAGCGTTCAGTGCACCCCCAACCCGGAGGCGGGACGCCAGGCATCAACATCTACCAGCATCACTTTTACGATCAGTGGTAGCAAAAGCAACATTAGTGGCAGCAGTAGAAGTATAGCAGCAGCAGCAGCAGCAGCAGTAGTAGCAGCTGTGGAAGTATGGCAGCAGTAGCAGCAGCAGCAGCAGCAGCAGTAATAGTAGTAGTAGTAGTAGTAGTAGTAGTAGTAGTAGTAGTAGTAGTAGTAGTAGTAGTAGTAGTAGTAGTAGTAGTAGTAGTAGTAATGGTAGTGGTAGCAGTAGTAGTAGTAGTAGTAGTAGTAGTAGTAGTAGTTGTAGTAGTAGTAGTAGCAATTCTCGCAGTTGTCTGCTGCTACTGCTACTACTACTACTACTACTACTACTACTACTACTACTACTTCCTACTACCTCCTACTACCTCCTACTACCTCCTACTACCTACTACTATTACTACTGCTGCTGCTGCTGCTGCTGCTGTTGATGTTGCACATCTGGTACTTGAGGGGCTCTATCCAAAATTCACGAAAAAGAGCCAACTTGGCCATACCTGATGGCAAGGGGACTGTCCCTCATCCAACCTTCGCGTTTTCCGGGTCTGGTAGCGATGAGTCAAACTCAAGCCTCCTGGAGCTTCTCCGTGAGCTTGGGTGTCACTTTTGCGAGGCTACCCTTTTTTGGGATGGGTTAGAGGGAAATCAACCGGAAGCCACGAAGCCACGGCTTTTTTGCCCCGTCCACAAAGAAGTGACATACTTCCAACTCAGGGAGTGAGGCAGTGAGACACGTCCGGCAAATGGTGGCCAGGCGGCCTCCAAGGCTTCATACCTGGGTTTGCAAAGGCTTGGGTCTTCGGAAGGACGAACTCGGGTAAACGTAAACTCAAACCCCTATCGTTTCAACGCCCTCCTTGTGCCTTTCTGGGCAGGGCTTGAGAACAAACTTCACCCAAGGAGAGCCCAACCATCCCCCAACAGATCTCGTGGGATGCAATCGTGAGGCCAATGGCCAAATCATGAACAACTCTCTCCCCGATCGGCAAGCTCCTTGCACAAGGCTGTATGTAGACGGCACAATTCAATACCCTTGTGGGTAAGTGAAGGGGACTGAACCAACAGCTGGCAATTCTGGCATCTTTAAATGTACGGTGAATTTTGAGGCTGGGTACCCCTCAGGTTGTTGGAAAAAAACCAACAAAAACCAGAGACATAACCGACATGTCCTTTTCGTTGTGCCATGAGTGCCCCATTAAGACCAGCCATACCCAGCGCGCATCAAGGCCGAGCTGCAGCGTCACCAACCGCGGCTCCTGAGAATTCCCCGCGTGCTCGAAGAGCGGCTCCACGAAGGCGTTCCTCCGACATCGATCGACAGCAAACGTTTCCTTTTTTTTGAGTTGAATCGGGAGGGTCGTTCGTACTGCCAGGACCCAGGAATTCCCACAGAATGCTGGGGTACATGTGGGTACATGTTGCATACGTGGAGTGTTTGGGAACTTCCAAGGCTTCTGGAGATCACACTATAAATGTCTGGTCGTAGACAAGTGCATACGCCAAACACTTTCGGTTTTTTGCCCAGAAATGGAGACGAGACTCATCGCATGATTTGGGAAGAGCTTTGCGCAGGTAAAGGCGTAGCATACCACGTTTCCTGCACTCTACGGCTTGTTATGCGGGCAAGGCACTGGTTCTGCACTATCATTTGACATATTTAGCCCACTTTTTTTGCGGGCGGTTGAGCTTGTGTTGCGTCCAAAAGTAGCAGGACATATGTAGAAGTGCAACTTTCCACTCAGGACAGCTTGAACGATGGCAATATTCTTGAAACTGCTGAAGTATCTGGACTACCGTTACATCCTAAAACTAGTGGGTACAAGGCCGGAAAACACATACGATGACCAAAACTACCACTTGTGTCTAGTCGAATGAAGTTCCATGTTAATTTTTTGGGCCATGACTGAAACAAAAACTACCAAGAAGGGGAAACCAAAAGGTCAAACGGTCGGCTTTGGGCAAATGCTTAATTTTGTTGTTGGGCATATAGTGGTCAAACAAACTTGAATGACCAAACGGACATGGAAAATTGAGGGCTGGCCGGGAGATTTAGTCAGCCATGTCCCTCCCAAATAAGTCGCAAACCCGGTTGAAGGAACGAGGAGCTGGCAGCTTTTCGGCCGTTTGAAGAACCTCGGGGTCCTCCGGAAAAAAAAAAAAAAAAAAAAAAAAAAACTCACTCGGGAACTCGGGAACGCCGATCCCGAAGCCCGAAAGCTTGGATCCCGAAGCCCTTGGCCAAGTGGGGGTCATTGCCGTCGGTCCCCAGCTTTGACATCATGGGTAACCGTGGGTAACTGTTCCCATGTGAAAAGATCACCGTTTTAGTCTTTTAGTGGTTTCCCCCAATGGTCATGGGATAAATCCCATGGGACCTTTTGAACCCCGTGTGGGTTTACCCGAGCAAGCGGTGAACCAACCTGCCTGATGAACCGCTCGAAGCGCGTCACAAAGCTGATAAAGGGATTCGGCTCCTGGAACCAAAACGCGACAGGTGTCAACACCACATCATGTTGGCTTTTATGTTGGTTTTAGGCCGGTATTGTGACGCTTTTTGTGTTTGTTTTGGTTTCAGTTTTATGTCGGCTTTCTGTTCGTTCGTTCCATGTTTGTAAGTTTCATGTAGTTTTTTTGTTGGGGCTATGTTTGCTTTATGTTGGTCTTACGTTGGGATGTATGCCTGCTTTATGCTAGTTTTAGGTTGGTGTTATGCCTGATTGATGTTGGTGTTATGTCGGATGTATGTTGGCTTTATGCATGTATTCAAGGAAGCCTGGCATGTCATTTGTGGTGTTATCTTGGCTCCAAGAAAGACAACCCGGATTAGGCTTGGACACCTGCAGTTCTCTGTCCAAGCGCGCAGGCCTTGAAGAGGGTCAGGATAATGAGGCCATCCAGAAACTCCTCGGGAAGTTCCATTCACAGCTCCCGCTCCCTCAGACTAGCACGGAAGCTCCCACTGCAAATGGAACCAAGTCTTCCAAGGGGCACTCTATGTTCGTCTGGGCGAGGGTAAGATGTTCGCAACTACCCTCAAACCACCCCCATTGCTTAGACTTTCAACCCGCTGGCCAATACTCAAAGGGATTCCCTTTTTTTTGAGGCGGTGGTTTGGGGATCAGGCGCGAAACATCAGGCGCGAATCTGGCTGCAGCTCTGTCCTGGAAGGCCATGACGTACTGGAAGGAAGCACCAGAGTCGTCCTATTGAAAACTGTTTCCCGTCGCCGAAAGAGAAACTAGAGGCAAGGACAAATTGCACAACATCCGCAATGCACTGGCTGGTCGGTTTATGCACGTTCACCCCACTTGTGATGAAACTTATCCATCCCAATCGGAGCGAACTGGATTTTGCCTATCCACAGGGAGACCCTCCAAAACTTGTTTAGCTTTTTTTTTGCGAGTGCATCGGTCCGAAGATGTCTAAACTAAAATAGCCCAAACGGAAAAGTTATGTTATTGTAGAGTCAAGGAACTCAGGATGTTCGTGGTACATGGCTTCGACACCTTCCCTGGCATCGCTTTTCAGCCGCGTTTCGCCTCACAATCCCGCAAGGTCCTGCAGCAAGTTGGCCACACGGTTCGGATCCTGACAGCACCATCCAATATGTCCCCTGAGATAATGCATATGAATCTATACCCGTGGGTGCCATTTGCATCGGCATCTCCATTTGTCTAGATTACATATCTGTAATTGTATATGTGAATCGCTTCTCCTTGTCCTCGAATCACGATATCCAGAACACCGCTTCACAGGTCAACAACATGCATTTGGGTGTCTTCTTTGGAGGTGGTAATTACCATTGCTAGGGTTGCGTAAAGGGAAACTCCGAGGGAAACTCAATCTCATTTTGGCGGGGTTGCCCCGTTGCAAGACAAGCCCGTTTCGGTGAACTCTGTCCTCCTGCATCGAGCGCGAAATCGTTGGCTCCTGCGAGGGTCTTCAGTTTCAGGCTCGTTGGCAACCCTTCCCTTTAAAGAACATCACAAAGCTCAGACCTGTTTGATCAAGGAGAGTATAGAGCTGCACCTGGGGACGTGCCATCCTTCAAGAACCCAAGACTCTTCCAATCTCTGGGAGGAAATCAACAAGTCCCAAAGGAAACTTCACATGCGGCCGGACAATGAATAAACCGCCAGGAAAGTCCCTCACTTCCAGCCCTCGGACTGGGTCCTCCACCTCTTGCTCTGCTTCTTGCTCGGTCTCGGTCTTTTGCTCACCTGCAGGGTGCAATGAACCCAACGTTCGATGAAGAAATCATCACCTGACTTGGCCCGTTGAATGGGTTCTAAAAAAAGGTTTCATCGAGTGGTTCTTAAATGACACCAAGAGGAAAAAACGGGTTCTGGGTGATCTTACACGGTCCAAACAAACGGGTTCAACAGCCGAAGCCCTGACACATGGGTCCCGACCATTCCTCGGCTGTTTTTGGGGGGATCCTCGAAAAAGAGGTGTCTTTTTGAGCGGGGTCGGGTTGTCTGTTGGGCCGGCAGACCCGTAAGGGTTGTGGAGAGCCTTATTCTGGAGAGGGAACATTTCTTGGCAGGGTAAGGTTCCCCCCTTTGAGAACTGAGAAGGCTTACTAATTCGGGGTCAACATGCCGAGACCGGGCACACATCCACCAGGTCAGAAGCTTGGTTCCTTCCAAACCGAGGCAACAAGCATCGAGACCTGGAAATGGAACCCTTCAGCGCAGGCTTTGCTTCCACTCTAGCCACTCCTTTTCACCTGCCCATTTATATGCTGTTTGGGACCATAGCTGGTTTCCGATCTTCAACCATTGTCCAGGAAAATTGTCGACAATTATGCATTCGGAGGCCAAACTCGCATCAAGGTTAAGAGCCCTTTCGGGTTGGGTTTGGAATGCACCCTAATTATTCAGCCCCTTTTTGGTCGGAAAACAAACGGAAATCTGGCTGGAGTGCTCGCCTCATTTTGAAGGGACCTCACATCGGAGTTCCGCGTTTTCCATCCCGCAGTGATTCCATTTGCCCGTGTAGCAGGTAACCAAGGGAACCACCCTTTAAAAACCACATGGACATGTGGTAACTGGGTCCACTCAATAAACGACCTGAAAATGAACGCTCATCCTTTTAGGAGCTGGACAAAAGTCGAACAAGGGCTGAAAAGCAAGGCCAAAAGGTCTGCAGGAAACAGAGTCGCGGTGTATTATTCAACCGCGAGATCAAAACCGCGATCCCTACATTCCCACGTACACCCCACCAAAAGGTGAAACTCCCTACCCGCTAGAAGGGACATACCTTTGATCCTTCGGATTAGTCCAAAGTTAGCATCGTTTCCTCTTAAGGATTGATAAACGCTTCCCACGGGAAACAAAACGGGCCCCCGCCATTTTTTCGGCCTATCCCTTACAGGGGGGTTCAGGTTCCCAAATTTTAAGCCGAAGGGCGCGGAACCGGAAAATCTTTGGAGCCAAGGAACGCTTCTGGAGCTCCACGAGCCCACGGAAGATGGAGCCCACCCTTGCCTTTGCACAGTCGTCGGGCTGAGTGGAAACGATTTTTGCCCCCGGACGAGCGGCTTTTCGTGTGCTTGGCCAGCCCAGTAAGTTGGTTGGGGCTCGAAAAAACCCGGGTGCCCAAGCATCTCCTGATCGAAACCGGGCCACACCTCGAGACACTTGCCCTCCTCACTCTCCCAGCTCGTGAGCCCTTGTTGCTCGTGCTGAATATGGGTCTATCTCTTTGGGGGTACCCGTTTTTTGTGGTGGTTAAAAGGGCACCCATATGTTCTCTATGTGCTTTACTCAATAGCGCTTGGGTCCAAAAAGGTCCTCGGAGATTACCGTTTGGGCTCCTGAAGGTGAGCGGCCAACTGATATGCCAAGGTTTTGGGTCTTTGTGCATTGCGCAGAGGAGCTTGGTTTCACTGCTCAAGAAGCTTGAGTCTCAAGGTATGGGGGGGGTAAGTGTCCCACCATCCCAATTGGTGCCTAGCATAGATTTTGTCCATCCACAGTATGGGTGTGCTTTGTGTTTGATGGTACCATCCACGGTACCATCAAACACAAAGCACACCCATACTGTGGATGGACAAAATCTATGCTAGGCACCAATTGGGATTGAGTGCTTAACCCAACTGGTTCCTGGCGCGGATTTTGTCCATCAACATACAAAGCCTATCTTTTTTTGGGGGCAACCGATTTGGTGTTGTCTGTGTCAAAATAGGGGGCTCCTACATGAAAAAGGTACTTCACATCCCAACTCATGAATGCCTGAGTTGGTTCTGGATGTCTCTTTTCCTGCAAAAGGAACACTCTGGCAGGTTCCACGTTCGTGAGTCCTCCGTTGCCTTGGAACCCGGGGCCCCAGCTCGGTTGATCTGGGCAGACAGCCTGGCATGCTCCAGCATCTCCGTGAAGGACTCCAGCGACATGCAAAGCGCCTGTGTCACACACACAAACAAACTTATAGATGTATACAGACTGTACACACCCATTCTTTTCTTTTTGGGGGGGTGTCTTTTTCAGGGGAACCGCCCAGACATGTGTTTCTCCTTTTGGTGGCTTCCATATGATTTCCCTTTTCCTACCAACAAGGGGGTTCCACAAATTCCCTCCACCGTTTTGGTGGCGGCGGTTTTCCTGCCCGCTCCTGCTTCTGCGACTGCACGCCGGTGGACTCGATGAAGGCGCCCCGGTGGCGGTGCCGGTCGCGCTCCACTTTCCGGGCGCCTGCCGAAACAAACAGGAAAAAAGCCCCGGCGTCGCACAACCCGCCATTTCTCCCCCAAAACTGGACTTATGATCGCTGGGCTGTCTGATCCAACACAAAACTGGGCGAATTCCCTCTGAACACCTGGTGACCTGGCCCCGGAATTGGAACCCTCCTCTTGTTTCCTCCCTGAAAGCTGCCTCAGTCATCCCTGATCGCCAATTTCTGGGCAGAGACCCCAAAGCTTCCAGCCCTTGCAGGAAAAAACGCCGTCGAAGGAAGCAGCAGAGGGCTGTTGGCTCCCTAAGTGCTCTTCCACTAGGTCCTGGAACAGAGGTTTGCCAATACGCGTATTCTCAAGAGTGGCACATTCCCAGCAACACCCTGCCACTTTTGGAGGTCCAGAACAGGGAGACGGAGGCAGCCACGAAACGCGCGACAACAAATAAGTTGAGGCTCACCCACAACTTTGTCATATGCATCGTTGACACTTTACGCGAAAGTCAATCTTTGTGCATCCGACCATGTTTGGTGGGAGGGCATGGTCATGCTGTCATTTTGACGTCTGATCATGCTTACTACAAGTCATATCTTACTATGAGTCGATAACACGTGTGTCATTCGGAGTCATTGCGAGTTACTGCATGCCTCTGGAATACCAGCTGTTCATCTTGTGCCAGCCAAGGCGCTGCTTGCATAGGCCGTGAAGATCGAGCGAAGCCTGACATGCCAGCTGTTTTTTGCTAGCCCCAGTTTTTCACTAGCCCCGGTTCAACACAAGGCACCCCATCTAAACGGCAGGGCTGTACTAGGCCTGGTGATTGTTTCTCGGTAGGGAAAGGGAGCCTTCCGGGTTGGGGGCAGGCGGTATTCTCTGGGGCACTGGTTGGCTAGGTCCGGGTTGGTTGGCATCTGCCTATTGGCTGAGATCTTAACGAGGGCTGGTCTTGGGCTCTTTAGGGCCGCTGGGTGTATTTAGGGTTGGCTTTAGAGCAGCTTTAGGGATGTGGCCGTGTTGGGCCCCAACCCCAATCCATCCGCCCATGGGAGGCATTCAACCCCACGCGTTCAACAAAAACACAACGCAAAAAAAAAAACATGCAGCCCGAACAAGGAATCAGGGAGATTTGGGAAATTGGATGTCTCTGTTAGTTACATATTCCTGTGGGAAATTCTCCATCCAAGTGCCTGGCGTGGGCTTCGTCCATCCACAGTACGCCGCCTATAATAATTATGATGATGTTTGTTAGTATCATTACTATTGTTATTGGGGAACCATTGACTAAACACCCATCGTGGGGTTCCCGAACCCCATGTGTGCGTGGGCGTGTGTGTGTGTGTGGGTGCGTGCGTGCGTGCGTGCGTGCGTGCGTGCGTGCGTGCGTGCGTGCGTGCGTGCGTGGGTGGGTGGGTGGGTGGGTGGGTGGGTGGGTGGGTGGGTGGGTGTGTGTGTGTGTGTGTCTGTGGGGGTGTATGCCAACTGCAGACGCAAGATTGTGGATGTTGCTACGCCCATAAGTTGCTGACCAAGGTGCCGAGCAGACCACTCATCCAACAGCTCATCCAAGGACTCGTCCACCAGCAGCTGGTACACGAAACTCAGTGCGATTGGCGCAGGGCAAACATGGGTGTGGTTCATGGTGGTTCAACCTTGGATGACATCTTGACAACCTTGGATGACTACTTTTTGAACTTAAATGAACGGCGTTTAAACTTGAATAACATTTCGCTAATATTGGATGACTTGGTTCTAACATGTTCTAACATCAACTGACTTGTTTCCAGCCTTGGATGATCTATTGCTAACCTCGGATGGCACGCTTCTAACCTTGGAGAACGTCTCTGTTCATCTTACAGTGTTCCAACCGTGGATGCACGAATGCCGTGCTCAGCCATGGACATGTGTTTTGCCAGCGTTAGATGTGTTAAGCTTGGGATGAGTTGCCTATGCGTCACATATTGAACTTGAAGTTTGTCTCTAATTCGCCTTGGACATCTTTCTTTCGACCTTGCTTCGCAGGTTCAACATAGTAACATAGGCGTGCCCAATGGGCGCTTCCCACAAAATAACCGCCGTAATCGGATGCTTTCGAGGGGAAACAGGCACAGGTGGATTTCTCTTTGGTCAAAAACCAAGAGGGCCAAAAGTGCAAACAAATTCTCGCAAAGGCTTTCTGGCAACCCCCAGCGTCCCCCTGGATATCCTTGAAACTTCTTCCCATTACTTGTCTGAACATGCCATGCGTGTGTGTGTGTGTGTGACTCCAGCAAGCAGGACGAACACAAAAAAGAACACTCTTTTTGGATGGTTCGGGAGTTAGCTAAGTGGCGGCGAATGGTACACAAATTGACTTGGGGGTGAGCACTGCGCAAAGCAAACTCAGCAAATGCCAAACCATCTAAAGGATGTCCTAGCATAGGGTTCCCATCTGGAAAATCATACCCCTGTTTGGATACCGAGAATGGCAATCAATTGCAGTTGAGTTGAGGCAACATTCCGATCTGTTGGGCATGTCTTTGTTTGACCCTGTCGGGATATTTTTTTTCAGGGAAACCATTTGAAGGTTTCATAGGATCCTTGATTAGAAACACCCTCAAACATACATGATGTCCACGTAATGAGTGCCATGGCCCAAATTCCCTATGGCCATCGTCATGGTTCTCAGCATCCGAATGCTTGTCATGGTTGTTCAAAATCCCTATCAAGGGCTCCGTGACCATCTCTACCAACCCCCAAGTTAAAGTGTGCCCATAAAACCACAACCAAGCAACCAAGCAACCAAGCAAGCAACCAAGCAACCGAGCAACCAACCAACCAAGCAACCAAGCAACCAACCAACCAACCAACCAGCCAGCCAGCCAGCCAGCCAGCCAACCAACCAACCAACCGGAAATGCACTTTACATTGGCAACTGCCCCAAGTCTCTGATTTGGGGAACTCCTCAAAGATACGTCAACTGTTGACACCCCTTTCTTGCAACTCGGGGTGTGGGGACCGGGTCCCGGGTTCATAGCCCCAGGAAGCTGAGGATATATTTGATCTGGATACTGAATCATTGAAGGGTTCCGATGGAAAAACCTTCCAACAGGTTGGGAATTTTCGTTCGGCCCCCATGTCGCCGAGCGTCTCCTCCCTCTTAGTGCCGGCCAGGGGGACGATGTGATTCTCGATCACGTGGCTCAGTTTGTCGTGGATGGCCTAAGCAGGTCTTCATCATCCATTTACTGGAAAAGGCAGGTAGCCAAGGGAACGACCCGCTAGAAGGCCCAAAAGGAAATTGCTGGTGTCCTGCTCTCCGCACGTCCGCAACGACAAGCAACAAATTGATTACAATTAAACGACAATCGTTATAAGGACAGAATACCAATACTCATACGGGAATATGAAAAAATACAAAGGCCCCATCTGCCGAACATATAGGGTCCCCCCACCCCCGATTTCCCACCACAAAAGGAGGTAGCCTCCAACAAAAGGATGTGCAAAAACAAAAAGCAGCCGCTCGGAGCGAGGCGCAGTGGGCGCCAAGCCCTCGATCTTGGCGCGGCAGGCCAAGGTCAGCAGGGCCTCCACGAAGAGCTCCAGCGAGAGGCCCTGCTCGAAGCGCTGCGAGTCCTCCGCCTTCGCTCGGGTCGATGTCCCCGATGAGCCCTGATTACTAGACCCCCCCAGTGATTAACCAGGGTCCCCCTGGGGGTTTAGTAAAGAGGGGTCAGCATTCAGGGCGGTTTCCCAGGGAATTGGAAATATAGGGAATCCTTTTTGATGCAGAAGCTCCATAGCCAAAGGCCCCCGAGCAAAAGCTCATGTTTTGGTTGGGAAAATAGGGCTCCCCGAAAAGCGAAAGATTCTCCCATCCGAGCCAATGGCATTCAAGTGAAAACCAAGAGCAAATCTGAAATGAGAGGACGATCCTCAAGCAACGGATGGTGAGATCGCTCTCCAGAAATTCCACCAGTCTGCCTTTGAAAGACTCGACCCAGGCATCGCCCTACCCAGTCATCTCTTGGCACGCCAGGGTGTTTTTGCTCTGGGTGCAAAGGTGCTGGGCGAGAAGCATGGAGGCAATTGGTATGGGGAAAACTGCTCTCATGGAATGAATTTGCCAGTTTTCTGCAATTGGGGCTCCGTTTTAGGCTCCCTTAAAGCCTTACCATGATCAAAAATGCTCAATGGTTGTCAAGCACCCATGGTGAACAATCAACCTATGTGGGGCCCCCGCGCCTATGGAGAACGCGCCTATGGAGAAAAACAAAAGGCGCCCTCCACAAAACTTCTCGAACTTCGATCAAAACCGCAAAGCTCTAAGAACCCTCCGGGTGGCTTGGACCTGGGCTCCCTTCCCATTTTGCGTTCCCGGCCATCGCCAGCAGAGGCGACTCATGGGCTGCCATCATGTGGTGAAGCTTCACCTGGCGGTCAGCTTCCAGGAGGGGCGGTTGCGGGATTCATTTGCGAGCTTCGAAAATGGGCAGAACCCACGCAACTTGGCTGGGCCCGTTCAACATGATGAATTAGGTCCCCGCCGTGTTGACCCTGGTGAATACATCATTTTCGTGGGACATCGGTGCAAAATTAGAAAACCCCACGCACACCAAATGTGATTAACTTCCAGTGACCCCTATAGCAGGTAACCAACCATGTTCCTCTTGGCTTCTTTATTAGTGTTCAAAGGTGAGAAAGCCCTTGGCTACCAAAACAGGGACATGGAATCACTGGCAAAAAGCTGTACAACCCTTGGAATAGCAGAAAGAAAAACAAAGTTCCTTTTGCAGCCCACTACCAAACATGAACAGCACCAACAACAAAAAAAACAAACGCAACAGCCTGATCCAAATAGGCGGTGAAGTTAAAAATCAAAAAACACAAAGTTCCAGGACGCGGCAAAGCCTGTTTTCCCTTTCAACACCACAGAACAAGGGTGCGTTTTTTCCCACATGGCATCCGCGTTTCGCCTCGTTGTAGACCTCCTCCATGTCTAGGGGCGACAGCCTGGCCGCTTCCGTCGCCCCGAGCGAAACAAAGCCGTCACGTCGCACCACGTTCAAACCGTGAGAAACCTGGGCCCGTTTTCAGATCCCCCGCTAAAAGTGACTAACTTTTAGTGGGTCAAATGGAAACTATACCACTAAACACTAAAAGGATCTAAAAGCTAAGGGGATGGCTCAGAGCCACCAAGAAACCATTTGTTGCTGGTATTTACAGGCACAGTATTATGTCAGCAGTCAACTTTTTTTTTGAAGGCTGGATCCCCAACATGGCGCAATCGTTGTTTTGTTGGCTTCCCTGCAAAACCACCAAATGGGGCAACCTCAGCGGTCATATCACGTCATTTCCTTTGCATCAGCCCAAAGGGACACTCACTGCAAAAATGGCCCCCCAAAGAGATGCTGCTTACCAAGAGGGAGTACTGTGGATGGTGGCCAAATCCCTTCGCACCATGAGATGAAACCATGGTTGAAACCACAGCGTTTGTTGATATTTGTGTTGGAGAATCGAATCATTCCAAGCTTTCTGAGCGGTGCTGCGGGATTTTGTCCACTCACAGTATCATTTCATGAGATACGTAAAAACTAGCCTGGGACCACAACCGAAACCCGGTATCACAGTCCATACCAAATGTAGGAATCTGCGGTTCGGCGGCAAGAGGCTTTGTTTGAGAATGTCCTTCACTATTATCCAACTCCCAGAATTGAAAAATGGCGAGAAAAAATGGTGGCTGGAGCAAATGCGACTAATGGAGCTTTGGCGCGGGCGCAAACAAGGCCGAGCATGCAGGGCGGGCTGTTTTGTGTGCTGTTTCCTTTAAAAAAAGAGGAGCCGTCCAAGGGCACTTCGGTCCCTTTCATGCCCTTCGCCTCAATGGGGCGCAAAGGTATCGGCGCCCACCCGCCTGAGCTGGTGAAGTCGGCAATCCCGGTACATCATCATGAAGTATCGCTGGCTCACGACCAGTACCTCCGATTTACTCCACGATCGGCACCGGGCGGGTTTTGCGATGTTGGTGTCATCCATCGCAGGATTTGGTGCCTTTGGTTTGCCATGGGGAACCCAGGGCTTCCCAGTTACTTGTATAGTGGGTAACTGGGCTTCAGCGACAGATTTGGCGGAACTAGGGCCGGTTACCTGTTTTTTAGGTAACCAGCGTAGGGGGGCAAATTGGTTCCTTTTTGAGAGTTGATATGCTGCCGCCTGAGCTTGCGCGCGGGTGGGCGTAGCGTTGCTGAGGGTTGATTTACGGTAGGTGCTGGGCGAATTTAGGGCTGATTTACGAAACCCTTTTTGGTTTTGGACGACATTGAGTTCAAGATTGGCTTAGGATGTGTTCAATTTGAGTTTGGGCTCGCGTGGGACAGGTTGAGATCTGAGATTGTTTTAATCCGGGTTTTGCTTGACCTTTCCCGCTTCGCCTTTTCCCCGTGTTCCAGGGGATTTTGCCAGTGGCAAACTTCAGACCATTTGAATGCTAGAAATTCGCGTTGTCGGGCAACCAGAAATAATAGTCTGCTTGAAGCCACCATGCATCAGGGAAGGGAACAGCAGTCAGCGGTCGCTGTCCAGTCTTTGTTCCGATTGCGCACTATTGCTAAAATCACATTAGCGGGGTCCATTACATTCGGAAATCCAAATGGCGCATAGCATAAACTTAGCCCTCTTCTGCTTCAAAACTAAGACACACACACAGAGCATTGTTCCGTGGAGTTTGGAAAGACGGCGCCGCAACTAGAGTGAGTTGTGTCAGCGCATATCCCTTAAATGTTTCAGTCCCAAAACCTACAACTTCTACAGCAGCCATAGCTGTTTAATGCCGCTTCTCACAACAACATTCAGTTATTTGCATAGCAAGTTTATATTTGGAGGCAGCCAGCGTAAATGTATGTAGACATGTTACTCACCGAAGCAAAACAGAGAACCACACCTGCCTACAGTACCTGCCGCAGACAAACAACACAACAAATCAGATGCGCACACAAACACACGCCCAAAAAAGCCCGACCATACTTGCATTGCGTAGCAAATGAGAAGCAAACCAAGCGGCTAAAGACCCATCATAACCACACTCATGCCTCACACACCAACAAAACACGCACACGCTTCATCGCCTGCTAGAACCACACACCACGAACCAAAGGATACTCAAACGTTCCAATTGGCCACAATCAAGCACCACACAATACATGATGAACATACCTGCCAACAAGCAGCCACTCACCATACAAGTCAGAAACACACGCGATCAAACGCGCCAACTGAGTACCTGCCACAATCACATTTCACACAACAAAACATAATCACACCCGCCAACTGAACACCGACCACATTCACACATCACACAAATAAACCATCAGCACTACAGCCAGCGACCACGCAACAAAGACAAACCCATTCCCCAGGTGAACGCTCGCCAAACTAACGAGCCAGACAGCAAACTCAAAATGCACGGCCACCAGCTCAAGACCCGCCATACTCGCGTACCTAGAGCAAATTAGAAGCCACACTGAAACACCACAGTAACAGTATACATATTAAAATCGCCCTCTGAATAAACCCATAATTTCACACATGTGATGAACACACCCGCTAACAAAGCGGCCGTCGCAGTGAGCACCACGCGACAAAGTAGAACAACTCGCGCCAACTGAGCACCCTGCACACTTGCATAGCACACAACAAACGATAAGCGTGCCAGCCACCTCAGGCGCCGAGCAACGGATGAACTGAGCACGCGCCAACACGCATCCGTCGCAGTCATACACCGCGAAACCAAATGATAACCACACCCGCCAACAAAGCACTCGCCTCAGTCACACACCGCATCAACACATAACAAACAAACACGCCAGCCGAAAGCCAGCCATACTCACACCGCGCAACAAATGACAAGGTTAAACACCTGCCACCTTTGCACACCACGTCACAAACGACACGCCCACGCCCCAACTGAGCACCCGCTAGAGTCACTCACCAGGCAAGCAAGGGCACTGGCACCACCCAACTGAGCGCCAGCTACAGCCAAAAACGAAAAAACACACTTGCCAACTAGGCACCGGCCATGCGCATGAAACCACACAGCAAATTACAAGCACTCGGGCCAACTGAGCAGCCGCCACACCAATACACCGCACAACAAATGAGCAACGCGCCAGCGACAAACGCTGTGGCAAGTGCTGGGGCAGGAAAACCTGCCAGCGCAAGAAGGGCGAATCCGGAACTGTTAAAATAAGGAGCCTGGAACCGTTAAAAAGCGGGCTGGAACCGTTAGGTAGGGGCCCGGAACCGATAGAAAAAGGCCGGAACCGTTAGAGACATTTCGGAGCAGCGAGCTGGCTACGCCCAACAAAAAAGCCGTCTACCAGCCAGAAATCATACACATGTTGATGTTTCCAGGTAAATTCCAAGGCGCAATTGCAACAGCCTAAGGTTATTCAGCTGAGTTCGTAATTTGGGCTACAACAACCATTGTGCCCACAATCCTGCGCAGGGTTGAGGTTTGACGTTTGAGGGGAAGTTCTGGCTCGTGTTTTGAGACGATCGGTTTTCAATTTCATTCGGGTTCGGCGTTGACCTGACTATTTGGGGGAGGGGATCAGAGCTTCAGGCGCATGTTGTGTGGTGGGTTAGCTTGCTGGGGGTTCAGTTAGCGGGCGCAGCGCTTATTTGCTGCTAGATTCACACTGGATTCACCCCAAATTTCCATTGTGCTGGAAAAAATGACGGAACACATTGTTTTCCGCATGAAAGTCATGGAGCACGCGGTTTTTCACCAAATTTGGGTCCGATTTTCCCTCTAACGGTTCCGGTCCCTACCTAACGGTTCCACCCCCTTTTTTAACGGTTCCACCCCCCTATTTAACGGTTCCGGGCCCTTTTTAACGGTTCCAGTTTCGCTTCTTGCGCTGGCAGGTTTTCCTGCCCCAGCACTTGCCACAGCGTTTTTCGCCGGCGTGCGTTGCTCATTTGTTGTGCGGTGTATTGGTGTGGCGGCTGCTCAGTTGGCCGGAGCGCTTGTAGTTTGCTGTGTGGTTCATGCGCATGGCCGGTGCCTAGTTGGCAAGTGTGTTTTTTTTCATTTTTGGCTGTAGCTGGCGCTCAGTTGGGTGGTGCCAGTGCCCTTGCTTGCCTGGTGAGTGACTCTAGCGAGTGCTCAGTTGGAGCGTGGACGTCTCGTTTGTGACACCGTGTGAGTATGGCTGGCGTTTGGTGAGCGTGTTTGTTTGTTCTGTGTTAATGCTGTGTGTGACTGAGGCGAGTGCTCTGTTGGCAGGTGTGCTTACCATTTTTTGCACGGTGTGTGACTGTGGCGGATGCGCGTTGGCGCGTGTTCAGTTCATCCTTTGCGCTGTGCCTTTGGTGGCTGGCCCGCTCATTATTTTGTTGTGTGCTATGTAGGTGTGCAGGGTGCTCACTTGGCGTGTGTTCCTACTTTGTCACGCAATGTGTGACTGCGGCGGGCGCTTTGTGAGCGGGTGTGTTCATCACTTGTGTGAAATAATGGGCTCGTCCAAAGGGAGTGTTTGAACATGAATTATGTGGTGTTTGAGTGCGGAAGGTTGTGTGCGCTTTTATTCGCTGTAGGCACGCGACTGTGGCGGGTCTTCAGTTGGTGGCCGTGCATTTTGAGTTCGCTGCGTGGTTCGTTAGTTTGGCGGGTGTTCAGCTGGCGGATGGGTTGTTTGTTTGTTGTGTGGTAGCTGGCTGTGGGCGTTTGGTTGGCCCGGGTGCTGATGGTTTATTTGTGCGATGAGTGAATGTGATCCGTGTTCAGTTGGCGGGTGTGAGTATATATTTTGTTGTGTGGTATGTGATGTTGGGTACTCAGTTGGTGCGTGTGTTTCTGACTTGTTGTGTGGTAAGTGGCTGCTCGTTGACAGGTATGCTCATCATCTATTGTGTGGTGCTTGATTGTGGCCAATTGGAGAGTTTGAGTATGCTTTGTCGCGTGGTGTGTGATTCTGGCGGGTGATGAAAGGTTTGCGTGGTTTGTTGGTGTGTGATGCGTGAGTGTGATTATGATGTGTGTTTAGCTGATTGGTCTGCTTCTCATTTGCTACGCAATGTGCAAGTATGGGCAGGGTTCTTTTGGCGTGTGTGCGCATGTGATTTGTTGCGTGTTGTGTGACTCTGGCAGGTGTTCTGTAGGCAGTTGTGGTTATTATATGTTTTGCCGAGTCACTTCGATGAGTAACATGTCTATGTGCATTTACGTGTGTTGCCTCCGAATATAAAACTGTTGCTCCCAAAACGTGTGTTGCCTCCGAATATAAAACGGTTGCTCCGAAATAAAACATTGTTTTTGACAAACAATATATTGACATCTACTTTGAGAAGGGACATTAAACAGCTATGGTTGCTAAAGATGTTGTAGGGTTTTGGGATTTTGTTTTAGCACCCTGGGATGTGCTGTGCACAGCTCACCATAGTCGGAAACACCCACGGAATGATGCTGTGCGTGTCTTGGTTTGACGCAGAAGAGGGTTCAAAACATTCTATGTGCGATAACCCACATGATGCGACTCAGCAAATCACGACACGTTTAGGACATGGCTCACCTAATCACAGCTCAAAAGGCGCCTACCCCTATATTTACACGACCTACTTCCATGCAAACACGCTCCAGTTGGTAACTTTGCTGTGCACAAAACGGATAGACCACCAGTTATGCCAAGAGATATTGCTTTGTGGCGAGCGAGCCTCCATGTGCAAACGCCAAAATACCGATGTGACTTTTTTCTCCTGATATTCATGGCTGGTATTGAGACAACAATTGTATAATTCACCCACGTGGGCAAGATTCAAGTCTCCTGGAGCGCTTGTTGATGACAGGATGTCCGACCACACATGTTGCTTATAGTGTCCCACAATATGCAAGCAAGGATGACGGTGCAAGCTTGCATGAAGGATGCTGGGACGCGCTGTGAAGTGTAATGAGTGTATGATGTGTTTATGTGTGAGGCGTTTGGCGGGGTTCAATGCCCTTGAATACAACAGCTATTGTCAGCGCGTAGCCCTTTCGACAGTACTCCACCTGGGAAGTGCCTAGCATACTGAAGCAGGGCGTTTGCTGATAAAATTAAACTGAGGTCGCAGCGCAAATGCTACAAAGCGCTCTTTACTGATTTCTGCAGTCCTGCAATCGTGGACGAACGTTTGCTTTGTGCGTGGGTGACATTTGGAACGTGTCCGTTGGCACCAATAATGGTATGTTAGCAAATGTTGCTAGCATGTTGGTGCAGCCACCATATAAAGGAAGCTACTCAACATGCAAAATAGTTTTCAATCAGAAGTGGATATGGCAGGAAGAAAATTCGTAACACAATCCCCCCCCAGCATACAAAGGGCAGATATGCACCACGAACAGCTTGTTAACAGGCATTACCTGGCACGCCAGCAGGCTTCATGGTAAAACTAATGCGAGGTTTCTATTCCGGATCCGCTGACCCCCCAAACCTGTTTTGCATTGAACACAATGTCACATGGCACAATCGGGATCCAGACATGATTTGATTGCTGTGTGTCCCAAACACAATTCTATGAACTTAGTGAAAATATTCTCCTCATTGATTGCATGTATTGCTTTGAGCACCAAAATCCTGTTGAAGGCTCTGAATGCACCACTCGCACAGCCCGGCAACGCAAAATATACTGTTTTGGGTATGTTTCAAGTCTGTTTGGCCCGGTTCCTGGAACCAAGTTCTATGACCCTGCTATAGCGGGAACCAAGCTGGTTCCTGACATATAAGTTACCGGAAGCCCTGGGGAAGATCAGATATGAAAAAAAGATAGGACAAATAAAATACGTATCCAGCTATCTTCGGTTTGTCCTTCGCTTCCCCTGAAAGTCCATCAAAAAGTCCCTAAGTCGTAACAGCCACCGGTTTTCTCTGCAGCGCCCTTTCTTCTGCAGCGCACTTGCGCAGCTTCTCCGCTGATGGACATCTTCCTGCCCGAGCTGGCAAACTCAGCTCAAAGCTTAGATGCGTCCCTGCGGGTTATACACTTTTGCAGCCCTTTGAGACGAATAGCCATCAAGTAAACAACACAAAAGAAGCAAACGCTAGCTGGTGGCTCTCCTGTTGATTTTCCCCCTCCTCAAAACAAAAAAGAAAGGAAAGAACAACAACCGACAGCACACACACACACACACACGCACCCTAGGTTTCGGGCGTATTCCCTATTGAAGACTCTCTCGCCTCCCCGCGGGTACCGGTTCAGCAGGCTTTGGCCTCGCGAGTCGAGCGAGAGGCCAGGTCCCTCCTATGAGGCCAGTGTTGGAGGGAAAGCAGCAGGCATAGGACAATCCATCTTTTTGGGGGGCGCCCCTATTTTGAGACAAAACCCTTTTTGCATGCGGCTCATTTCACCGATGCGTTGACTTCGTTCTCAATGACTCAATGAACTTCTTTCGGATGCGAAAAAGGGATGATTGCCCTTTGGCGCACGCACTCTCGGAACCCGTTTGAACACCTGAAACGGGTCTCAGTGCCTGATCTTGTATCGGCAACAAGCTGGGAATTGGCAGCGGCTTTCAGGAATATGCTCTCTGCGGTTGGACATGAACCTTGCACCAACGAGTCTCCAGTCGAAACTCATGATCATCCCCCTCCATTTCAGTTGCACCAACAGGTTCAGTGAAACTAGGGAGCTAAGGGAAGCCAAAAGCGACCCACGCGCCCGTTTTTTGGGATGCCCCTGACACGTTCCACATGGATCGCTAAGAAGAGGGCTCAGACCGGCTGCCGCGCGCGTAGTGCCGGAACCTCAAGCTCTTCCGATTTCCAAACGGGGTAAAGACCTGATGTTGTAGTTTTCTGTTTTTTAGGGAATACCTCCAACGAACTGCACGACCTCTCAGGGGGGTCCAGGGGGTCCCCTTGGCTCCTGTTGCCCCGTTGAGGTCCATTTCTCAAAAACTTGGTTGCCCGGGCGTTGCCGCCATTTGAAAACCTGCATGGCAAACCGAGGTACAGAGTTTGTACAGAGTCTCTTAAATGATTGGGCCGATGAAAGAATCACCCAAACAATGGCATGACTTCGGAACGGATCTTTGCGAATGTATGTACCACGTAGTTGGACCCTCAAACTACCCATAATTTGTTATTGCCCCCAAACACATGGCCGTGAATTCCCATTTTTACGAGTAGTTTGAGGGAGGAATTTGGGTCTGTTTCGAGGGTAGGGTTCCAAACCCGCTGTCCAAATTTGGAGACAGCCGAAACGCTGATTTCTCCCGCTGGCGTTTCTGCGGTCAGGAGCTTGTCCATGCATGCGCCGCAGCAATATCGCAACCTGCGATATGACGTGCGGCCATGCGGCGAATCTCTGAAGACGCTGATGTGTCTCTTCAATAGCTCCTGCCACTGGCTTTGTCCAGATCGAGCGACGGCTGGTGCTCCAACCATACTTCAAAACATCACCTTGACAGCCTTGATGAAGATGATGATTAATTAAAAACACTAAAAACATTTAACAGTGAAATATAGGGACCCCTGATTTTTAGGATATTCAAAAGGTGGATTTGCCTTCACGTGCCAGTTCTGGAACTAAAATGCTTAAAACTTTTAAGAGCAAAGACAATGGAAACCAACGACTCGCAGGGCGTCTTATTGGGCACACCTATTTGCGTGTGCCACCCACGCGCTTCCATTTTCCCAGCATTCCGCAGCTTGCGAACCATCACGTGTCTCATCCTCCGAAGCCTCACTTCTCGCATTTTGTTCGACCCGAGGACCACTCTTCGGGCTCAAGGCCTCCACTTTCTTCCCGCTGTACAATCGAACTCGAGGCTTAAGTGAACCACATCCCAAAAGCCAAACTCTAAGGAACCGGATGGCTGGGCACCATTCTATCGACAAAATAGCGAAAGGACCCCAGAGCAGATGAGAGCGGACCGATTCGTCGCTCCTCCACCGCGGACTTCTCCGAATTCATGACCTTAGAGCGACACAGGACCTGCCCATGTGCTTTTGAGAACCCTCTTTGGATGGTAAATACCTTTTTCTTTTTCCCCAACAGCTGAAAGGTTTGAGGTAAGGTTCCACGAGGGTTCCACGAGGGTTCCAAGAGGGTTCCACCAGAGTTGCACGAGGTTCTGCGAGGTCTGTGGGGTGGTGCGAGCACTAAAAAGCGCACCGCATGCTGTTGGGGACTTCACCTGAGCTTGTTTGGTAGAGGGCTGACATGATACTCTTATCTACATATATATATATAAACTTGTGTTTGGAGTAAGGTATAGTATACATGTGCCTCTTTTCGGGGGAACTTGTTTTAAGAGCAAGCAAAAGGAACCCCCTTGCCTTCATGTCTGGTGTCGGATCTTTTGAACACATTTCCCCGGATTTCAAGCTGTTTTGCGGCAAGGCTTCCCCTCTTTTTGAGCTTTGCTGAGAGACGTACCCATTCAGGTTCCTGATATATTTCATTCTCTTGGGCCGGCATGTTGGTCGGGTGGGTCGCTCGACAGCATGTCGCCTTACCGTTTAATTTGGGTTGGAGTTTCTTGATTGGTGAGGAGGTGACACTACGCTGCTTCCCATTTGGCAATGAAATGTTCAGGGCAATTCACCCATGGAGGGCAACGTCATGTCATCTCCCCATTCCAAAGGACCGGCAGTACTGATCCAGGGTGATTCGCCCTGTATTGATTCATTTCAGGGGTGGAAGACTCCTAGGAACAGCTTCATGGGAATGGCCCACTTGGGTGTGCACTGAAAGCCCACCCCCGCTCCCGGCATTTGCATTTGTCTCAATCGGGCCACCAACTCCTTGGAGATGCGGCCGTTCTCTTGCTGAGCCATGAGCCTCTCGGGCCGCTTCGGCCGGAAGGAGTCACAGTCGTAAGCTGGTTTCAGAGATCTGCGACTTTCTGGGCAAAGTACAGCTCACCAAAGTACTTTCTGGGGGAGCTCGAGGAGGGCGAGATCCTACAGAATTGGAACCCATGGTTAGCTCGTTTAACCCCATGCGAGTTGAGCTCGTTCTAATTTGCCCAACATGCAAAGACAAATCAACCTACAGAATCAAACCTCATTCCCAAGGCTGACTATTCTCTGGCCTTGGAAACCGACCGAATATTCTCAGAGGCAAGGCCCCTAGGCCATGATCTACCCGATGTTTGATGGTCTCATGGCCTGGTCATCTCCCGGTGGATCGTGGCCTGCGAAGCTGTCACTCACTCACAGCCGCGGCGTCGACCTTTCCAACCCTGGCATGTGAGCTTTTGTTGCGGCCGACACGAACAGAACCCACAAAACAGGGCTCCCAAGTCGATTTCCCCCTTGAACATCACCCCCAAAAGGAAGCTCACCCTGCGAAACCCCGATCAACTTGGTCCGAAATAAGCGTGAAGAAGCCAAAACGCCCTGTTTCGCAACGTGGTAGCACAGCTTCCGAACCTTGGTATGCCAGCACCGTTTTATTGAAAATAATCAGAAAACGAAACAGTAAGCCATTGAAACAAAATGACACAACACTTAAGGACAGTGAGGAACAGGACAAACCAACAGAAACCAAGAAGAAGCCGTTTTGGGTCCTCAATACATAAGGTAAAAAACCAAAGGACACCGCTCGCTGCGGCGGCCACGGTTTTCAGCAACACCCACAGGGCAACCGCACTTTGCGCAGCATGCTTTTTGGATGGTGAAACAGCTGAGGCCTTGGCGCTGGAAAGAACCTTTCATCACCACTTTGAAGGGGTTTCCCTTCGCTCAACCCAAACCGAACTTGGGCCCTCCGAAACACCCAGCGAAGCAAGAAGCAAGCAGAATGCCGAGGGCCTTGGTGAGTGAGCTGGAGATGAGGTCTCCCCTGGGCCCATTCTTTGGAAGCTGCTGCGCGAGCTCCAGCATGTTGCAGGGCGCCCCTGAAACACCGAAGCATCGGGGGGCGCTATGCAGTTGTGCTGGATCGGGACAGGATCCATGCAACGCTGCTTGCTGTTGGTTGGTGTCCTAACAAAGGGGGGGAGCAGGGCCAAGCTTGCTGAAGGTGAACCCCGAGAATGTTGCTTGCAAGCTGAAAAGCCTACCAAGCCTCCAAAAAGCACGTGCCGAACTTCTTTTGGAACCAAGGGATAAACATGGAGTCCTTCTAACATGTCCTTTGGCTTCAATAGAGGATCAGCCAAAGGCTTGCATTTTTAGGGCCCTGACAGATCAACTATCCTTTTGACCCTCTCTGGTCCCTGTTTTGCTTGTTGCTGAATTAGCCGATTTGAAAAGCATACTGAAACGAGCTTTGACATTCCTTTTTCAGAAACACCGTTTCGCTTGTTTCCAAGAGTTAGTTCACATCTCTCTTTGGAGTTGTGACTGCGCAGCTGCTTGAGTTCCCCAATTCAGAGGCACCCCCGGGTGTGAAATCACCCCAATTGGCGGGACGAGGCCCGTCTCGTTTCGCCTTGGGATCGCTTCACCAGCATCTTCAGAGCGAAGGACCTGCACAGGCGGTCCAGCGACTGCGTATCCGAATGCTTTCCGGTTTGTGTCCTCCAGGCCCCGGATATGCTTTCCCTTGAAGTACAAGGGTACAGCAGGCACACGGCATTCATATCATGCAATTAGTGAGGGGCCTAAAGACGGCGCACCAACCAAGCTGGGCGGATCAAACTGGAGTGTTGGCCGAGTCCAATCCGTAATGTCTAGTGTACAACCACTACAAATAAGGCCTCTTTCGTAATCCAAGGTAAGGATCAAGGATTGCCTTTGAACAGGCCAATTAAGGGATTCGTTTTTGCAGCTCACTCGGCAACTTGCCGTGTTTGGAGCTACACTTGACTCCGAGACGAGGTGCTTAGGCCCGTCCTTGGCGCGCGCTATGGATGCATATCCTGTGAGCCCCGAAAACTCGGCAGGAGCGTCTACCCAAAATCAAATCAAGAATCCAAAGGCCGGAGTTCCGCCCTCCATTGATGGTTGGGACTATCCTTACCTTCCTGTATCCAGGCGTTGAAAGCGGGATGCTTCTGTGCTTGCGGGGCCCCGTGTCTGGCCTTAACTTGTCCTTCACGGCTTCGGAGGTCTCCCGGTGCTTGCGCATCTCCTCCAATGACGTCCTCGCAAACGTGAGGATTGACTAACACCTGACCGCCCCCAACAAAAAGCCCGGAGAAATGAGCGGATCCGGAAAAACAACAAGAACAAAACAAAGAAATTCGGAGAACCGCTATGAATTGTGAGAACAATATGCCTCCATCATCGCCATGTGCTTTTGCATCCTTGTTCTCCCTGCTCAAATTGATGAACATGGACCTGTGAGAACAGCCGGCGACATTCCATCCTGGTCTGGGGTGTGTGTGTCCTGTCTTGAGTCTCCTTTGGTGGCTGAAAGGGAAACTAGAAAAACCGAAATCCATTTTGGGGGTCCCCTTAAAAAGGGACACCCATGTCTCCTCGAATCTGTAAACCAGACGCTTCCAATTTCCAAACCTTTAGCGAGGCGCGTGATGCTCCCGTGAGTCTGCCGGAGGTAACCGCAGAGTTGCTGCAGACCAGACTGCTCCGTCTTCGCGGCCTAAAGCCACATGCGACCAGAACCCGGGTACGAAGCACTGCTTGGACAGTACTTCGGTTTGGATACAGGAAGAACCGTTGGGAGGTAATGGCACATGCTAAGTGGTTCCCATTATTCATAGGGTTGCATCCATTCCAACCGGTTTAGGATTGGACAAAAACTGCTTCGGGCACTAGTTTGGATAGATGGAACTCTCTGAATCCTGAAGTGGATTTTGTCCACAGGTGGTGAATAGGTTGCACTGGTCAATGATTCGAACAAAACTGAAACCAGTGGACACCATCTGCAACCAGTCGCTGATCCTCTGAAGTCACAGCTTCCCTCTAATTGATGGTTTGGATTCCTTGGGGCTTTCATTTACCCACAAGAACCGGAGTTCAAATCCAAACCAATCCAAACAAAACAACAACCGCAGATCCCCAACCCAAGCCCAAAAACCTCCCGGAGCTTCCATGGAAATTGCGCCTTTGGCCCATCGCCAACTGAAAAACACCATCTCCAAACCAAGCCAACACTTCATTGTTCGTTGCTTCCCACCGGTCCCAACCACTGCTTTAAGAGCTGGGCAAAAGGCCGTTGTTCGGAAGAGTGCTGCAACTAAGAAAACGTTTCCTTGCAAACCGCGAAGCGCGCACATCCGAGTCCGCGGAGCTTCGATGCCGACTCCGAACGGAGCGCCTCCAGCACCACCTCGGCGAGGAGGTCCATGTGGTTCCGCTGCTCGGAGTCCTCCGCGATGGGCAGATTGGGGCGGCAGGCCATGAGCTCCGCCAGGAACGCCGCCACCCTCGGAGCGGCTCGGATCGGTTTGGGAGGGGTCAGGTGGGTCAGGTGGGTCAGGTGGGTCAGGTGGGTCAGGTGGGTCAGGTGGGTCAGGTGGGTCAGGTGGGTCAGGTGGGTCAGGTGGGTCAGGTGGGTCAGGTGGGGTGGGCCGAGGGTTTGTTGAAACCAGCTGGGTCAAAACAACAGTTTAAAGAGAAGCTGTCGGTTCCCAGCAACCTAGCTCTCTCTGAGGCGGCAGGGCTGGCTCTTTGAACCGATTTTGGCCAATGGGGGGAATTGAGATTCCAGTTTAGGTTTAGGTTTAGGTGCTGATTCCAATGTGCGGAATTTGAGAGTTTCCTTTGGTGCGACGGGGTCCCGATGAAAACTCACCATCGGGACCCCGTCGTGGACATCATTGACTGGAGGATTTTGAGGACGTTCCAACCAATGAATTTACATTCCAAGTCGTCACCAGGTTCCACAAGCTGTTTCAAGACTTTCCTGTTGGTTCCCCTCATGGACCACTGCTTGATTGTTTGCAAAACTGGGCAACCAACCCTGTTCGGGACGATGTGGGGTGCAGTTCCACATGGATGGGAACAGAACAGGCTTCGCTGAGAAGAATCCATTCCCTTGCGATCGATCCTTGTGCTCGCAAAAAGTGACCAGCTTGCGTCCTTAGAAGCAGGAGTTGGGCCGCAGGCTACCAGCCCATACCTTGGTTTCTATCATAGGACTCAGTTTTCCCTTGGCAGGGGTTTTCTAGAGTAGTCCATTCTGTCAATCACAATTGCAAATGGCCGGTGAAGGCCGTCACTCATCGAGTTGGTGTCCACGGCACTTCTTTGTTTTATCCGGAGATGGCTTCGGATCCCCAAAAGGGTAGGAGCAACCGACATTTGATGCAACCACCATGCGCGGGGAGTGGTTTGTGGAGTGCCTGGGCCTGGTTGGCCCACAGCAAAGTTCACTGTAATTTTCCAGTGTTTTTGGGGCTTGCCTGCTAAAAACCTGCGTTTCGCCTAGGTCTCTAGGGGGGGGGGGGGTTTCCCCGGACGCGCGGGATCTGCATCCCCAGCATCATCAGGGTTACCTTGCTGCTATGAATTTGTCTCTTATTTTGCAGATACTAATGGTGTTTTGCTGTTTCAAGCGATGTTGGAATTGGCCTGTTAGGGGTCTGGGTGGGGCCAAGTGCAGTGATACGTTGAGCAACTGTTTGAATTTGCAAAAATGAGTGTTTTTTTCAATTCCCCACCTGTACGGAGCAGTTGCTGCGAAACATCCCCTGCATTATCGTGTTTTTGGAAGTCTCTTTTTGAAGGGGGTTGCTGGTATCGGCGTTTGATGGTTGATTTTGGGAAATATCAACAAATCCTGTTTTTTGTTTTTGATTTTTTGTCGCCAGCATTCCCAGCATTCCCGACATCTCTGGTATTTTCTAGCTTTCGTCAATTTTGCATGTCTGAAAGTCTTGAAATGTTGGATGTGAAGATTGGGTGTTCCTGTACGTTGTGAAAAAGAAAAAAGGTCTTGAAATCCCTTGCACCCCACTGGCGTCAGCGGATCGCGTAGCGATTTCAATAAAAGGGAAGGGCTGGGGAGAATTGAAATGCGGTTTGTCAAGAAATGCTGTGACGGCCACATGTGGGGATTGATGCCATCACTTTTAAGGGCCCAGAGGGAGGGGAGAACAGTAGGCAAGGGTGGAACGTGGGTAAAAGAGTGTCTTTTTTGAGTGTAACTACCCTGTTTGGTGTCGGTTCAAAGAGACACCGAAAGGAAGCAACCTCTGATTTCAGGGGTTCCCCTTATTCTCGACACAAAACGTCTGGGGGCCCGGCACGTCCGCCTGGTCATCCCGCAGCACCTGGCGTTCCCAAACACTCCTATGGATGTGTCTGAAAAATGGCGTAACCCCTTTAGTTCCCCTGTAAGCAACCCAAAAAAGCGTGCCCCCCAAGAAAAAACACACACACACACCTAGAATATTTCATGGGGTTGGTAAACCCACCCTTTTCCCTACTCTAGAAACTCCAGTCGCTGCTCATCTAGTGCGATTGCTCTCAGCCAATGTTCACAAAAACTTTTTGCCCTCATCTGCACCCTCATCCACATTAATTTTCACCGCATTTATAAGAAATCCGGATTCACTTCTCGCGACCGCCAATTTCAGCTGCCCTTCCACCGTGGAAGCTCAGCTTACACCCGGAAAAATCTCGTCAAGCCATTCGTTCGACTCCATGCGAAAGAACATAGCTGCATTTCCGGGGCCTAAGGGAGATGGAACGCAACCCTTCACATGTCAACAAATCTCAGGGGTCCAACAGTATGCCTTCTACGTCCCCCCCCCCAAAAAAAAAAGTGATGTATCCAAGCGCCTGTGAAGCCAAGATGAGCTTATGCATCGTTGATCAGCTTTAACTTGTATGGATTCCTCACGTTTAGAGGAGTTGCCACACATGTGTTCCAGGGATTTAGCAACCTCATCCACTTGACAAGGGGAGTAAAAGTTCACCCTCATAACTTTGCAAAGGCCACTCCTTGAATAGGGCATTTTATAGGCCTCTGGAACGCAAAGGTCCTGGAAGGACCTGGCCAGGCCTGAACCCCACAGCTGTTGATTTGTTCAAGTCTATCGGGGCAAAGAAACTGGAATCCTGACGGGAAAGCCAACATGTGTTCAGATTTCAGCAACCACCTGTTGCTTTGCGGGAACCCCCAAAGTCACCTCATGAACCGGACCCATTTGTTTTGCAATTTTATGGGAGTGCCCCATAGTTGCGGCAATCCATCTTTTTGCCGGCTTCCCCACACTCTTTGCATGTTTTCAGGTTTCGCCCCTCGCTTGACCCCCCCCCCCCCCCCGCTGGGGCCTCCTCGGTGAGGATGGGGTAGCCCACGCAGCGCCGGGCCAGCGCCACCACGAGGTGCTCCGTGGCCGCCTCCGTGGCCGCGGGGCTCGCCGCTTGCCGCACCGCCGCCTGCTCAAGCTGCGAGCTGCGCGCGGTTCGAGTTCGGGTCGGGCGGCTGGGTGGGGAGTTTTTGGAGCTTTGGAGGTTTGGGGTCAGTTAGGAAAACTTGAGTTGAGGTTTGGGTCGAGGGGTTCTGGCTCGGGGTTGAAGGGGGTTGAGGGGACGGCGGCACCCCACTTCATGTGTTTTGAACCTCGCCGAGCCCGCCCGGGTTCTCCATCTAGGGATCGCAGCTCGAATTCTGAATAACTCTCGCAATAGAAAAGCTCACTTCGGCAGAGAAACTGATTTTGGCCGCCGAACTGGCATTGAGCGGAGTCCGCATTCGGCATTGAAATGTGTGGAGCTTCTTCAGTGCATTGGTGCATCAACCGCGGGATCAGCAACCTGCACAGGCTTCCGGAGCCATATTTCCACGAAACATATTCCCCCACCTAATCGGAAACCCAAGTTAGGTCATGCTCAAAACCATCCTTCAAGCGAGAAAAAAAGCTGCTCCAGAAACGCGGAGGCGTGTCTCCTGCGCTTCCGGGTAACCAGCGCCTGTTCCTCCGCCTGCAGCGGCAGCACGTCGGGGGCCACCTTGTTCAAGACCTCCAGCACCACGGGCGCACCTTCCACCTCCCCGAGGTTCTGCAGCACACCTACGGGGGAAACCGCACAAAGTCAACCAAGTGGCTCTTTTGTTTGGGGGTTGGAACGTGACACAAAATTCGCACAAAGCATCAGCTGCTAGGTGGATGTAGGTGGTTTGTCACGATAGGGGTTTATCCATCCCGATCGGTGGAGGTCTCCTCGACTGACAGATTCTCGCGTGATGGCAGATTCTCTCGTTTCCAGGGTCTTTGAGCATCCCTACCAGCCCATAAAAAGATGAGTTGTGACCAGTACGTGATGCGCAGTGCTGGAACCAATTAAGCCCTATGAATTAGGAAAAAAACAACACCTCCCAACTCGTGGTTTTGTTGATCCACAGTAGTGCAATGGGTGGCATGAATGTGTGGAACTTGTATGAACATGTGATATTAAGAATCAAACTTGTTTGTGTAAGTTGCTCTCCCTCATTTGGGTGTACGTCTTTGAGGTACCCTTTTCAGTTTGGCTAACCATGTGTGTCACGGTAAACACATCTGATCGGGCCAGGGCCTATGGTCATGATTTCCTCAATAGGAATCATTCTCATGGCTCTTCCGGATCCTTACCACAAGCTGGACGACCATCCCTAACCCCGTTTGAAGGCGTCGTCTGACCATGGCACACATACACTTCACAAAATCCTCAAGTCGTCCGAGTCGGTTGGAACTTGGGCCCGGCCGTGCGTGACACCGGCCAGCTGGAAGTTCACCCAGCGCAGCAGGAGCTCGTGCGCCGGCAAGAGGCCCAGGTCGCTTGGGCCCTGACGTGGACGCGCGCGAGCGCGCGTGTTGCAGGTCGAGTCGTTGGGTTTGGAATGGAGGTGCTCCAAGAGTGGTGCGCCCATTTCCCAGGAAAACCAAAAGGACGCCGGCCTGGCGATTTGAACCCCTGGTTCTCGTAGAGGGTAGGCCCCAACCTCGAAAGCACCAATCCAAACCACCAATTAGCGGGAAGCTTAAATACTGTGGGTGGACCAGTTGGGGTAAAGACACCACCAATCCCGACTGGTGCAACCGGCGCGGAGTTTGTCCGGTGTAAGGTACAGCGAATTAGCAGGGGCCCTTGGTCCCTACTTATAACATTTCAGGTATCCCCCGTACCGGATGTTATTTTTGCTTGTTTGGATAGGCAAACTGCGACAAGTTGGATTTGTTTGCGGGCTTAGGAGTTCCTGGTAGCCTTGTTTCGTTGATTTAAGAGGGCAACTGCCTGAAGTCGGATTGGTTTTCAGTTTTGAGGGGCTCCCCTAAAAAGCGGAGAACCCAAATACGGGACATCACCCGATACGGTATCACCTTTGGATCATTTTCCATACCCGTATTGGGGGAATGCATGTGTTTTTCACCATGGCGACACCTGAACGCCTAACGTTTCCAACTAGGAGATTCTGCAATTGGTTTTTGGATCTCTTGCCAAAAGAGCGACACATCGTGGGTTTCCTGCCGGTGGGCCGCGGCAAGAATTCAACGCTGACATGTGGGGCAAACCCGTGGCTTGAGGCCGCAACTTTGTCACAAGTGTTCCCACTTTCAGAAAACCCTCCTATGGGAAACCGTCAACATGAGCAGACTGCTCCCCCAAGATTCAAAGCATGTTTGGGAGGGATGAAGGAGGAGGTTAACAACACAATGAATGAAAAAGCTTCACGGAAACCGCTAACGAAAAAACTTCACGGAAACCGCGCTCTGATACTCACCTTCCAGTAACCCAACAGCGCCCATTTGACCCAATGACTTCTGCTAGCTGCCAACATGTGCGTGGAACTCATCCAACCCTTCTAGGGGGGAGGCAGTTCTCCGCTGAACCTGTCAAAACCCGCAGCACCTGCCCTGGGACCTATCTAAATCCAGAGAGTTCTGTCTCTCTTGAACTCTGAGCCCTCAACCAGACAGAGCCACAGAACCGCAGAAGTCCCTGGCCAAGATGCCGAGCTAGGAAGGTTGACACAAGCAATACGCCCCCCCCAAAACATCCTGGGGTCGTGGGGTACTTGTAAACCACGTATGGTCATCATCGCAAGGGAGTACTATGGCAATGTTTTAGCCCTTTGTATTACCCCAGATAAAGGCTGATGTAGCAAATCCAGGCAGATCCCAAGAATCCAGGCATCTACCCAGGATCCCGAAGTCAAGGACCTCAACTTGCTGGTCAGGGATTGAGGCATGGAATGACCCCAAAAAAAACCTTCAACAGGTGGCTTCCTGTTTTTGGGGACCAATCCCCGATTTCGCACCGAATCAGCTCCACAAAGACCCCGCGAATCGGTGAATCGCTCGCCTCCTCGGGCTTCAGCAGCTTGGTGAAGTCCTCGCGAGTCGACCCGTCGCACGCGTCCGGCGACCGGGACTCGGACTGAATGGGGGGAGTTTGGATGGGGGGAGAAGGTGCCGGCTTTTGGGGGGCCAAAGGGGGGGGGGGGGGGTTGAAGGAGATAGAAAGGACAAAAGGCTAGCCCTTGCCGCAAGCTTCACTTCAGGTTTCAGAGGGCTCAACTTGGGAGGTGCCTCGGGACTGCGGATCTGGGCGATTCACTCGAAAATCATCCTGCACCGTACATACACTTGCTCGAAAGCTCCCATCAAGTAGTAGAACTTCTGATTTATTGAACGTCAGCTAGGCATGACCTATGCCGGATTAATACCTCTGTGGCCTGGCTTAGTGACTGTCCTGGCCTCACTAAGGTGAGATACCCGACATGACTCCACTAAGAATGGAACTGGGCTTGAAATCCCATCAATCCAAGCCACCAAACGAGTGCATAGTCACGGGGTCTCACACCCATCCCCCGTGCCCCAAGCACCTGCGGTGTGTCGATGGCCCAGGCTCCGGCGCGCTGCTCGATGGCGGAGAAGATAGTCTTCAGGACCGGGTCCCGCTCCCTCAAACTCGCTGTGGCTGTGGCTGGGTCAAAAATAATCATCGAATAGGTCAATAATGACCATCCTTGGATCTCTATTGGAGCCTTCCGCATTCTTTCCAGGCATCCTTCTTTTCAGGAAACCATCAAAAAGCTGAGGGAAAAGGATGGTTTCCGAAAGGAACGATGGTTGAGCAGAATGGGGAATCCACCCTTTGAAATGGGGTAACGCCAAAATGGGTTGCCCTGGGAAGTGGAAACATGGGACCAAATCCTGCGGTCTCCTGGTGTATATCCTAGTTGGGTTCCAAGATCGAGGGAAAACTCAGACCAGCGGGCTAGAGGTGACTCATGCCTGGATTGGGAGAAGCACTTTTGGGATTTAGGTAACTCATCCCTGGATTTGGATTGGACTTGTTGGGCTTGGATTTATATTTGATTGGTGATTCTGATTTGAAGTCCCCCGGAAACTATTGGCCGACCTTCAAAACAGAGGCATCCGAGTCTAACTGCGACGCCACTCTGATTCCAAAACCTGATACGGGGACTGGGCAAAGTAGGGGAGCGCAAAACTCGCCTGGAATCCTGTTGGCTTACTTTCAAATCTTTTAAAATGGGAAACCCCATCCCCTCTGCCCAGAAAATGGTTGTCCTGTTCGTCTTGCTTTAGTTGGTGGTGGCGTTACGGAGGTGGTTTCCCATTTTCCCTCCACAAGAACCAGGGCTTCAAACCGCCCAAACCACCAATCCAAACCACCGACTAAGGGTTAGCTGATGGTAGTTTGGGGGTTTGAACCCCTTTGTAGAGGCTAAATCGGAAACCCAACCTGCACTGGCGGTTTCCATTGAAACGATCGCCACGTTTGAAGGTTTCAAAAAAGGAAATGGAGTACATGGAACCTGAGAGGTCCTGGTTGGGGCCATGTTCCTGTTAAAGGGCCCGGGCCCCTGTCAGGTTCCATGTAGAAGGTGGGAGGGCAAGTAGTTTCCCGATTCGCCGAGTGTCGTGGGCAGCTCCGTGGACTGGGACGGCAGTTCGGCGTCCTCCAGCCACGACACCACACGCCTGGCGAGGCGCATCGAGACACGTCGAGTCGACTGCACTCGACTCTGGCGCTTGGTGATTGGAATCTTGCTATTTGCGGGGCCCTAAGACACCAGTCCGGGTACCTCGAAATGGCAACGCCTGTTTGAGGTCCCGACGCTCAGCCCTCTAATGATGCTTGGCTCTAGTCATTCGGCGTGTGCCTCCAATCATTCAGTCCAATTGGGTTGGGGAACTCATATTTGATAAGCCATCACTGGGAAAAATGGATCCCTTGACAAATCGGGGGCATCCCCCTTTTGGATTCTAAAGGTGTCTTTCAAAAGGGATAAACCCCCCGAACCAACTTCAACGCATACAATATACAGTACTTTTAAACTCGACCCCCCCCCTTTTGTCAAAGAGAATAAATTTCAGGCTATGGCTATCCATCCAAGGATCGTTGCCAAACTAATCTAAATCTGGCCCGGAGAAAACTTGCTGCCTGGTCTGTAGAACGCCAAAAACGGCTTTGCAAAATGCCCATCCAAAGGTCCATCACCATCCTTAGCCCGAAGTAAGCAGGTCCCACAAAGCTGCTGACCTACATCTTCTCTCATGCGGATTCTCGGACCTCACCATGCTCATCGCCCATCCGTCCTGTGTAGGTCCTGTGCCCTGTGCTCTTCCGGCATATCTGGTAAGTCCGACACCGCCATCGCCAGCTCCTGCTGGTTCTTTGTTGCTTGCGCACGTCTTTAAGTTTGCTCCATCATTTGGAACAACTGTTCGAGAATGCCGTTTAATGAACCATCCCAACCGAGCCCAAACCCCAAACCACCCCCGAATCGCGAACCCAAACTCCCCCCAAACCAAACCCCAAACCAAGCCCCCAAACACCCCAAACACCCCCAACCCCCCAACCGAACACGAAGCCCCGAACCTCCCCAGACCCCCCCGGAGGCTCCTTGTGCTTGGACCCCGACTTCCGGGGCTCCAGCGCCGCCGCCTGCGCCATCTGCGCCGCCGCAGACGCCGCGAAGGCGGCGGCCCCCAGGACCTCGACTCTCCGGGCGGCCCCCGTGGCGTGGCTTCCGTTTTTTTTCGGTTGGACCCCGAAACTCGGCGATTTTCATTGGTCTTGTAGGTAACCCAAAAAAAACACCCAATGGAAAAACACAATTCTCACTTCCTGAGTGGATTTGTCCAAAAAGCTCCCAAACGTTTGGTTTGCCACCAAAATGGTCCAACCCAAGAAGTTTGAAGAAGACCAAAACAGAAGCCAGTGGAAGACAAAGCAGGTTGCCACAATGGGCTCCTGCCAAAGGTTCCGATGCACCTCCCAAGCGCTGCTTTCACGAACCTGCCGAATGTGCAAAGGCGAGCAATCTTCCAAACCCTTTGCGATCTTACGCTTCCATGATTGAGGATAGCCCAGTTGGATCCTCTGCAATCTAAGCCACAGTTCATCCGCACCTATTTCCTGCTCTCCTCACTTGGAGAGGCCAATCTGTTTGGGCTGTCACTGTGGTTCCAACAAGCAGTGCCTGACTTGGGAGCTGTTGTGTTTTCCCTTACCACGAGCAAACTGAAGCCCCCTTGACTTGGGCGTGGCTCCTTTTGGACTGGGGACCCCTTTTCTGACAACCCCGCCCTTCTTGACGTGGTTGGCCTATAGAACAAGTTCGGGCTCGAAGAAATACGGCCCCTGCTAAGCGGAGATACCTTTTTGGGCTGGTTGCTTGGATATGATACATGATGATACCCCTTTAACTGGTGCAAGTTTGGTTGGAGTCGGTATACTGTTATTGGATTTAACCGGAAACCACAAAGAAAAACCGCCGCTCTAGATTTTAAAGGTTGTGCTGTCTTTGTTTGGAATCCACACCCTTGTTGCTTGGTTGCCGTTTCTTCGGAATCCGAACGGGAACCGAAACCGATTTTGGAGGTTCCTTCCGTGTTTGGAAGGTAGGTGTTGTTCTTAGTTGCGCAACACAAGGATATTCACACAAAACGCGAGGGCGTTGGACGTCCATCCGTGAATTTTGAGGGGTGAATGGATTAGTCCTCCAAACTGGATATTTCGTGGGCTGCTCGTGTCCCAGCCACGGCTTTGAAAACTACGAATCAAAGCCAACAACCAACAAACAACGACGGGTCCTTGTGCATAGTTGGTGTCCTTTTGACTTCTCTGTCAAGCAAAATTGAGACCTCTCCAAATTGTTTGGTTGGATATTGGCCACGGTTTGGATCTTTCGGGATGGTTGATTTGGAGCTTTGGAATATTGCAGGTTGAGCGGCTTGCTTGTTGGATGTGTCTGGCAGTGTTGCAACTTTTTTGGGGATTGTTTACTTGTTGTCCCCTCATGTTGGGATTATGCAGTATTCCATCGTGTGGGCCAACTGCTTGTTGATGATTGCAATGTTTTTTTTCATTGTCCCCATTCAGTTGATTTGGCTCTGGGATATTGTTCGAATGGATTTGACAGCAAGTTTCCCTTTTGGATGGTTCTCAAAGGAAGACGAGGGGCCCAACCCTGGTTGGAAGTCCAACTCCCAGTCTCAAATATTCTGGGAACACAACTGGTGCCTATTTGCTGGGTTGCTCCAAGCCCCCCTGAGCAAAAGACTGTGAGACATTTGACCTTTTGCAGGTTTACTCAGGGGTCATCTAGTGGCTTGCTTTGAAACGATCGGTTTCCACTTTGGAGGTTCCAAAAAGCTCTGCTGGAAAAGCCACTTGTACACCAGCATAATCTCTCCGGAGCCTTTGTCACACCACAGACCGGAGAGCAATAGGTTAAACTGAATGCAGAAGGCATTCGTCCAAAAGGTGATGTTTCGAATGAGAAGCCCAAAGGGTGTCTTTTCTGAGGGCGCCCCTTGGGTTACTTTAACGGGTAACCATTGAAGGAAAACCGCTTGCACGGTTTTGAGGGGGGCCCCCTTGAAACAAACTGACACGCCCAAAAGGACACCGACCCTTTGGACCAACCCTCGGTCGCGTCTCAGTCGCCTCGCGGCCGTGAGAGGCGGCGCAGGGCAAAGTCTCGTTGGCCACGAAGACCACGGCCAGCACCGAGGGGATCACCGGGACTTGGCTTTTCGCGAGGTCGCCTGAACGCATAGGACGAAGGGGTCCCAAACGGATGCGTTCAATGGAGAGGGGGGAGGAAGGGGTCGTTGAGATGCGTTCTTACAACCCAAGGGGTTGGTTGAACAAGGAGTAACTAAGGGCTTTGCTTCGTTTCTAATGAGCAAATGGAGCACGTCTGTCGATGAACAGCCATTGTCTTGTTGCATAGTTCACAAAAGCCAATCCACTAAGCATTCAGGAAGACCCCTCCCCGAATTCGTGTTGCTCGGTTCAATTTAACATTATTTTTGAAACGAACATCTCTCCGTGTGTTGTTTTCTTCGTAGAGTGTGTCTTTCCTTGACGCGTTTTGCGATGCACAGAACTCATTTGCCGAACAAACACACGGACAAATGGCTCTGGCCTTTCGGGGAAAACCAATAACCACTGAAGAGGTAGCAACCACTAGCCATTATTGAAATCAACCGAACAAAGGAATCCAACCACTGAGCCGGTACCCAAGCATGGCCCAAGCAAAGTAAGATGTCGGCAGAAAGGTCAGTTCTGTGCTGGCCCCCAAGCCACCTGTTCAACAAAGGAACAGAAGCAAAACGAGCAGCAAGAGCAACATGGATCTGTCCTTTTTGAGGGTACCTGTTTTTGGGTTAAAGGGACACCACAAGGAAAACCACCATTTTGGGGGGTCCACCAAAAAAACTACACACTCACATGCCAACAAGAGTGAAGAGAATGTACGGCTGAGTGGAGAATGGATGTGCCTGCAAACGGGCTGGGCGTCTTCCGGAGGCTTGGGTGCTAGTTTTGGGTGTGGGGTTGATTTTAAGACCGGGAATATCAATCAGCTGAAAAACAGAAGAAAAACAACAAATCAGATGATGGTTGTTTCACCCAGTAGTGGTTTGAAGGGAAGCCAAAAAGAAGTTTATGAGGTGGATTTTGAAGCCAAAAGTCTTTTTCGAGGGAAGCCTGAAAGAAGCCAATAGTTGTTTAATTGTGTTCGAAGTGAAGACAATCAGCGGTTCCTTTATCGCTGCCGATTTACAAGGCTAAATAAGCTGATGTTTGGGTTCAGCTGGCCTCAGCTACGGGTGTGAGTTTGTATTGGGGACCCTTTGGTGGACATCACTTACATGGGGTTTGATGTCCACCACTTTGGAGGTGGTTTCCTGTTGAAATCCATAGCCATGTGGCTTGCACCGGTGCAAGAATCATTTGATCCGGGTCCCCAGGCCGCTTTCAACAGGGTTCCTCAAAGGATGGCTTAGAAGGGCTATCCTCTAAATCAACTGTTTGGGTGGACCAACTCAGGCAGCTGATGGGTGTAAAAAAGTACCCGGGTCCCCTGTTTTTTTGGGGGTGGCGTCCCGTTTCTTTTGTCAACCGGGGTGCCCTGCAAAGCGCCTCACCCTTGGGACCTCCCTCGAGGCTTCGGAAGCGCGTGGCTCGGCCTGGCAGCAGCAGAAACTTGGCCGCGGTGGGGATCACCTGACGAATCGCCGCGCACAGCGCCGAGGCCTTGTCCTGAAGCCGGAGCTACCCCGAAGCCGCAGCCGGGCCTCGAGGGATACGTGTAAATGTATATGGGCTGTTAACCTCCAAAGGCTTCAATTTGTTTTGAGGTGTTGGGTTGCTAGCAGCACTCATAGAAACCAGCCACAGGAGATTCTTCAAGTTAGCCAAAGACCCATCAAACACTCAAATCAGGGGAGTTCCGATCAACTGCCTGCAGCCTGCAGGATATCCTGCTAAATTCTTAAACTCACGTGGCAACCTTTGGAGCCTTGGCGACTTAACTCTTGACAGGCCTGCAAGCAAATGGTCGACTTGTCTAGTCTGTCACTCACTTGCGACCCAAAGGATTTGTCAGCACAAGGTTGACCTTTCGGAACATTTCCGAAAAGAGATGGGAGAACCGTCCGAGGACCAGATCAAAATGGCCGGCTAGCCCATCCCTGTTTCTGAATCCAAAGTTGGCTGACTAAGGTCCTGGTGTTGGGTGGACGTAGGAAATCCCGCCACCGAAACAAAAGTTGAAAAACCCACCAAAAAGAGAGTTAAGTTCACAGTATAGCATAGTTGACGTTGAGGAACGTCCCCCACCCAAAAAAAAAAAACGAGAAGGTCGGAAAAACCAGAAACAACACACAAAAAACACCGGAGGGGGGCTCTTGTTGGGCACCCCCACGTGTTCTTACCATCTTTTTCTCCCCCGTTTTTCCCGTCTTCCCCGTGTCTCCCCGTTTTGGGTCCTCCTTGGCGTCCAGGGGCCACATGCTCACGGGGTGCAGCGCCTCCTTGGCGCACACGGCCCCGTAGGCCATGGCCAGCGCCGCCTCCGCGTCCGGCTCTGCGGCCGTCACCGGCTTCATGGCGCGCAGGGCGCGGCACCGGTCCCCGTAGACCTGGCCGGGAGCCGTTTTCTGGACCCGCAAAAATGGTGCGCTTTCGTATTCTCGGTTGCTTTCTGCTCTGCTAAAAGTTTAACCTTTAGTGGTTTCGTTGGAAAGCCCATTAGTTGGCAAAAAGTTAAAGTACTAACATCCAAGCAACATGCACAAAAGCATTGGTTTCCCTTTACAGCCACCACAAAAAGGGGGACCCTCACAAAAAGATCAAGAGAACGGGTTGGAGTTGCAGTGCTTTCGTGGATTTCACCAAAGTGCTTCTCCCTGTTGGTCCTTTTTCAGAAATCTTTTGGTACTCTGTTAATATTCTACAAGGGTGGATCCACACAAGCCACATCAAACCCGCTTTCTAGACCCATGCTTCATGATTGGATGTTCAACGTCAAGTAACTAAGTTATAACCAAGCTGATTTGACTGGGGCAACTGGGGTTGGTTGGCCCATAACCACGGTTATAACTTACGGCCTGCTTACCGAAGTAGGTTGAACATCCAAGTGGAAACCCAGGAACAACACTAGAAAGCCCGGCCATGGAAGAATGGGTTCTAATATGTTGAGAAAAGGGACACCCGAGCAAAACACACAACTGGTTTGGGACATTTTGAGAAAAGGGCATCTGAAGTTGTTTTGTCCAGGCAAAACTGCCAATGTTGGGGGCTCATAAAACCATCAAGAATGGGAAATGGTGCCCGACATTCTAGGCATTAGTCTGAGCTTTGGTTTCCCTGCACAAGCTGAATCGCGCTGGGCTTCAGGATGCGTCCAAGGCGATTCCGGGTTGAAACAAGAGCTGGCCCAACCCTGGCTCCACCAGAATCTTGGTACCTCAAAATGGCACGGGTCCAGGCAACCCCAAAGAAAAAGCACGAGGCTCCAATCGACTCGCCGGAGAAAAACAAAACTCGGACGCCTCCGTCTCCCGGGCGGACCACTCGATGTCGGCCTCCTCATCCTGGGAGCGCTTGGACATGGCCTGCAGGGGTCAAAGAACGCGCCAACCCATCCCCATGGTGCTCAAAACTACAACAAAACCACGAGGTTCAGGCTACTGTTCTCAATTAACACACATGTTGATTGATGTGTTCATAGTTGCAATCTAAAACCCCCTTCAAACCCCCTTATCGCCTTCCTTTCATAGGGCCAAAAACAAAAACACACATGAGCCACGCTCTTGAAACCATCCTCCCCGGCCGTTTTATCCTTTTTCGGGGCCCCTCCCCTCCCCTCCCCTCCCCGCACGCCAGCACGCCTCCAGCACCTCGTTGGCCACGAGCTTGAACTGGGCCAGCTGGGAGTTCACCCAGCGCGCCAAGATCTGGTCCCCGCTCAGCCCGAAGAGCCGCCACGCGCTGTCCTCGAGGCGATGTCGGGCGGAAGCACAAGGCCAACATAGGCGGGGCCGGTTTTTGTTGAGGCTTCTTTGTTGGGCTTGGTGAGAAAAAAGGGTCACCAAGAGGGAATTTATCCGTTTTGGATGGAGAAAACAAAACGCAACTGTCATGTTGATCTAAATGGAAACCAGAAAGGGGAACAAACGGGTTACACCTACCCAAGTTGAGTTGAGAACTTCCACCCCGCTTCAGAAGGGCCTTTTCGTGGACTGGAAGTCCTGGGATAGCCATCTGAGAGAAAGGCGGGCGGATGAGAGGGTAAGGGGCGTCCCCCCAAAGGAAAAAGTGTCTTTCCGAAGAAACAACGCGAAAGCAACACTTTGTTTTTGGAGCTGAAGCGAAAGAAGCTGAAACTGATTCGCGCTCGCTCATTTCCCATGTTTAATTCAACAAAACACCACAATTTTCAGTACGATAGACTGATATAGACTCAGCATCAGAACAGTCATCATATCATTCATCGAGTTTTTGTAGGTAGCCAACAATTGTCCACTTGGTTTTAAACGGGTTCCCTTAGACCAGATTGGTACTGTGGTTGGACAGAAAATCCTGCTCCAGTTGGTTTGACGGTTTCCCATCCCAAGTGGCAAGCGGATTTTGCCCTTGTCCACTTCTCCCCTAACAACATGGAACCCAACAAGGGGGGTCCGATCCCCCAAAAAAAATCCTCCAGAAGCAACTGAGTCTCTTGGGTTCCATGTTCATCTGTCCAAAACCTGACACAAGGGATTCGTCCGTGAGCTCGTTTATCCCCTAGAGCTCGCTACAATGTGCGTGTCAAAATAGGGGAACCCGCAAAACATGGTGGTTGCCCTTTTGGTCATCCTTTGAACCACCCCAAAAAAGCGCACCCTCGAATAAAAACACACACGCACACATGCAAATTATCGGCCCAGATCTGGGTACACATAAACGATGTATTCAGATTCTGTTTTAGATAAGGGTTTAGACATGTTTAGACTAGAGCATTTCCAGGAGATGGGCGACGTTTGAGCTCCTCCTCCGCCAACAGCAGCGGGGCCAGGTCCCGGGTCAGGAAGTGCAGGCGGTAGAGGGTTCGGAACAAGTACCCCATCCGCAGCACCTGCGACAGACTCCGAGGCTTGGGGTTCCAAAGCCATGCGACTTGTTCGATTTTAGGAGCTGATTGAGTGGAGAGCATTACCTCTGGAAAGGAAGGATGTGCATGGTTCGTTATTTCAAAAGGGCGTTCGGCCTGAGATTGCAGCGCTAAACAAGGACACAACTACCTGCAAGCGAGCAGGTTCATGCCAAGGTGGGGGAAATGAACAAACGTGCTGATGGAAGGGTTCTGTCCCGGCGACAATACCTCCAATAGTTCCACAAACATGGGGATCTCCACTTTTTTGGGAAACCAGAAACAACACACATGTGCCATGATCAACACTCCCAAAATGTGGGACATGCAAAGGTTTGCTTAAAGAACAGAGCGAAGGACAGCCCAAAGGGCAATATTTCCAACCAGTGACTTTTCTTGGGCTGAGCACTTTTGACTTTTTGAGCGGGGCCACCCCCTTCGTCCCATGTCCAGCCTCCAGCAAAGTGAGGTCCAGCACTTTGCTGAGCATGGCCTGGCGAGTTAAAACATGTCGGTGGATGTCTTTTTGAAGTTGGTGTAGTAGTATACCCCCTCGTTTTGTGCTTTTAAAAGGAAACCAAAAGGAAAACCCCAAATCCATGTTGGGGTCCCATTTAAACGTCAACTCCTCTTGGTCTTGCAGAAAACCAAGAAGCATGCTAAACATATTCATCTGGAATCATGATCTCAAACATGTTACGTACCCATCATTTTGGTCTAACAAACCGGCAGTAGCTTTCTCTACGGGAAAAAACACACACACTTGCTTTTGGAGGATGTTTGGCAATCCAATTTCCTGTAAACCCTCAGCTGGTGTCTATGCTGTGGGTTTCCACAACAAAAACTATGGTTAAACCATCAAACTATTTGCTGATCAAACATGCTCACGCCACCCGAATGGCCCCGTGGCCTCGCAGCGGCAACAACTCACACCGAAGTGACCAGCGCTTACTAGCAGAAGGGGTCCTTTGTAGGCAATCCCAAAATGGTCGTCCTTCATAACCACCAAAACAGTACTCACAAAGGAAACACCCAGAACTGAACAGACGCAATCTGAGATGGCCTCACTTCAGCCCTTCCCCTTCGAAATCTGCTGATTGTAGGTATGCCCCTGTTTGACTCCTACAAGCCGCTATGCAATACTCACTGTCACCACCACGAAACTGTGTAATTCATCCAGGCGTCCCTTAGGGATCGATGGCCTTGTTCAAGCACTTGCCCAATGGGCATGAAAGCTGGTTGAAGGAAACCCATGAGGCCTTCCCACGAACTGAATCGGGTCTGGTTTCAACAAGTTTCGTACACTTGCGAAAGGAATCTAGTTTACCTACGACCGAAGATTGTTAAAACTCGGCCAGATGTAGATCCTCTGCAAACATGTCAACTTGTTGCAAAGGGCGAATGAAACCAATTGAAAGAAAAAACAAAGAGGCGAAAAGCTGGAAAGGTAAGCTAAGTCTGGCGAAAAGGCCACCCCCGAAAACACACGCACACAAACATGACTGCCTTCTGAAACCGCAGGAACCGAACCAGCCAGGTACAATGTGATCGGTTTTGGGCGCGCGCAGTCGAAAGAAAAACCGGGGAGCCAAGGCTAAAGATCCAATTAGCAGCCCCGAATCGCTGCCCACAAAGCTGCGAACCGAAGCGTTCTCCAGTCGAAACCACAAAGAGAAGTTGTTGGTTGAAACATGTTTGTTTGTTTTTTGCGGAAATACCAAAAACCTGTTTGGGAAACAGCTAGTTGCTGGGTGAAGCTCCACCCCCCCCTGTGTCGGCTCCTGTTGAAAAACAAAAACAACAAATGGGTGCGTCTCAAAATAGGAAAGCTTGGTTGGTGTCCCTCCCGTTCAACCAACGCTGGGTCCTCTCAAAAAACATAACACGCCCAAGTGTCCATGTACTCAATATATGTATATAATACTGTATATATAATATTCATATTCACCCTCTTTCTCAATGGGGTTTCAATTTCTGCAGTGGCTAAAACAAATCACGCCCGGCGGAGGGTTTCTCTCCAGCCTTCACCATGTCTGGGCGCACGTCCAGCAGGCGCTGGGCCAGCTGCGCGCGGTTCTGCCGCTTCGCCTCGAGCTGCTTCTCCAGGCGCACGCAGCTGTTCTCGCTCACCTCGCACGCCCGGAGGACCCCCCGCCGGCGAACCGAGGCCCCAAGCGGGGCAGTCGAACAAGGAACCCGGCTCGGAATCGCTTGAGTTGGAAGAAGGGGGATTTGGACTTGGATTTGGAGTTCTTGTGGAATGGGAAGCCCCCCCAAACACCTCCACCTGAACACCCCAAACTAACAAACAAGGAGAAGCTGAGTCTGGGTACTGTAAGGGCCTAATAACTTGGGTTTGCAGGGATGTGTAAAACCAATTTTAGTCATAGGATTAAACAACTAGTACTTCTTCAGCTTGCTTGACTCGTTCGGCGAGTGCTTCATAGTTCCCTAACCAAATGACCTTTACCCCTCACATAGTCATGAGGCAAAGTGGCAGCTTAAAGGGCACCTGAGGTTTTCCTTTAAACCTAGAGGTGTGCCAACTCCAAAAACACACACCCAACAAAGTCCTTTTCTCAAAACCTGGGACTGAACCGGTCTGCACAACACCGTGTAAAATTGAAAGGGCGGAGACCCGCACTGTTACATGGTCGGGACTAGCCCTTACGAACCTTCACGGAACCAGGGTGTGATTGTGGCTCACCTCAGGGTGCGTCGGGTCAACACCGGCTGAAAACCCTCTGAAAACTAGAGAGCCCGCCAGTTTGCGAGGGAAAACTTTGATCTTCGGTTCTAGGTCTAGGTCCCGAACCCACCAAACAAAAAGGGAGTGCAACAGTTTTCATCGGGGACTCTTTGGTGGACACTGATGGTTTATTCAATTACCACTTTTCAGGGTGTTCCACCCATTCAATCCATCCCCGCAGGTCGTAACAGGCTTGGGCGGTCAAGGCAAACCGAAAGTGCAAAACTGCAAATTTGGGGTCAAACAAACAAACGCACACATATCTGGGTGCTTCAAACTTCCGCTACATCCGCACCTGGATGTCCAACACCAGATCCTCCTATCGGGAGAATGCTCGCACGAACCAAACCCCCAAAGGGGCTGAGTCGACCATGGGAAGCTCGGCGTGAACCGAACACCGAACCCAACACGGGAGTCCGAGTCGGAAACCCACCTGAAAATTGGGCGGGGTTAAACTCTCAGAAAATGCATCTCAACTAACAGTTTGCTGGAGTCACTGGGTGCGTCAATTGCTTGAATCTTGGCTTTTGGTGCACCAGATCCGTCCAGTGAAGCTTTCAAGAGAAAACTAGCCCAAACCCAAATTTATGGAATCTAGCCAACACCATCCCCTATTCACTGGTCAGAATTCCCTCACCATTGAGCAACCCACCATATCAAAACAAGGATAAATGAGGCTGAACCACCCAAACCTGCATGGTAACAGCGGAATCTGCACAAACTTACTTGAAGCGATCTACTCAAATTGCGAGGGATAGTCATAGCCAGAGTCGCCAAGCTCTTGGAAACCATTTCGGGGTTAGAAACCATTTCAAGGTGAGGAGTTTCGGATTTTGGGCTAGAAGATCATGTAATTCAGTGATGAGATTTGCAGTGACTGTACTGTACTACACACACACACAAATACTGTGGATGGACGAGATCCATGGTTGAACCATAAGGTTTGTTGTCATTTGTCGGGGAATCGTATCATTCCGCGGGGTCTCTTCGGGTTTCTTAGGTGGTGGAAATGGATTTTGCATCCATCCACAGTATGTTCTTTTTGATGTTGTCTGGTGTCACTCCAAGAAATCTGTGGCCGCGGAGCAGCGAAGAAAGGTCTGTGGGCATGCGTCACCAAATGGGACCCCTCAATATGGCTTTCGAAAAGGATTGCGCACGCACACACACACACACACTCTCACACATCAGCACCCGCCCCCCCCCCGGACACCACTTGGGGCTTCGCTCCAAAAATATGTTCAGATTCTGTTTCATAGTGCGTCTACCCCTACAGTGTAATTGCAAGTTGTTGTTTCTTACCGCATTCGGCACCTTTCTTGGGGTGCATGAAAGTGGGGACCTCCTTTGTCGTGTGGTGTGTTCAAAACGGGTCGAAAAGGGTGCATGTTCTGGGGACCCCTAATGCGTTCCAATTGCATCCCAGTTTGTGCTGCGGTGCAGTCAAAAAAATGTGGCTGATTGATTTTTGGACCCAGCCCTCTATTTTCGGGTCCTTCTTGTTGTGCAGGTCCATGGCAGTCCTCGTGTACATCTGCCGCTCCTGCAGATACCTGGCACGTTCTTCTTTTGCCATCAGAGTCACTGCCTGAGTAGGCTAATGGGAAGAACAACCTCATTGTCTGCAACAAGTGAACAGCTGGCTGGGGCGTGTTCCAATCCAAGAAAGTAAAGTACACATGGGATACAAACAACCAACCATTGTCTGACTTTCACCCGCCATCCAGATCATGTCTGGGCTCCCTGCAAAAAGCTCAACCTTTAGTGGGCACTAAACCAGCTAAAAAGCTAAAAACCTAAGGAACCGGACGGGGAACCGCCAAGACTTGAGTCCAGGATGCGTGGTGTAGGTGATCATCTTGCTCTCCGTTTTGCTCTCCACCGCGAAGATCATCCAATGCCGAAACGGGGCCGCCAGATCGCCTGGGCCGGCCTTTTGGACAACAAATGGACTGCCGGCTTTCCTGCTGGCTTCCGTTTAAACCAGGGTGGAGTAAGGGGCACCCTCCCTCCAAGAATCATGGAATCTGACAGGAGGGCTTTAAAAGACGATGTTCCTTTCAGGGAACCCCTCTGTCGACATCCCATGCAGAGACAAACCAAGGACGGTGACGGACCCTTTGGAAAGTTGTTTTGTACAACCAATACAAGGATTCCTGTTGACCATGGCACGCAGAAGGAGTTTTGACCATGGCATATATGGCTATGAAGTTCAATGATCAATACCGCCTCCGACTTGAGTGATGAGCTTCCAATCCTTTACCTGAATGATGTTCTCCAGAGGGTCCCCAAGTCGTGTTTGTTTGAGTTGGTACCTCTTTCCAACAATCACGATGAAACCCTGAAACTGAATCCGGGGGGGGGGTTCCCTATGATTTGCCTGTAAACCGACCCCGACAAGGCAATGCTTCGAAAACAAAATACATGCATGTCCGCAAAAAAGTGCTCCCCCTGTGCCGAAGCCCAAATACACTTTTCTTCAAAACAAACGTTGACAGAACCTTGCACGAAACAAAACAAATTCATCAAAATACCCTCCTACGGTTCTGTCCGAAAGTGGCGACGGCTTCCTTTTGGTGTCCCTTTTCAACATCCCCAAAAAGGCGAATCCCTTTTGCTTCTGCATTTAGTCAGGGTTGGGCCCAACCGGGTGCTTAAACATGTTTAAACTTTGGGTGGGTCCAATTCTTTAAACCAAAGATTGGGGCCCACAAAGATGGGGCAACTCTTGGGCTTCCTGTTGGTGTCCCTGACCAACATCAAACAACATGGATGTGTTTGTCTTAGAAAACACTCATTTGAGTCATCAAAACCCGGTGCTCAAGTGGCCCTATCCAAAATGCAAAGTATCAAAAACAAAAAGGCTCTGGCCGCACCTACTGCCAGGGCTTTGATTGCCCGTTGGTTTGCGGATGGCTTCAACGCCATGTGCCGACATGGCAAAGGGTTCTGTATACCTTGCTACAAGCATCAAACCAATTGTATGCCACAACCATCTAGAACAATTGCCAATGGAAATGGGGGTTCTGCAAAAGGTTTACTGCGGCAAGGGGCCCACCAGCGTGCGCTCGAGGAGTTCCCCCTTCTTGCGGCGCCGCCGCATCAGCAGCGCGTGCACGTGCTTCCACAGGGCCCAGAGCCAAATCAGCGAGGACTTCCTGCTTTGCCGCTTACCCCAAGAAACGCCCTGGTCCACTTCAAGGGAACAACACGGAGGAAGCTATTTGCTTTCCACAAACTTTGGGAAACCCAAAGGAGGCTGGCAAAGCAAAAAAAAAAAGAAAAGCCAAAAGGCAAACCAAAAGGAAACAACAAGGCAGCATGGCCAAAAGAACATGGGATGGATCCCTTCAAACCTCTGGGCCCTTTGGATTCACTAGTACTTTTTTGGCACGACTTCCTGGCAGCCCCTTCAAAATATTCCCGGGCCGATTCCGAAGAATGTATTCAAACCATCTGTTGTTTACCTCAAAAAGACGGACCCTGGATTCATGGATTGCCAAGTTGCGATCGTTGTTAGTATCTGTTTTGTTTGTTGTTGCTTTTTATTTTCTTTCGGGCACTTTACTCAAGAAGAAACAGTCAGAGTTGCTGGTTGAAAAAGCGATTCGCAGGCGGTCAAGGACTATTTATTCCAACACAGTTTGCCCAGTTTGATCGAGCTGCAGCCGAAGACGAGAGGTGGGACCCAACGTTAACCAGTTCAACTTTCCGGTGAAAGAACCCATGAGGATAGAATTCCCCCCTGTTTGGGGAGAGGATATGAACAACAGCAATGCTTTTTGATCTTTTTTGGGGATACGCCTCAAACGAGGTCTGTGCAAACACCTCTAGAGACGCTGAGTCGACGGCAAACCGATTGGCCATGTAGCATGGCCTGAGCCGACCCATTGAAACCCCCAGTACGTTTAGGCAATCGTATCATAGTAACCAAAGGAAACCATCACTTGAGACCTTTCAAGGTATTTTAGGAAGAAAAGAACAGGTTGCTTGCCTACTTCTAGTCCCTCTTCCTTCTTCCTGGAAAAGAGTGCATAATACATGTGTACATATATATATATATATATACATGTCTCCTTCATACATCCGCAAGGAAAAAGAGGGCCCAAGTTGGGACCCAAAACTCGAACCAACGGCCAACCTCCCCTCCGATCAGTCCCGGCTCGGCCCGCGGAGAGCTGCTGCGCGAACTTGTCCGCGGCGGGGTCTTTCAGCTTCGGGGGCGGCGTCTCCTCGCGGGGTTTGGGGCCGGCGGTTTGGGGAGTTTGGTGCTGGGCTTTGGGGGGATTGGGTGGGGGGTTAACCGGTTTGGCTGGGTCCACCTCAAAGTTTAAACCGCGCCGTTTGTTCACACCATCCTTTTTTGGGGGGCCCATCTGGTTTAACTGGGGCCGGTTCCCGCACGGGCCCGTTTCTCGTTGGGCCTTTCGGTTGGTATGTCTTTCGCTTGCCATTTTAGGCCTGACTACGTCTTTCAATACTTGATAAACCACCAATAACTGGTGCCAGCGGAAAGCCGACAGCACCCACCCAACAGCCGGTCCTCGCGCTCCTCCTTGGCAGTCTGCCGCCGGCGCAAAATGGAAGAAGAGACCTCCACGACCGGGCGCTTCGCCCCCAGCTCCATCAAATTTGCCTGCACCTCACACGGGGTTAGGCACCTTCCAAAAGACAAACCCGTACTGTGGATGAACGAAATCCTGCACCACCTAAGAAACGCTGGAATGATAGATCCCCTTGTAAATACCAAACAAAAAATGGTTTCTCGCGGTTTCAAAGCGGTGCAGGATTTCGTCCATCCACAGCATGGGAGAACCTCGAACTGAACCATCCAACGGGTTTCCCAGATCCCTACCCAGTGATTCCATGAAGAACGAGCAAACGAGGAAATGCATGACTATTCACTCACTGAACAACAACACAACAAGCAACATGGAGGTTTCCATAGTTGTTGGGGCTCAAAATGCCTAGATAGTTCAGGCGATCTGGGAGCCCATCCGTCTCTTCCCCAGTCTTGCTGTTCGCCCTTTGTGGCAGACTGTGGGCCCTTCGGCCCTGCGGCTCTTGCCCATGCCGCTCTTTGAGCCGCCTGAGGTGCCTTCACTCTGATGGCCCATCCGATCCCAGACATACGTTGTGCTGTTTGCCCAGTGATACCCAGATCCAAGCTTTCCCCCCTCCCCAGGACACCTGGTTGTATCAGTTGCCTTGTTCAGCCGCTGGACCAACCTTTGAACCTGCCCGCTTGCCCGCATGATTAACCTTAATCTTCCTGACAAAGTGGGTGCCGGCAACTACTTTGGAATGCCAATCCAATCTGAAGCCTTTTGCTTGGACATCTATGACGAAGTGTGCAGCATTTTGATAAAACTGACTTTCTTTTGTGGCCATGCAGCTTCAACAGCTGGTATCAAGGCCTCTCACGGTATGCATTGCGGAGTGTGGCCGGAGCCTACAGCTTTCTCTCAGCCAGCCCACCAAGCCCAGCATGGCCCACATCAATTCTTGGGGAGCCTCTTCCTGAGAGCCGAATGTCGGATTGTGTCGGATTCTTCGAGCATTTTGTGGCATTTTCTGGCGTGCGTCTTCTTTGCAGGCCCCAAGCCATGGCAAGTCACCGCCCCGGACTTGAGCTGCGTGCTACATGGCACTGCATGGCTGGCCGCTGGCTTTCTTGACTGAGTTGATAATTTTTCGGGGATGCCAGTTGTTCGGCGCTGGCTTTTTGGGGAGTTTCACAACTTCTCCCTGCCCGTACTTATATTTGACCTTTGTTTATTGTGGTTACTGGCTGCCAAAGCCATGCATGTACATCTTTGTGATATTGCTTTCCTGGAAAGGTTGGATGTGTGCCAGCCCTTCCCGTCACGATCTTGTCCTGTGTGTCTCCCCTAGCGCTGACCCCGGATCTAAGTAGAACCCGTCCTATTGGCCGCAAATTGAAAGGGCTCCTGGTCACGATACCGGTAAAAAGGAAGGAATCAGAACATCGGAAGGGCAGTTCGCGGATTTGAAACTGGGATTTCTGCCACTTTTGGGGTCCAAAAAGCACAGAAATTGGCAGGGTTCCCTGCATGTCCCTTTTAAAAATGGCAACTAAGCGGTAGATGCCACGAAAAGTGCCACTTTTGAAGGTCCCAACCGGGGAAATTGAGGGATCATTGGATGGCGAAGTGCCTGGACGCGGATGTTCTCAAAGCGCATGCAGCGGCGCACCACCTCTGACCTGGCGAGTGATTTGTGGTCAGGCTGAGTGATAGACTTGTTGCATGGAAAACTAGCCATTGTCCCAAGCGAAATTCAGCCCAAGGGACAAAACAAATGGTGATCACCATGTTGGGGCCATGACTAAAACTGGGGCCGGGTGGATTCGCTTTGGGCAAGCGAGTAAAGGGCAAGAAGATCCAGGCCTTTTGCAAAGACAGGTTAAATGCAAATAGCTGTGCAATAGATGTGCAAATGGGTGTCTCTTTTAAGGAGATTGGTTCCCTCTACAAGCCACAAAAAAGAAAGCTGTACCCTAAGAAAAAGAGCCACCCAAAAAGAGGGTGTCAGATGCGCAAAATAGATTGCCCTGACATCGAGCGGCATGTGCAGAGATTTCCGCTTGAGCTGCAAGAGGCGGGAGGCAAGCCAGCGGTGGCCCACGAAGAAGAGCACCTGCCAGAAATCACGCCCGTGTCCCGAAGATTTGGGGTCTTCCCCTTTACCAGGCTTCCTAAAGGGTTGAACGGGGCTTTTTTGGTGTTTGTTACAAGGTATCCTATAGGGTTGAACGGGCTCGGTTGCACGGTTTTGTTCTTTCAAGGCGACGGGCTTCTCAAGGATCCTGGGTTCAACGGGTTCAGATCCTGCCTGCCGCGTTGGGCACATTGGCGCCGAGAGGCTGGCCGAGCTGAAGTTGGGCTGGATGTACAGCGACAGCTGTACCTCAGTGGCCAGAAACAAAAAACAGGCGCCGAATTTCTTGGCAACCTTCATTTGCTTAACTCACCTTTTTCTTGGTACCCGTACTAACCTTCATCTAGAAGGGTTTTTGATTGTGGCTCCCATGAACTCCATTTGCGCAACATTGAAAAGAGCTGACTGTTAAAGAGAACCCGCGGAACTTTGAAAAGAAACAAAAAAGGCACCACTTGGTGTCTGGGATACCAGCCGCAGCAGTTCCGGCATCAGCGCACGCTGTCGCTCTGGCCCCGGCAGGGATGCGAAAAACTCCAGGGCCGCCTCCGCCGTCTCAGGGCTGCGATCCACGACCTCTGCCTCCGGCGGCGCGGGGAGGCTGGCGCGGGGGCGCGAAGTCGAGGGGGCGGAGGTGAGTCTCGGGGTCTGCAGCCGCAGAGTCAGCAGCGGGTGCACCGGCTTCGGGCGCAAGCACCCGGTGGTCGCAAAGGGATCCCCGCGCTCGCGAACCCCGCGCCGCTGGCTCTGCGGCCGGGACTTGGCTCCCGCCATTTGGACATCGCATGGCGGTTGCGGATGCGGTGCCAACTTGCGAACTTGCTTGGAGCTATGCCATGGTCAAGTTGCAAGCATGTCCTTCGTCGCTTCCTCGGAGGAAAATGCAAACAGCCTGGAGCAAATCACACATGCAGTCCAAAGTTAACAGTTTACTTGCTGAGGGAAGCCGGGTGCTGCGCTTGCAGTTCGTCTTGCTTTGCGATGCCGCGGTCCCGGACTCTGACTGTATGTTTGTTGCCGTGAAACGCTTCATTGATCCCATCAGCGGCTCTCAGGCTGGAATGAATACGACCCAAGCAACGTCAGACGCCCATTCCTGAAAAGGATGCAGTCGTAAAGTAGTGGATGAGAGTCAAGGGCCAAACAACTCAAGGCACACGGCTCGTTTGCACGGGCTTCGATTGCCAGGTTTCCCTTTCAAGCCCCTCCGAAAACCAACCCAAACAAGTCCTCAAAATCAAGACCTTCCTTTGGAGTTCACCACTGGAGAATGGCAAAGGTCCGAACCAGACCCCATTTTGTCACAGCTCCGCGGTGCCCAGGAAGCGGCCACAGCGCCGCTTCAGCCTGTCCTGTCGCATGGCATTTCGCACGTGGCAGGTAACCCTTCGCCATGTTCCTCTTGCCGCTGGGTGAGTTCTGGCACCAACATGTACAGGGCCCGGGCAGCGGTGGAGTCAGAGAAATCCGGGCACCTTTTTTTGAGTTAAAACCTTTGCCGAGGAAAAGGAAGCAACCCACGCGGCGAACCGGGATGCATTTGAAGTGCTGGAAATGTGTGATCCGCACCAGGCAGGCTGTGGATGGGCGAAATCCGTTTCGAGAAAACACCATTAAGTTCCCCTGATTTCCCATTGAATTCCAACGTGCAATGAATACCCAATTTTGACTACACAAAGCCCACGTTTACAGAATGAGGAGAGTGCCCAGCGGTTGATTGTGCCTCTATGGCTTGCCCCGGTGGGTTCTGTACTCCAAAGCCAAGCCCGACATTCAATTCCTGGCGGGGTTTTCATCTGCTACAAACCCCACGCATAGCCATAGAGCAATCAAGCCAACAGGGCACAAGTTCCTCTGAATTCGGCAAGGGTACAAGTTTGGGGTCACACGACATCCCTCTGATCTGAACTTTAAAATGATTCCAACACCTGAACAAGACTTTGATCCCTAAGAGGATGAGCATCATGCTGAGTTTGCCCCCAAATCGGCAAGCTTGGACTCAAAAAAGGGGACACCCAAAAGGAAGTTCCCCTGACTGACATGGTCAAAACTACTTGGTTTTTCAGGAACACCCAAAGGACAATTCCAACACACACAGACACACACATGCGTTGATTGTGCTTTTCTTCGTCGAGCGCGCCTGGGGTTTCAGGTTGCCCCAGGAGGCCAAAGCCGTCAACTCTGAGAGGCCCCGCTGCCTGGTTCGATGCAAGGAATGGGGGTGTCTCAACATAAGCTACGGAAACCCGCACTGGGCTTCGGTGTCCTTTTGGTTGCGTTTGGTGGCGCTTCACAGACCAAAAAAGGGGTTCATCACTTTGAAACTCCCAACTATTTGGGCATGTGTTTTTTTGTTCTAGGGGACCCCAAACAAACGTGGATTCCTTTTGGCTTTGCTTCTTGAAACAGAACAAACAATTGGGCTTCAAAAAAGACACCCTCGAATAAGTTGGCATGATCCGAATCGAACTGAACCATGGATTGAACAACTGGGTAAATATGGGTGGCCATGGTTGTCTTTTTTGATTTAAATGTGGGTCCCCCGATTCTCTCGTCCTAAACTAGCGATAGACTTTTAACAAGTTTGTCAGCTGCATATTTGAGTCACAATGAAAACCCTGCGCGCAAGAAAAGCCACATTGGGCGCACTATTTCTGGGCAACTGTCCCTAACTACCCTTCTATCCGAATCGGTGACTCGTGACCCCAAGCAAAATGGTGTTCCTTTTGGTTCCCCAAGCGACACACATATCCACACATGTGTCTTCCACCTTCAGAGTCGTAACCAGGCAGCCTGGCACTCCAACATCTACCCAAGCACCTTGAACACCTTTCTCCCCAATGCTACCCCAGCGATTCATGAAACCCCCTGTCTCCAAGTCAATGGGCATGGGTCAAAATCCCATACCCCCAGTGAACATCCCAATCCCCACTAAAATAGACTACAATGGGTGGTGCACCTACCAACCAAAATGGTACCATTGGTTTTGACCCACATCCAATGGGTCGAACACAGCTCTGAGGCCGCGGCACGGGCATGGTATCCATGTCCGCCCGGTTGGCGGCTCTCCTCTGCGCCTCCGCAGACGGGAGGTCCTGGGACGCCTGGCGGCTCATCTCCTGGAATCGGGAGGAAGAAACCTGAGGGTGAACTGAATGGGAACCCGGTTTCCCAACCCAAAGGCTTACTAATTCGGTTTGGAAACGACCCAAAGGAACCTAGCTCCAAAACCAGTTTGTTTCCCGCAACAACTTATGCTAAAGGCAGCCCCTCATTTAGAGACAAACCTTTTGACAATCCGGGCCTGGTCGCTCTTCATGGCACTCACACCTCGCACTTCGGACACTTCGCTGAAGCGAGTACCCAGTTTGGGGGGCTGGATTTGAGGGAAGCCAAAAGGAGAACTGGGGGGGCGGGGCTCCCCTATGCCCGTTTGGAAAACACGGGAAAAGAAAACGGCCCGATGGGTGCTACATTGGCTGGACATCCTGCAATTGCTAGGCGATGTATTCCAGTATTCATCGGGTTCTAAGTGGATCCGATCCATCCACAGTACTTTGAACTCACCCCGCGGCACGGCTGTGGAACACTGAGTCTTGGGGCCATTTTCTGTACCAAGGGAGTTGTTAGGAAGGTTTTGCGGGGCTTTCTCACAGGGTTTCGTGCGAACCAACAAAGGGTCGACCAAGTGAGTCAACCCGGCCGCGCCTTCCTCTCTCGCAGCCTCATCCCTGTGCGAAGAGGGCTCCAACTGAAAGGTCAAAACGCGTCCAACTTTATTTCGCCCCAGAAAACCGAACTTCTTAGTTGGGATCTTTGGGTGAAAAGCTGTGGTTCGGACCTCGGGCTAGGGCACCTTTCCGCCTCATTTACCTCAGCAATACTCTTTTCAAGAATGGAAGCGGATAGGCCAGCTTCCATTGGAATGCATTGTAAGGCCTTCGCCAAGTTGCGTTGGGATTCTTTTCGACACATCCTAAAAAACCGGCTTGAGCAGTTGCAACGCTTGAAGCGAGTCGCAGCTTGGCCCCAAGCCCCGGAGGCTAAGAAATGGGAGGCTTGAGACCCTGACTCCCTGGGCTTCAAAGGTAAGGAACATGAAATGGCAAATGGTACCAATGAATGGGCAACCGGGTGTTTGTTGGGACTTGATGAAGTCATAGACTATTTTTGTGTGGTTTTTGGTTGCCATGGTGAAATGGTTTATTGCTTTGGTGGCTATGCTGCAGTCTTTGCGCAATGATACCACCAGTAGCATACCAACCGCCAACAAGGTTCCCTGCTTCCAAGCCAATAGGATTCCAACCACTAGGGCTCCGCCGGGCTCCGCTTGAGAAACACCCATGTGCGAAAAAGGTAGGAGAACATCCAAGACATGTCATGCAAGACAATCTCCGGGAAACTGAGGAGGGCGCCCGCCGGTCTTGAAGCGCGCCGTGTGCGCGCTCATGTTCACCGCATCTGGCAGTACCCCGTCAGCCATCTGGATGACCTGGAGGATCGGAATTTCCACGCTAAAACGGCCATGGCTGGGTATTTAAACGGTGGAAAATGTGGTGCTGTGAGGGCTTGGTGGTCTGGTGGGAAAACTGCCCATCTGTGGATTCTGTTCGTTTTGTTCGTTCTTGTTCTCATGTTTGGGATGTTTGGTATAGTCTGTGCAAGATTCCGCTACAGCGGGTGGAAGAAAACACGTTGCGCGGAATGGGGAAAAGACTGGATTCCATAGGGTTCATTACGAGTCTTGCACGGAGATCTGCGCAACCCATTTTTGAAATGATCATGGGGTCACGGTCAACATATACATATACTGTATATACGGTTATATACTGATCTCGTAGTTTCAGTTATCCTCTTGGAGGTTTTGAGGTTAAGGCTTCCGGGCGGGTGGTTTCCCGCCTGCCCTCTACAAGAACCGGGCCTCAAAATCGAAAATTTACCAACTTCCCCCATGCGAACCTCAAATGACTCATCGACCACAAACAACGCAGGATGTGTTGGCCAAACCCTGCTCCATAATCCCAGGCCCTTAGCAAGAATTCCCCCCCCTCTCCATACACATAGAACATGGTTTCCTTGAGCCCACAAACTGTATTGGAATTGATTCTTTGAGCACACCCTTCCAACACATTAGGGCACTCAACAGAAACCAACCCAAAAGGGGTACCCTCAAAACAAGTACACGCATATCCAATTTGGAGAAGACATGGCCGAAACTCCTGTATGTGAGTCATGGTCCCGGGCTCTAAATCGGAATATGAGTTTCAATTGGGACCCTTTGGTGGACATCATTTGGGGCGTTGTGTCCACCAATCACTTTTCAGGTGGTTCCAAATCTTGAAACTCATAGCTATAAGGATCGCCAACCACGGGAAGATCACTTATAGTAGCTGGTTTATTCATCATTTCGGGGCCCTCAGTGGCCATCAGCAAGAGAAGGGCACACTTTTTTGGGCCAGTTGACTTGAAAGGGTAACTCTCTACAAAATCAGCAAACAAAGCTCCCAACCCACCGGGTGTCTGGGGACTTCAACTCCCACCAATTAACATGAAACCTGGCAAAAGGGTCCAACTTGTTCCTTTCAAAGGGACCCCCCAACGTCAGGCTGCATTTTAATTGCTGGGAACATAACTGGGAAACCGAGAGGGAATCACTCATTTCGGACCCCCGACTTTTCAGGCAGAACACCCCGCAAGAGAACAAAACCAGATGTCCGAATCTAGGTCCTCCAGTAGAGAGGACCTAGAATAAGGGTACCCTTTAAAAAGGGTAAAAGGGCTCTACTGGGGGACTCCCAAACTTGGGAAGGCACCCCTCGCCTTCTTCGCCGCCTCCTCGGCAATGTCCTGGGCCTTGGTGGCCGCCTGCCCCGCCAGGATCGCCCGATCCGCGTGCCAGCCTTGGCTCGCGGCTGGACGGGCGGTCCGAAGAACCCATCCGCTCCTCGGACTTTCCCTGAAAACCGGAAATGAGACCAAGCAAACAGAAGTGAGAAGGCTGGAGCGTCTGACTGTTTTGGAGCTTACCCGTTTGAGGTTGGGTTGACAGGGACACCACTGGGCAAGGCACAATTTTGGGGGTCCTATTTGGACACGTCGCCCTACCCAGCACCAATTGTTTTTGGGTCTCTGAAAGCAAGCCCTAAAAACTGTAGCATGAGACAACCAACACATGCAGCCAGGGCTTCTGTGCCCTAAAGGGAAGGTTACCGCAAACGCTCCCAAATATTGGGGTATCTCAACAATTTGGGAGTGGATCCCTTTAAAACCAACCACAAAGGGATTCCCAAAAAACGACGAGCCACCCAAAGGACCCGCAAGTCCCACTCACTCGCGCTTACCCAAACCCAAACGTTTGGCCGCGGGGCGCACTCGGTTGATCCAGTGCTGCAGTGAGGCGTCTCCGACAGCTGGTGGGTTTGAAGGCAACTCAGCAAGCTGTGAAGCTGAAACTAGGGAAGTTTCAGCGGGCTTCCCTAAGGCTCCCGGAGCTGTAAGGAACCCCAAGGAACCCGAAAGGGGCTCTCAGCTACCCCTCTTGTACCCGCCGGATAGGACGAGAGTCAGACTCCATGACGGAAGACTCTGGTTCCACAAAGCAAATGGATCTACTCCAGGATCCCATAGCAGAATAGTAGCCATGAGCCATGATTTGTCCTTGCAAACATGTAAATCTAGGCGTGTCTAATTTAATTGTTGGACCCCCCAAAATGGATCTCGGTTTTGTTCATTTCGGTGTCCCTTTAAAATCACAAGAAGGGGGTAGCCTCAAGAGGACATCCCCAGCTAGTGGATCCCAGTTACCAGAACAGCAGGTAGCCATATTTGTCTTTTCAATGTGTGTTTGAGTGATGGTTTCGAGCTCCCTCGTTTAAATATACACGAAAATGGTTCCACCGGGTAACGGAGTCCCGTGCCCAAGTTGCCACATTTGCATTTCTTGCAGTGTAAATTCCGCTAAGCTCAAAAGGCACCGCCGATTCTCTGAGTTGGCTGAATGCATATGACGCAATTCCCCCAAGTTGGGCGTCATCCCCTTTATCCACCCCCATCCGGGAATTGCGCCATCTACTTTCACCCGATATTAATACCCGGAAGCGCTCGCAACTCAGCTTCCGGCGTGCTCTACCATCAGCGGGTCCAGCACATGCTCTGGAGGCTTCCGCCAGATCAGGTGCTGGTTCATGGGGTTCTGGGTCATCATGGCAGGCGACTCGGCGAGCAACTCGGCGAGTTGCTATGGCTCAACCGCGCGTGGGCGCAGCGGGAAGCGGTGAAACGAGTGGAACTGTCGGTGGGGCTGGAGTTGTGCTTGTCTGGTTCACCTCTGACTTCAAGTTGCGGGGTCAAATGTCTAAACCTAAGGGCAATGGGTGTGCGTCATGAGAACCAAGGGTGTCCTCCAGTTGCGGTCTTATCCAGTCTCGCTCATGCAGCTTGCCGCTATGCGGGCTCAGCAGTCAGCTGTCGGACCCAAAAAAGGAACCGAGCCACAAGATGCATTGGATGGTCAAACGACTCAGTGATCCCATTTCCGTGCAAAGTACGCAGCTACGGAAACCACCCCACAGGAAAATGACGGAGGGTTACCGACGATGGTGCGTAACTGGGATCCGCTGAGCCATGCTGCAAGCACTTGCAGGGAACCCCCAGCGAGTGCAGCGAAAGAGTCTGCAAGTCTGCGCTAATTTCAGTGCGCTGCGCATGCGTCTCACAACTCCAAGCAAGGATGAGGAAGGCGGGCCATCTTCAAGTGGATCACACTTGGCCTCTCTCTCTGCCTTGTGAAAACTACCGCCCTTCCCCTTGAGGGACTGGGCTAGGTTAAGAATCATGTGCTGCTGGATCCCAGCGACACTGGCGGCACCAGGTGCCTCAATTTACACAAGTAAAACCCGGGTGCCTCAATTTGCACGGAAGAAACAACTACATTGCAGGAGATGCAATCGTTACATTTTCGGCTGACACTCCTGCGACTCCTTCGGTCAATTGGTCAACCCGGGTCCGGGCTCAATATGAACGGCTTCCCCAACCCCAGCTTGCTTTTGGCCCTGAAGCCGGACATCCATCGGACCCGGAAACTACGGCCATGGCACACCCGAGTCGAGCAGCCCAAGAGCTCAGCACTCTTCATGGATCTTGGATCCGGCCAACGAGTGCGTGCGGCTTCTGGAGCGTGAGGGCGTGGTCTCCGTCTCGCTCTCCTCCCTGAGCTTCCAGCTTTTTCGCCCGGAATGGGGACCCTGGTTTGCGCGCCCAGGGGTTTCTGCGGGTAACGTGAGATTGCCAGGCTCTGAGGCACGGCTCCTTGTCACACGCAGCACAGGTCCAGTTTTGCGTGGCCAGACTCAAACACAGGAGGTTGTTCAAGGGGACCGTGAACCCTGCAGACGCTGGGGTCCTCCTCAGCCAGTTTGTGACACTGAGCCAAGGTCAGAATAATAGGATCCCCCAAGAGGACATTCAAATTCAGTGATTCCCCCTCTATTCCTCCCAAATGAACCATAGACTTCTGGGAAACACTGCTCACACCTCACATAGCCAGCTTCTGGTCTTAGGCCAGCACCCTGCAGTGACACAGGCCACCAATTCATAAATCGCGCCCGTCTCCTCGCGCGCATGCTTTGCGCTGGCAAAGCAAGTAAAGCGCGGTGAAAAAAGAGTAGGGCAAGATGACACCTGCTGTGGATGGTTGCGAAATCCATTTGGCACCACTTTGAAACCATGGGTTCTTAGGCAGTGTGGGAAAAACGCTTCGCAACCCTTTCTCCAGCATTGACATGATTTGACATGCGCACTCCCGGGCTGGCGAAGTCCTGGGACACAAACTTGCGGAGGTCCACGATATCCTTCACCTTGGCGCTGTTGGTACCTGCACGGCTTCAGTCGAGTGGCATGGAGGAACCGGCCCGCTGAAAGGGAGGACAGCTTCGTTGCAAACGGCGGAGTCAGCGAGTCAGCCCCCAGAGTCGCCAGAGTAAACTCGCAAACTCGCAGACTTGAGAACCCACGACCTCCCCCGGAGCGTTCGGCAAGCAACTCGCGACTTTGAGGAGAACCAACCAGCTCAGTTGCACCACAGGCGCGCGAGCGGGCAAAACCGAGTTCGACGCGCCTCTGAGCTCCAAAATGGCTTCCATGAACTCCGCAAAGGACAGCTCCCTCGGAAAATGAGCCAGTGCTTCAGAAAAAGAAAAACAAGTGCCTGGGGCCTCCATGACCCACCCTTCAACTTCGAAAATACATGGCCACGATCCCTTCGTTTTGGGTGAGGTCAGCAAACTCCAGGCCCAAAAGTGCAAGCTGACTGGTCCCACTAGGAAAATGGTCCGCACTTCCAAGGGCCAGTCATTCTGATTGACGCTACCTCTGAAATCCATGGCATGGACGAAACCTCTTTAAACATCTCCGGGGTGAGGGTTCTAATTTTCCACGGTTTTGGTCGAGCTGCACATCGCCCTCCTTGCCAAAGAGCACGTCCTTGGCCGTCCATAAAAATGGAACGTGACATTAGACGGCACACCCACACTCTTCTGCTTCCAAATGGGGGATCCGCACCCATCAAGGTTTCTTTCCTCCGGAGCATCGGCACTTCCAATAAAAGTGGGTCAGCAAAGGGCCTAAGCCCAGTTTACGGCTTGGAATTCTGCACCAACTTTCACACCGTATCCAAAACGCTTCTCCCCCTCGACTCTGATCCAAGGGGCCCTGTAGTCCACCAAGCCGACCACATCTACACCTGAGGCCGAGGAATGCTCGGCCCATGCGAGGACTCGCCTCTTGGACGAAACATCCGCACGAAGAAACCAGTCGGAGGTGTATCCCATCTTATCAACCAACATTCGTGGATAGTATAGCATTTTATCCAGGGATTCATCCGACCAAGTGGGTTTGTCGGTGTGCCTTTTTGATGTACCCCTTTTGGGTTGGTCTTAAAGGGAAATTAGCGGAAACCACTTGTTTTTTTTTTTTGGGGGGGGGGGGTACCTCACAAAAAGACTACCCCAATAAGTAGCATCCACACTGTCAAATCGTGTTTGATCCAAGTGGTGCTGATCGGCGCGGACTTTGTCCACATGAGGCACGTCCGAAACTCCTATGGCCGATGGTCGTGGTTAAGGATCCGCCTTAAGGCCAATCCCAATGAGAAGATGTGCTTGGCTCAACCGATTGATTTCCGCCGTAGCCCCCGGCCGATGTTGAGGAGCGCTTTGGCAGCTTCGGGCTTGGAGAGGAGCGCATCGAACTCCTCCGTGAAGAACGTCGCGGGAAAAAAAAAGGTTTCGTGGAGGGTACACTTTTCAGGGTGATTTCTTGGAGGGTACCTGGACCCTCAAACCAGCCAAAAAACCGGGTGGTTGCATGTGGTGAATTCCCCTTTTTATGGCTGGTCTGAGGGGGCAGGTGCCCCTTTTCGGGTGTGTGTTCAAGGAAAACACTATGTTGGGGGCTCCCTCAAACACGGAAAAACCAAATTAATTTGCCGGGCACTCCAGCAGCGCAAGCACAGAGTTCCACAGGGAAGTTCTAGCCGGTAGAAGGAGCCTGAGAATTCTCTGGCTTGTAGGGGACTTAGCTATTGTCACTAACATGTGTTCCTTGCCTCGCCTCCTTGGAAATCTTGTTGTCACCATCAGCGTCAAGGTTCATCTTTGTGATCATGTCCTCGCGCGTCGCACCCACGGATTTCCGCGCCAGTCGCGTTTCGCAGTGTCCCAACCAAACCCATTGGCAAGTCGAGGCCTCACAACCCAGTGGATCCCAGTTGAGCCATTGTCCTTTTGGACAAAGGCTTGTTCCTTGGTTGCTGGAACTCTATCAGGGTGAGTCATCAAGTCATACTCTTCTCGAAGGCCCTTCACCCCACCCCGACATCGAAAATCCGAACCGCGGTCATAGAAAATCTTCTTCACAAAGCTGACCTCCAGCCTTGCAAGCATCGCTGTCAAAATTCCAGACCCCCAGCGAATTGCGTACCCTGGTTTGGGGGTAAGCTGTTGTTTAAAGGGAAGTCCCATTGAACAAACAGAAGCAAGAAAGGAATCAACCCACCGGGTGTTTGGAATGGCGGATTTCTGTCAAACACAAACGAACAAGGGTTGCCTCAAAACCCCCCAATTTGTCCCTGGATGTCCATCACGCAAGGACCCATGGGCGAAACGGATTCCGGCGTGTTCCTTTCCAAC